GTATATTATGATGTTTTTAGAATAGTAATTTGAAGAGCTTATTGAAAAGTGCTTTGAAAATATTAGAATAATTAAATCTGTGCTACATAATATCTAACGAATGGTGATGTTTTTTGCGAATTTGATGTTTACAATATACCAAATGCCTACATACATTACTGTCTAAATAGTGCAATGAAGCGAGCTTAATACTAAAAGTAATTTGGATCTCGGTGACGTTTATTCAATCATTCTCTAGATAACGCATTCCAAGAACTGATTTTCCTCTTTCTATACTAATAAACTCGTATATATTATCACTGAAGAGCCAGTAGCGTACCGACCAAGTAAAATAAGAGCACGAAATCGGTGATTTATTAGCAAGACAGCGTTGAACAAATATATCATGTATTTTTCGGCCTCTTTTCGCCAGAGCACAAAGCATACAAGCATGATAAATATCACCGATTACTGTGGAGAATCTTCATAAATTAGCGAAAGAATTATATGTTCTTATTGCTGGAAACAAGTGCATGAGGCTATCATCATACAAGTATGTCAGTTTTGTGCTCTGTATCTCTTTTGTATCTTGTCACACCAGATTTTCAGTAAAAAAGAAACAAAAGTCGCCTTTCGTTGAATATCCTTACGATATACCTAGACAGTCGAGAGTAAAGATGCAAATAATAATTCTCTTCCCGTTTTTTGATTGCGTTCTAGGATTGTCCACGACAATGGGGCAGCTATTTCTTTAAAAAAACATTTTTTTAAAAAAAGCACCCGTGCAAGATTATTTTCTCTCTCAAGTATCGAGCGAGTCATCGAAGCGATGCGAGAAAAAACTAAATTTAATCTGTCTGCACACCCACGCTATCAAATTGGCAATACATCACGCGGAATTTTTCGTTATCACGACGAGAGCACAAAATGAAAATTCATCGTCGAGACGATGGTGGAATAAGCATGCAAAATGAAACACGCACTCACGAGATGATCTTTTATTTTTTTTGTACGCGTATAATACGTAATTTATACGAGAAATCAATATAAATATTATATATACGTTATAGATATATATTTACTAAAGTGTTGATGCAGAAAGATGAACGTTGAAGAAGGAGAAGCGCGTCATTCTAACGATATATATAAGTAGCGCGATTACAAGCAATTTGTACATAATTAATCGATCATTAAGAAATAGCGACTACGCATTATACTCAAATGTGCCATTTATACGCATACACGATTTGATCTTAGGTCAAAGAAAAACTTGGAAATTTGAGGAAGACGAAAGCGAGACTTGATTTTGATTTCCTTGAATGCTGGTACAAAGCAATATTGATGTGAATGTTTCGAAACAACCACTTTACACTTTCCTTCAAATCATTTCCTTTTGGTGTTTCACACTGCACATAATTCGCATGACGAGCATTCAAAAGAGCGCCAAACAATTAAACACTGTGTCTAGTGATTTAGCTTATGTATCGAGGTAAGTCTGCCTGAGTAATGAATGTTATTCTTTATTCTCTGTGTACTGTTTCACAATATTGGTTTTTACTCAGTCTTGTCTCAACTGTATACGATAAAAGAAAAAAAACAATCAGCTCGTTATTTTGTCTTCCGTCGGTCGCATGTATTTTATGACACTTCATACGCTTGTATTTAAGATTGTGATTCTGATTTTCACCTGTCCATTTTCGATTACACTTCTTCGTACAAATAAACCGCACGCACGCACACGCGCACTTGGCGATTAACGACGTTAAGCGATGGCATGAATTTTCTTGTTATTCCAATGGCGCACTGATGCGCCCAAACGAATTCAGACTCGTTGTTGAATAAAAAAAAGTCAATCGAATGAAATTCAGGGACTATGATGTGAATATCACGAAAAGAAAGAAGTGACTGGATCGAGCTTATTTATTTATGCTATTCGTTAAATTGTGTTTGATGTTATCGTCTGGCAAGCATAATAGCTGAGAGGCTGAAAGCCGAAGCTATCACTGATTGTACAATTATTCGCATGACGTTTATACTTTGATTTTTTATCCATGTGAATCTAATGACAAAGAAGTAGAGAACAATCGATTTTCTTGAAACAAGTGTTATCTTACTTGGCTTTCGTCCTCAACGCTAATAGATGTAAACAACCAGGTATCAATGTTTCTCGATGTCAGTAGTGATTGTCTGTATGTGCAAGAACGAAATTATTACGTTTCCTGATAAAAATTGTAGATATTAAGTAGCCTCGGGGTATGGATTCTTTCTATTACCAGCCTCTGTTTTGTCGACTTTCTAACATTTTAAAGAAAGCAACGGAAAAAAAACAAAGTAAACGATAATAAAAGTCATTTAATTTAACGTTAGAAAAGTGATGTACAAAAAAAAGAGGTTTGTTTGAAAAAGGAGTGAAAATTGCATATTTAAAAGGCTTATTACCGAAAGTATTCCTTGCCTAAGGTGAACGACGCCAAGCCTAGTACATAAGTGCGCCACGCGCGCGTTCGAAAGTGTTGTTTTTTTTATTTCAAATGGAAATTTTATATATATATATATACGCGTAATGAAAATTATAGACGCGCCTCGGACTGGCAATATTATATTCCCCTTTTCTTTTGTAAAATATAATCAAATTTTATACGTCACCGCCTTGGCCAGAATGTTGCAGTTCGCTCGCGAGTTTCCGGCAAGCACTCGTCCGTTACCCTTCTTGTCTCCACGTCTCCCTCGAGGGGAGAACGAACAAAAAAAAAATCGAGAGTATTCCCTGAAGCTCGCGAGCGATCCAACGGCTTTTTCTTCCTCTATCTCACTTTTCTACCAATCACTGTATCTTGTTCCCCTCCTCTCACGCACGCGTACACGTAATTTCACTCTCTGTGCACGAGAATGCGGTATGGGATGTGTATATGCAACGCGTAAAAAGAAACGGCGCACCACCGGCGCAGAATTGTAATCCTATGTGAAATCATGTTCTCGCGCGGCTTGCCAACAACGCTACCTCTCTTACACACACATATACACACGTTCAGCCGTGAGGCGAGCCCAAGAGGAGACCCAGACGCAGACCAGCGACCTGGATAACAGCAGGGATGGTATGCATATATACTTCATCTTTTTTTAATCTTCTTCCTTTTATTCGCTCTTCGTGGACTTATGTAGATACGTCATATACGTCCCCTTCGGCACGGCACAGCACGAATTTCCTTCTTTTTTCAATCACTTTGTATCGCTGTCCTCATTTTTTCTCCCCCCCCCCCCGCCTTCTCTCCTCTCTCTCCTCTCTCTCTCTCTCTCTCTCTCCTCTCTCTCTCTCTCTCTCTCTCTCTCTCTCTCTCTCTCTCTCTCTCTCTCTCTCTCTCTCTCTCTCTCTCTCTCTCTCTCTCTCTCTCTCTCTCTCCTCTCTCTCTCTCTCTCTCTCTCTCTCTCTCATTGCTTGTGTGTGTGTGTGTGTGTCTGAGAGAGAAGAGGGTATCGTTAGTTTTTTTAGTCTGGATTTTTTTTCTTCATTATATATCACGACGTCAATAGTGAAATTAAGATCGTGATGCATTTGCAAATTACTTTTGCTCTGATTGTTGTGCCTGCAATGCTGAAAAGAGTAACTTCACCTTTCTTCTCTTTTTTTTTCACAAATATGAATCTTTTGATGGATGCATCGATGTGGGAATTCTGTAATCCATTATCTTGTATTAACTTTTTTTACGAATCGATATTTATTGGTATTCCCTGAAGAATTTGAGTTTCATAATTAATTCATTACTCACGTACATATCGCATTTTCTACACATGAATTCTATGAAAATTCTAAGCATGCCTACGTAAGAAAAAGAGACGCAATCTTCCTTTTGTCGCGTTGGGAGCCATTCAAAAAATACTTCCATATACTTCAATCGAGTTGAGAGAGAGAAAAGAGAGAGAGAGAGAGAGAGAGAGAGAGAGAGAGAGAGAGAGAGAGAGAGAGAGAGAGAGAGAGAGAGAGAGAGAGAGAGAGAGAGAGAGAGACAAATTAAATGAAATGAAATGAAAAGCTGACTCATAGTTTTTTTTTGTTTTGCAGATGAAGAGGACATCCTGGAGTACCATTTCTTGCACAAATGAAGATTGGAGGAATATTTCATGTCGTCGGATCGTTGCGCGCCTCCGCAAGGCAAATGAAGCGTGCGAGCGTGATTCGTGTAACTATACATTCGAAAAATTCGACGCACGATGAACACATACATACACACACATTTCCTAAGTTTTTTACAAACGTTAGGAAATTAAATGAAACATGAATTTACAAAAAAAAACAAAATAAAGACAAAGAAGTTATTATTCCAAGGACAATGGTTTACAAAAGAAGGAGGGGAGCAAACAAATTTGTCACTTATGATACCATTTCGCACATAGATAAGAATTAATGGCGTATGTAATATTGAGAGACGAAGAAGGGTGTCCGACGTTGTTGTATTTACTGAATATATATAATAATGAATTATCGATAGGGGAGGAAAGAAGAAGACAACGGAGCAAAGAAGAAAAAACCGAGTATTTAACCACTCGCTGGATTAAAGTCCGTAGGTTTGCTCGACACGACTTCGAGCCACCTCCGGAGTTCGATCATGTCTCGCGTACGACCAATCAAAAAAAAAAGAAAAAACAAGTAATGAGAGAGAACGAACCGAACAATTATAATCAATAAGTACGACTAAATAAGATAAGCGAAGTCCCTATACACGTACATCCATACTTCCTTGTTGTGTATCGTCCCGATCGATAGCGTAAAACACACTCGCACACATTGACAAGCCGTGGTAGATATTTAAGACGCCTTATACATACGACGTGGATTGCTTTTCCGAAATAACAAAATGATCGTTCTTTTGTTTCACATTGGAATACGAGCGGCGTTCTTTCCGTTGATCGACCCGAAGTATCAAACGATGACTGCATAATCAAAACAAAATAGATAATCTAAAGTCTTACACGTATACGCACAATTATAGGGCAGTACGAGGAATTTATATACAATATTATATAGACTGTACATTAATGTGTAAAAAGTTATCAATCGAACGCGACGACGATCCGTAAGTACCTTTCCGAGGGAGAAAATAAGTTTTCCCCTCCGCTCTCTCCCATTGTATGACCCTTGACACGTGCGTTATTTGTACATTATTTTTACTTTTTAACGTCGGATACGACAGAGTGATGTCAAATGCTCGACTCTTTTCACACATAATCAAAAACCAATATTAAACGAGTAGTTACTAACGTAAAGAAAAAAAAAGCAATGATTATAGTGGACGTTAATAACCTTAACATTTTAACGGGACGTTGTATTGAGATTTTCGTTTGTTACACTTTTTCGATTCCGTTTACTCATTCGATTTTTATCGTTGCATTTTTCTTTGCAACGTGTTTGATGTGCGTACCTCTGTTGAATGAATTGTAAATATATCTACTATTTTAAGTAACGTATGCGTTTGATTTATCTCGACGAGTTTTCCAACTTTTGAAATAATCTTAGGATATAAGGTAGAAGAAGTATAACAACAAACGAATGTATTAAAACTGTACACATCTAAAAGTCATGTCAATTTTATGGAAAAAAAAGAGAAGAAACACGAATGTTATTCGATGAACCTCGAGGCCTACGTTTTGGCGCAAAACCGAGCTTCGAGACTGTGTTCTGTGTTATTGATATGTTATATTACAATTACAAATAAGAATAAGAAAAGGGAAGGTTATATACACCGATGATCGTTCGGAATTTCGGAAAGAAAAATCCCCAAAGACTCGAAATTTGTCCTCCCGGGTGTCAGCTCGTTTTTTTACGCAATGATCGCGGATGCGATTGACTGCACAGAGCTGCAGATCGCAGAGCGAGGCAGTGCATTATACATGTACAAAGGTATTTGGTATATATTGTCTTTTTGATATGCGTTTTTATTGGAGGCCCGCGTAGCCTCCGCGAAAGCACTTTCTCGACGAAACTCTTCTCGTTTCTTTTCCTCGCTCGCTCTCTTAGAATAGTTTCCCCTTTCGACGACGTGCATTTAAGACTGAGCGACGACAGCAAAGCCAGTGCCAAAGAAGCATCCTCAATAAAAGTCTCACGAACAAAACAAAACTCACTGCAAGCACACGCGATTCCGTGAACGAAGCGCAGACTTAACGTTATAGAGAAGATGAAGAGGTGACTTGGTGACTGTAATCCGCAAGAGTGACTTCCGTTGTATAGGCCAGAGTATTGTAATAACGAGCTCCGCATCGAAGCAACGCGCAAGAACTGATCCGTACGAATTTAAACGAGGACTTTTTCTTTGTCGACACTTTTGTATTCTAGAGAATAAACAAAATTGATCTGGTGCGACCAGCCCCAGTGATCGCCATGCAATAAAAGCACACCTGTCTTTTTTCTTCAGCCCCCGCCTTTCCGCGTCGTTGTTTCTTTGCGCGGAAAACCACCGAAGCACACCAAGATCAGCTCGGTTCTCGTGCCTTCGTGCCTCTGTGAAGGGGCAGCGACAATCGAGAGGAAGCCCGCTGCCAAAGGGAGCTTGCCGAACAAACACCGAAGCAATGACACGCTCCACTTAGCGGCCTTCGTTTGTTTGCTCGCAGCAAGCGATAGGCGGGGATTTTCGCAAGCGGGTCCCCAACGAACGCACCCGTCGAGCCTATCGCGCGGCCGAGCCGGCGGAGCAGCCTAACTCGAGCGAGCGGATGAGTGCGGATCCGGCGAGAGAACCCAGCCCGAGGGTCCTTCCATCGGCGCCCGAGCCCCTCGAACGGCTCGCTGACATGCCCACCGACTACCACTGGGACAACCTGCGCTACGTCGAGGCGGTGCGCCCCGATCGCCGCCGCGGCAGCAGTGAGTACGCCTGTCGGTCGTCGATCGGTTGGCCGGACGCGCGCGCGCCGGGCACCATCCAGGTCTATGAAAACGACATTGGGGCGTGCGGCGCAGTATCGGGAGCAGTTGAAGGCGAGTCCGACAATTGCGCCTGATTAAGGCCGATCGCGGGCGGACGAGGCTGGCCCGGCGACACGCCACCTGCGCGCCGAGTCGTCGGCTTGGACGGACCCTGACGCGCGTCGACAATGAGCGCTCCTCCTCCTCCTCCTCCTCCCCCCGCCGCTCGTGCTGTCCAGATTGACATTCGGAACCTGTGCCGGATAGCACAGTCGCGTCGCGATTCTTCTTCTCGTTGCGCGGCCGCTGCCGACGACGTTGCGACGAGCGCGCGCGCTAATTGGCCCCGCGAGCTCTCGCGTGCACGCCGATGAATATGCATCGTCCCGTCGAATTAGAGCGAGCAACGAGTCTCTCGTAACGCGCCAGCGCCCTGCCTCCGCGCTCATTTTTATCGCGCTCTCTCTCTCTCTCGCTCGCGCTCTCGATCTCCCATTCGCCCGAAACGTTGCGATTAATCTGTCGAGGCCACGGCTCGGGGCAGCGTCAATAGCGCGATAACTCGGCGAGTCCGCGACAGTTTCTCCAATCGGCGCGAGTCGCAATTGCCGCCGACGGCTCCAAGCGGAACCGCTCGGATTTTTGCGTGACCTCCCGGCCGCTCGGCGTGCCGTGCTCTCGGCGTTGCATCGTTAGCGCTCTACTGTCCTCATAAAGTGCCCGTGGCTCGCGACGACCGAACGCGCTCGAGCCGACCTCGTCGCGAAAACAAGCGGCGATCATCGTCCCTTCTTCTCGCTTCGAGCGACGTCAGCGCGAAGCAAGCAGCGACCAGGGAGGATGCGCCTGAGTCGACAGCAGCAGCAGCAGCAGCAGCAGCAGCAGCAGCATCAGCAGCAGCATCAGATCAGCGACGACGAGGACGAGGAGGACACGTGTCCAGCAGCAGCCGCGGGCATCTGTCCGTCCTGCCGCCTCGCCGTCAACAAGGACACGGGCCGACACAAGTACGTTTCCACGCATGCCGCTTCGAGCCGCGCGCGACGGCACGATCAAAGCTCGCGAGCGTCGCGAGTATGAAAGCACTCGAGAGCCCGCGCGAGCGCTGTGTACACACGCTTTCACCCTCGCGAGCTGACTCTTCCGCGGGAGCACTCTCTCGCTCTCTCGCTGAGCGCCGAGGGGAACCGCGCGCTTTTCCCTTCCGCCCGATTGATCGCTTGCTTCTCGCCAGATTCGCTGCGGCAACACGGCACTGACGCGCTCAAGGCTGCGCTCGGCGCTCGTGCGACATCTCATTGAAATTTATTGCCCGGCCCGTCGCGCTCGCAATTATTTCCTAGAAGTGCCGCTTCGACGAGCCACCGGTCTGCCGTTCAACCGCGAAACGCCTGCACTGTCGACACCGTGCGATCTCCAAAGTACAGCGCTTAGCGCGACAATTTAGCGCGCGCGAGAGAGAGAGAGAGAGAGCGAGGGAGGGAGAGGAAAAGCTCGCGGACCAGGCGCGGGCGCTTTAGCGAGCGCGGCACGCAAAGGCGATTTTCCACTTGGCGTCCATTAACGAGGCGAAAAAAAGCCGAGCGCTCTTAGTCCACCAAGTGGCAACGGAGCACCGATTGAAAGCGAGCTATAACGAGCGCAGATGGTGCATGGGCGGCAATGACATTTGGCGGACGAGGATAAGGTTCATGCTGCTGATCCCCGCGGTCATACTACCGCTGACGATCATCGTCATCGCCCTGTCCAAGTCCACTGTGGTCGGCAAACTGTCGATGCGCAACAGCCAACCGCAGCAGCAGCAGCAGCAGCAGCAGCAGCAGCAGCCGGCGCCGCCGCCGAGCGCCGATGACGAGCGCGCCGCCGGCTTTATACGTGAGGAGCTTGACCTTCGATTTTCAGCGCGCGAAGGCTGACCGAGCGACGAATGCCTGGTGATTCACAGCGGGAGCGCGCAGCGACTACGTCAAGCACGCGGAGCTGAGCGTCCGCGCGTTGCAGCCGGACCTGCGGACGAGCTTCCTGCCGGCGGAGTCCCTCGACGCCCTGTGCTCGCTGCAGCGGCGAAAGCGCGACAGCCAGCGCCAGGTAAAAGCCCGCGCGTTGCTCTTTTCTCCGAGACGCCTCGTTAGCCGCGTCCCACATTCCCGACTCGTCATTCTTTATTCCATTGGTCCGCAGCGAGCAGCGCCGGCTTCAATCGACGCCGGCGCCACCACCACCACCACCAGCGCTGCCGCCACGAGGACGTCAAAAGGGCAAGCGGCGACGTCGCCTCGGCGGCATTCAACGGCTGTGGGAGCGGACCTGAAAAGCGAGCAGCCGCTTCGGGAACTGCAAGTAAATTTCTCACGGTAGAACGTCCGAAATAAAAAAAAAAAAAAAAACTGTAAAAGAAAGAGCAGAAAAATGAACGAGCTCTTTTTTTCTTGCTTCTAAAGCCGCCTCTCGCTTCGCTCTGTCAGCTCGGCAAAGCGCTCGCGTGCACCGCCTCGAGAGCTTGCGCTTCTATTTGGGCCGCGCGCGCGCGCGCGCTCGGCTCACCGGCGGCGCGCATTAGGAAATGCATGTTTTTCCGTGGCCGGTCTTTTCGCGGGCACGAGGCATTTGTCCGCTTTCTTCCGTGGGCGCTCCGAGGCTTGATTGCGCTCTTTTCTTCCGCGCGCGCGCTCGGAAAACTGTTTTGATGCGCCCACGCGGCGGTTGCTCGCGCGTCACCTCGTCGCCGTCTGCGCCGTTCCGCATCGCCATCCTCCTGATCGAATGCCACCAGTCGATTATTCGCTCGATCGGCGCGGTAGAATTAACGGTGCCGCGCAGCTGTGTCAATGGTTGGACACTCGATTATCGTTGTTATCGCCACTGCGAACCAGCGCACTCCAACCTTTTGACATTGGACTCGATCGGCGACGAATACTCGCGTCACTCCGATAAGTTTAACTCGATTCAAATGTTAAATTCTTCCGAAGCACGGCTCGTTTGTTGCTCGTATGACGCGTTTGTTGATCGAAACAAGCAGAAGTTGATCGAGACAGGAAGGCTCGCGAGATAGCTAGCAAAAGTAAACGAGTTTGCTTTGCCACTCGAGGTAGTCGAATGTTTCAAGCAGACTCGTGAAATCGAGATAGGCAAATAAGAGATCGACTCGATTGCAGGACTAGGCCCGCGAGAAGCAGCGCCTCGTCGGAGGAGGACACGGAGGAAGAGGATTGCATCGAGGAGGACGGCGACTTGGAGGAGGATGAGATCGCGGACGAGCGAGAAGAGGATTCCGAGGACTCCGAGGACGAGGACGAAGACGCGCAAGTGGAGCAGCAGGAGGAAAAGCGCGGTGTCGCGGTGCACTGGCGCACGCGATCGACCGTCGAGAATTTCGACGTCGACAAGAGCCACAGTCGCGAGGACGACGACGACTCCGCGGTAGGACGCTCCCTCCTTTCTCTCTTTCTCCCTCTCTCTCTCTCTCTCTCTCTTATCAAGGAGAGCCAATTACCTTTGAGTCGAGCGCGCGCGGCTCTTGGAGCGCATCGTGTCCTCGTGTCCTCGTGTCTCTGTGCATCGCGTCTTTCTTCCTGTTTTCTCTTTCGTTCTCGGGCGGTTGGCAAGCTGCCCCCCTCCCTCTCTCCCTTTTCCATCGAACCGTCCTCGATCGATCTGATCGAGCGATGCGTTCGCGTGCTTTCACGGGTAGCCCTACAGCGTCGAGGACCACGAATCTATGGATTATCGTGCCTTTTGGAGGAGCAACTGGGACGAGGACTTCATTCGCAAGGCTCAAGGTACGAAGCTTGCCGAGACAGAGCTGTTCCACATCCATACGTTTACTCTACACCGCAGCTAAGATGATGCTGAAGTACATGGACAGAACGGTAGCGGCGTGCGACGACTTTTATCAGTACTCGTGCGGCAACTGGGACAAGTACAACAGCATCCCCGAGGACAAGACGGGCTACGACGTGTTCGAGACGCTGCGCGAGTCCCTCGACCTCGTGCTCAAGCAGCTGCTCGAGGAACCGGTGTCCAGTGCCGACGCGTACGACGCCAGCGCCGTTCGCAAGGCCAAGAACCTGTTCGACAGCTGCATGAACAGCGGTGAGCGGGCGGGCGACGAGCGACCGAGCGCGGGGCAGCGCGACTAACCGGCTGTGTGGCCCAGGGATACTGGAGCGCCGGCTGGAGCGGCCGCTGCTCGAGTTGCTGGACGACCTGGGCGGCTGGCCGATCATAAGACCCGAGTGGGACTACCGTAGGTTCGACTGGCTGCTGCTCGTCGCACGGCTGAGACTCTACAGCAACGACATCCTCATCTCCGAGTGGATCGGGCCCGACATCAAGAACAGCGAGCAGTACATCATCCAGGTGGGGGAACGTTATCTTTCGGCCACGCGCGCGCGGACGCTAATCGGCTCCTCGCGCGCTCGGCAGCTCGATCAGACGAGTCTCGGCTTGCCCACCAAGGACTACTACCTGGAGGCCTCCAACACCGTCTACCTGATGGCCTACAAGAACTACCTCGTGACGATCGCCAGCCTGCTCGGCGCCTCGCTCAAAAGCGCCAGCCTGCACGCCGAGGAGCTGGTCCGCTTCGAGATTCAGCTCGCCAACGTGAGTACCCGCGAGCGCCGCCTCTCGTTCGCCACTCGTTCACGCCCAGGCCCCGGCAGATCACCCTGTCGCCGAGCGAGCGGCGAAACTCTTCGGAGCTCTACAGGCGGATGAGGCTGGACGAGCTGCACGCCCTCATACCCGAGATCGACTGGCACAGATACCTGTCGCTCGTCCTCGATCGGCCGGTCGGTCTGTCCGAGCCGGTGATGGTTTTCGCCACCGAGTACCTGCAGAACCTGGTCAAACTGCTGTCGCGGACGCCGCCGAGGTACGCGCGCCACCGGCTAGTCTTCGGTCCAGAAATGCGGATTTACTTTCAGGATAGTGGCCAATTATCTGTTGTGGCGCTTCGTGCGACATCGCGTGAACAATCTAGATGATCGGTTTCAAGAGGCCAAGCAGACCTTCTACTACATCCTGCTGGGCAGAGAGAAGGCGCCCTCGCGTTGGAAGAACTGCGTGGCCCAGGTTAACTGGAACATGGGCGTGGCGGTCGGCTCGATCTTCGTGAGGAAGTACTTCGACGAGACGAGTAAAAACGACGTAATCTTCGCCAGCGCCGAGCGACCGCTCGACTCGCCTGGACTAACGACCATTGCCTCTGCTCGCAGACGCTGTTCATGACGCGAGAGATACAGAACGCGTTCCACGAGCTGCTCAATCAGTCGCCGTGGCTGGACACCACCACCAAACGGCTGGCCAGCGAGAAGGTCAAAGCGATGCAGCTGCGGATCGGCTACCCGGACTTCATCTTGCATCCCAGCGAGCTCGACCGCCAGTTCCACGATGTGCGTTTGACCGGCTGTCGAGCGCGACGGCTCCCCTTGGCTTCGATCTAATGCATAACCGTTTCGAGCGCAGGTCCACATTCACCCGGACAAGTACTTCGAGAACATCTTGAACATGCTACGCCACACGACGCGGGTCGAGCACGACAGACTCGGCACTCCGGTCAACAAGACCCTGTGGAACACTGGTCCGGCTATCGTCAACGCTTACTACAATCGCAACAGGAATCAAATAAGTAACGAGCGCGAGTTCTGCTGGCCCGACCACGCGTCGCCTGTCTCTATCTTGAGCGTCCCACTGTTGCAGCCTTCCCGGCGGGGATACTGCAGCCGCCGTTCTATCATCGATACTTTCCTAGGAGCCTCAATTATGGCGGCATCGGCGTTGTTATCGGCCATGAAATCACTCACGGCTTCGACAATAAGGGCCGCATGTTTGACAAGTTTGGTAACTTTCATCGATGGTGGAGCGAGGCAACTATCAATGAGTTTGAGCAGCGAGCTTCGTGCTTTATTGGTTAGCTATGCTTTAGTTTTGCTTAAAGTTTCACTGGCGCAACGCTTCATTGATTGAATGCTGGATTCTGCTGCCGTTGGAAAGCTCCTCGCATGGAAATAAGTTGCAATGTCGGTTACTTTGATTTTTAGATCAGTACAACAAATACATGGTAAAAGATGTAGCTTTGCAAGTCGACGGCTTCAATACTCAAGGTGAAAATATTGCCGACAACGGTGGTATCAAGCAAGCTTTCCGGGTAAATAATATATTCTTAAAATCAATTTAAAAACAAATTGATAAATAAATAAGTATCGTCACAAACTGATTCAGTCAAATTTTAATAAAACAGGCTTACGAGAAATGGTTATCGCAAAACTCGGACGCCAAAGAAAGTTTGCCAGGTATCGACGCAACTGGTAAGCAACTTTTCTTCCTCAACTTTGCGCAAGTTTGGTGTGGCTCGATGCGGCCCGAGGCGATGCGACACAAAATCAAGACGGATCTACATTCGCCTGGCCGCTTTCGCGTGATTGGCACTCTGTCGAACTTTGAAGAGTTCTCAAAGGCTTTTAATTGCCCGTTGGGAAGTCCTATGAATCCTGTGAACAAGTGCCTCGTTTGGTGACTTCCAAATTGCCTAGACTTTTTTTTATCTTCCTTTCTCGTTTAGTTTTCGAGCAATAATCGCTTCGTGCTCATCGCCGAGCAATAATCAAAACATGAAATAGTTTTTAATAAATCGCTCATAAGCCATGACAAATATTTCAAACTACATCGCGTCATATATAGTAAAGAAACTCGAATTTATTATAAAGCTCACATATACAAACAAGTAGTCTAACGCGCGTACACTAGGCAGTCTTCTCCTTGAAGCCTACAACTTTACGTAATTTGCCCCATAACGAGGGTAAATAGCCCTGCTTCTCGATGCGTTTGAGCACCAGCCGCTTGGTAGAAATGTTGTGCAATGGACCAAAGGCCAACGCTACTGCCGTACATGCTAAGCAAATTACGTTGTATGGCATGCTGAAATCCGGCGTTGGTAGACTTATCAACAATGTTTCGGTGCGCAACTGTACCAGATAGCCTTCGCGCGTTGCGTTAAATCTGAAAAATCGAAACGTAAAATCTGATTTATAGCAAACCGTGATGAAATATTTTTGGCAACAAATTTCGTACTTTCACGTTTATTACAGCATTTTTAAATATAAGATATACGTGCAATATATGTTTAAACGCCCCTTTTTTAACGTAACTATAATACTTTAACCACTCGTCATAACACCAATGCTTTGCTTAAAAAAATGAAAAACGAAAAAAAATATAAGTAACTTACGTTGACGTTATTGTACTGCCTTCCTGTGGCAAAGCAGTATAATTTCTAGCGATGGGCAACAGTGCAGTTATTACTGCAGGTCCCATGTAAAATCCATGATTCGCGTCTGGCGGATATTCTTGCCACTTTAGGAACATATACTCGATATCCACGGAGAACTTTGTTACCGAACGCGCTGGTAAGCGTAGGACTAATTCTAAATAATATGGCTGTTGCCTTTCTTTGCCAGGAATGTATCGTTGAGCCACTGCAAGCAAATAATATTTTATTGAATAAATAGAAAATGAGAAACTTTTCAGCTACTTCTTAATGCAAATCTTACGTGGTTTTATGTCCACTCCATTGCACGTTATTTTCATTGAATGTAAATACAATGGTAAATACCAAGGAACATTTTCCAACAAAACTACGTCTATATTCTGCCAGTGATTGTTGTAAAGCTTTGTTACCAGAGATCCCTTCTCCTGTCCATAGCCTGCACAATAGTGATTAGTATGATGATTAAACATCTTCATTAAAATTATTTTATGTATTTGTAAGTGTAAGAATAAAAATTACTGTAAAACAACCATAGAATTTTTATTTACCTATAATGTATCTATTTGCATAGAGAATTGATGGATAATTGATTCCAGAAGACTTTTGCACTTTGTGTACTGTAGCAATACTGAAAGCTCCATCAATCGTATTTGATCTTACATCATAAATTGCATATTTATTTTCTTGTCCTCCTCTTAGACTGGTTGTTATTCCAGATGGTGGAGGTGATATTTTATAAGAGTGAGTAGTACCATTACTAGTGAGGTCCACATATATATTACTTAACGTTGCAAGTGGACATGCACTTCTTAATCCAATCCCAAATAACTTGCGAATTGACCAATCCTAATATGCAAAAGTATTGTTAATACCAATTATATAGATTAAAATCTATTGATTGAATGTTTAGCATGATTTAATTTATTCACCTCTGTGTCAAATGTCACTGTATCATAAATTAGAGATACTGTTTGTCTAAGTTCCAAGGTCAACTTGGTGCACATTTTATTTTGGCATATTGAACGGAAATGAATACCTACTGAGTGATAATTGGTATTATGAATATAAGCTGAGTTTAACAATGTTGCAAGTCCTCTCTAGAAATCAGAATAATTATTATTATTAGTCCATTGTAGTGTAATTTTTGAAAATGGACAATTAAATCCATACTTTTGAATCACAAGGTAGTAATTTTTTGAATGGCGTAAGATTTTCTGTACATGCTGTTTCTCGTGGTAGAGATGAATATCTTAAATGACTAGACTTTGGTGATTTGGTAACCACTCCTGTAGGCCTAAAACTAAATTCTGGTGACAGACTATTTGATGAACTAACAAAGTTTAATGAAGCACACAATAACCCAGAGAGGGCATTTGTTAAACCTATCCACTCTTGATCAACACTGTATTAATAATAATAATAGTTGATATAAAGGATGAACTTGTATTAAGGTGATTGATGTATCAAATTATAACAAATATGATTTACTTTTTGACATTTTCATTAAACCAAGCAGAAATTTCAGCACCAGGTCCAGCATTGTAAAATGGGTATCCATATTTTTCATAATTCCAAAGACCCTCTGTTAGGGAAATATCCATTTCATCAACATGATGCCTACTTATAATCTCTGCTAATCCTCGAGGAAATAAATGTGTATGTTTCACTTTAAAAAAAAATTCAATTGTTTTACAATGCATAAACAATGATGTTATTTAAATATTATAAAAAAATTAAATTATTACTTACAAGTTTCAGCATTATTCTCAGCATTCCACAAAGTTGTAAATTGAAAGAAAGTGTAAAGATAGCCATTTGGCAGAGGTTTCAGCATCAACTCTTCATCAAATGTGTCAATTTGTGCAAACGACAAATAAATTGTGCATTGAAAGATGAAAAATATTTTTATTAGATGACTCATAATTAAATCGATAAGATTTAGTAGACCTTCTCATTCATAAAATCTCATATTTATAAATAATAATTGATCTGAAACAAAATATCGTTATCATCTGATAAGTTATATGATATTTCCAATGTTACCATTTAAGCTAAATTAACACTACTTGAATTAATTGTTATTAAAATTGACACTTTATAAGAACATTTTAAATAAAACTGTATCTTCATGTGTCAACTTTAACGAGGAAGAGTCGTATATGTAGCGATTTCATGGTCCACCTATTTTCTCACTAGATGATAGCGGCCATCCACAAGCGGTAGGAATCTCGCTTTTTGAATATATAAGCCCGCATATATAGCAATCCCATTATTCCGAACGTATGAGATAAGTGTTATCGGCTGTCGATAGTTCATAAGATTTAAAGTTCAAATTCAGTTTTGATATGTATAAAATGTTAACGGACATTAATTTCACTAAACACCAAGTTATATCAATTTCTATGTTTTACATTTTTGTCAATAGAAAATAATATAATAATAAAATGATCATAGTCATCACAAATTTTATTTCTGTTTGTCCCCTCGTTATATAACAATGAAACACGATCTTTCCATTTGTCTTTTTTTCTTCCGCTCTCATCATTAATTACTATCAAAAGTAAAATTTATTGTTTACAAATAATATGCACTTCGACGGTAAATACAATACGAAATTTTTCATTTTCCACGCTATAATCTACATGATACTCTTCATTATATGTGTAGTAATCTGTTTATCGTGTTGCAATAAAAGTGGTACAAAATAAACCGATATTTAAGAATGTTTCTTTTTAAATCGTGAAAAATGTTAAGTAGGTAAATATTTTTCTAATACTTACATTTAATACCTACATACGGAAAAATTTTGAAAACGTTAGCTACAATTATTTATTCCAAATCAGCTTCAGAAGATGAAAATGTAAAAAAAATAAAACTCCAATAGAAATGAACGATGGTGTCCGCATAAACGGGACGTTTCATTTCTGTGTTCCTATAAATTTCTTTCGAGTATCTGGATATCAAGGGGGAAGAGTGGGAGATTTTTTATTAATAAAAGAATAACATTTTTTCCAACAAAGCAGAGTGATTATTCGTTCGTAATCAATGTAATATAAAACTAATTTTAATCACGATATTTATTTTATCGGCGTGGTCTGTCTATGTTTTATAAGCCGCCGATTACGTTCCAAATTATTTTACGCTCTTTGATCGGATTGATAGCTTAATTTATGATTCTAAGTTAAATATTATGTTGTTTTTTTCTGGATTTATAAAATGTTTAATCTTGTCGTTACTTTTTAAGAAACAATGTCAAGTCAGCACAAAATGATTTGTTGGATATCGATATAAACTGTATACATTGATGTGAATTGAGTTTATTGCCATTTGTGTCTGTAAAAATTTCTATCAGATACGAGTTTATAGTAATTTATAAGTCTTGCATCAGTGCATTGTCAAACAATGCGTTTAATAATTGATATAATTAAATAAAATAAGTACAAATAGAGCTCATTCAACAATCTTATATTACATCTGCAGTAGAAATACTAGATATATCACTATTGATGTTTTTTTGGTAACAATTTTAATTAACTGAAAAAGAATTTTTTCAAGTATTTTCAAAATCCCATTGGCAGCTTTCGAGTTCCAAAGTGTTTAGTATATCTGTTATTGCCATAGTATCATTTTCTAAAATTATAAAAATTTAGAAAATTTCATTAAAATTGCGTCTAGTACATTTACATTCAAAGAAAAAGCTACCTAAATTTTGCTTAAAACGCTCGTGAAGAGGTATCACAGGATTCAAAATATCAAGAAGAGTAGTTTCAGTCCTTTTGCATTGCTTGAAAAAGGGATGTTTCAACAAATGGTGAACGCTAGGACGGTTATCCGCTTCGCGTTGAACACATTGTTCAGCTATTTCGTGGAATGTTTCAGAAAATTTACGCGTCTTCATTTCTTCAATATTTCTGTTGGAATTTTCATTTGTTTCATCTCCTAGAGCTGAAATAGTGATTGTCCATTTTAATAAATACATATTGATCGATCTAAATGTATTTAATAGAATGGATAAAAACAACAATTTTCATTTTAAAAGAACAGTGACGAATAGCATTTACATTGATCAATATCCATTGAATCAGCCTGGTAAGTAGATCTGTCAATAATGTTAGGGATAAAACCTCTAACTTTTTCAGTCAACATCAGGGTGTCTGGACAACCATGAAAAGGAACAATACCATTCGCTAATTCACATATTGTTATCCCAAGGCTATAAATATCTGATTTCTCATTGTACCCTCTGAGATCTTGCTGAAGCAATTCAGGACTCAGCCATTTGAGATTATTTGTACTTGATTTAGGAAAATTGAAAATTGTTCGTTGCCATTTACCACTCTTAACTGCTTCGCAAGCATATCGCATACCACAGATAGATGCTTCTCCAATTCCAGATATAAGAATATGACTTGCTCGTAGAGATCTAAAATATATATCACAATTAATAAATCAATGTTGTAGACTCATAGCAATTAATATATTTCTAGTAATCATTTATTTACCTGTGTATGATGCCCTTTCTGTGTAAATAATCTAGTCCATGAAGAACGTCTTTTACAATAAATGCAATTGCAAGTTCTGGAAAACCAGATGTAAAAGATTCTTGCAACAGATTACTGCATGACCCATAATTCATAAGTGGTGAAATTACATACACATCATGACCAGACACAAAAGCATTCAAATAAGCAAGAACATTTGGATGTTGAAGTTGCCTTGTGGTCACAATCTCTTGCTGAATAAGACCATAATCATCTGATTCTTTATTGTCAATGAAGTATTTTTTAATGGCAACATATGTATTTGTTGGTTTGTGATGTGCTATATGAACTGATCCAGTTTCATTGTTACTCCCATCTAAAGGCACATCTGGTTGTTATATTATGATACTCCAATGATAATACTCATTAATAACTTACCTATACGTGGCCCATAGATATAATTATTCAGATTTATATCATACATCTTAATAATTTTGCGAGCTTTTTAAAGAAAACATAAAGAGTTTTCTAGCATGTTTTAATTTCAAAACAAATGAATTTAATATTTAAGTATAAAATAGATCAGAGTAACAGTAATGAAACCTATATCATGTTGTTATTTACTAACTTGTAACCTTACATCATGGCGCCAGTTCAATGAATTAGAAATTAAATATATTTGCAAAATTCAAAGGAAAACAAGCATCCGTATATATTCAAATTATACTACGTTTGTGCATAAACTTTTTGTTTTTTTCATTGATGTATATATACATCAATTTCGATTAAAACTCAATCTATGGAAATATGTACGTTAGGTCTCTGATATTATAATGGACGCTATACTCTATGATGATGCGACTCGAATGGCAAAAGATAATCGTACGCTTTTATAAAAATCAGTTTATGAGAATGACATCGCACAGATGACGAAAATTTAAATAGAATGAAACGAGATATCTGATAAGAATAAAAATGTAAATTTAAATCTATATACGTATGTTTTTAAAAATGAAAATTATACAGGATATTATGTGCATATATTATTTTATAAACAAGTAGTAAAATTCATCATTGTAGGAAAAGGAACATTTTTTTTTAATTTTTCTTGATATGTATGTGATTGGTAGAGAACTTTTCAAAACATAATTGTCCGAAATATATTTGGAAGATTAATTGGGAAGTGCAGACTTGAGATGCCACGACGACGTCATCTACACCGGTAACATGAAATTTATACATTTAAAAAAATGTTAGTTTTAATGCACTTACAAATAATATAGTAAATTACTGAAATTTTTACAGTACATTAGTAAAATAATATTAATTAACGTTTAAAACATACTTTTCGTATTTTTTATTGAACAATGATTTTTATTTTTTATAATTAAATTTCGAGCTTAATTTATTTTTAAGCAACTATTTTTTTAATTCGGATGCTTTATTGATATTTTTTAACAGAATTAGTAACAATAATTGATCTTCTAAATAAAATTGATCAGAGATACAACAATATATATCTGGTATAATTTGCACAAATGTAGAATATAGAGATAAGTATTTTGTTAATAAAAATGAAATGATATAAACGTTATACCGAGTATATTCAAATTTTATAATTTCATTTTCATCATATTCCTTAAAAAATTCATTTAAAGTATTAAATATTTTTAACAGTCTCATCCATTACTAATTTGATCTAGAGATAAAATTTCAAATGAAAATGTTATAGTTCATTTCACATATAAACATTGAATAAGAACACTTTCTACAATATAACATTTGAATTGTTTATAGTAATTTGTCGTTATTTGTCATTTGATACTTCAGTTATTTTGCATAGTATTACATCTATTAGAAAAATTGTGTCTAAAAGTGAACAATGCTTAGCAAAATAGAAATTAAATTACTCAAATAAAATTTAAGTGACTCAATAAAAATACTTTTTTGACACTCCGTATGCAAAGTACGTCTTTCCCGCATACTTAGCGAAAAACGAGCATTGAAAATCGTACTTTCCACAAGTCGTATTGAAAAATACGGTACGGCACATGTTTGGGAAAGAGTTTCTCGTCTCGTGTGACATTTACGCCCGAGCGAAGCGAGAGAATCTACTTTCCCGCACTTGTATCGTAATATACTATTAAGGCAATATAGAGAATCAGGTTCTTGGAAGCTTGATCGAAAATAAAGATTCCAGTGGAAGCAATTAACATTAATATCATAAGGAATTCCGTAGATTTATATGACAAAGAGATAAAACAATGAACTGGAACAAGCAAAATGTTTTTGAATAAAAAAAAGGAATCGTGCCAACGAGTTATTTAACGACATTATTGTTTGTAGATGCTTCAAAAATTTCTATCTTGATTTGTAAAGATTCCTTACTACAAGATTATAAATTTAGCGTTGATAACAACTGACGTCCAGTTTCCATCAATAAAGATTTTACGTGTTCCGCGTGCACGATCTGACCACAAACGTCAATGTAACGCTGAAAGGTTTCATCATCATCTTTAGGTAGGATGTAATGTAAAGACTTAAGAGGTAAAATTTCTGCTGCATATTTTAATGTATCTAAAAAAATTAATTAACATTGTTATTAATGTATACAATATTTTAGTACACATTTTTTAATATGTTAAAAGTAATTAGTTTACCTATCATTGTCTGCTCATAGAACAAATGTAATTCTTGACTAGAATCATTATTTGAAATTTTTTGCTGTAGCAAATCTACCAGTAATTTCCATTCCGTTTCTTTGGTATACATATCCTGTAGTTAAATTATAATCAATAAAAAATGAACATTAAGGATACTCGATGTTTGTTTTTCAATCATACCTTAGCATATTGCAAAACAGCCTGAGGACACTGTTCTATCAACATTTGCGTAACAGCTTCCGTGTTTCTATTGCACAAAGTGTGAAAAGCTAAGCTGCCGTCGATCTCTTCAGTGTTTAAAAATTGTTCGACTTCTTTAAAACATTCAGCAGGTAAAAAATCGCTGGCCATCAATGCTTGTAGCTTCAGTAGCTCAACTCGAATAGTCTTATCGTTATTTGCGTTATTTAATTTCGAAAAATCATCCAAATCCAAGGCATTCATGATTTTTTTGTAATCTTTTAAGCAAGGCGGCATCTTATCTAAGTATTTTGGTCTCTGACTCTTGAAGAGGTAAGCGTCATAATTTTTCCACTCTCCGTCGGCCAAAGCTTTATCTGACTTGTAAACTTTGGATTGCATCAATTTACCTAAATAAGATCTGACTAAAATTGTGAAAGCTTCCACTAAAGCGTCATTGTAGGTGACATCGTTTTTATCCTGCACATTGTCAAAATAACTCTGAAGGTAAGTTTCCAGGAACTGTTGCAAACCAGCTGCTGCATCATGCCCATCACGTCCTACCCTTGATGGCAAATATTCTAAGAAAACCTGTACACGATGAAATTCAAGTATTAGTTTTGTACGAGAAATAAATCAAGCATTCCATTGTACAGTCATGGAGTTTACCTGCATGACTTGATGAAGAGAAAGCACCTCTTCTTCGACTAGTTTTGTAAGAATTTCCGCAAAAACTTGACTTTTACGACAAATTAATTTAGCCGCAAAGTCTGAGAAAGATAAAATAGCTCGGTTCCTCGAATCGAACACATCGTCGTCGAACAGCAAATGCGGATAATTCAATACAGTACGCGAGAGAAATCTATTCGACACAGCTTCCAATGCATTTTCAGCGAGAAATTCTTTTTCCGCTTGAATGTACAGAAGCGAAAGTGCTAATTGAGTATAGTCATCTTTAGTCTGCGACGACAAGAGTTTAATTAATTTTTCCGTGGTATATTCTCGTAGAACAACGCTTCCCAAGACCATATTTAATAGATCTTCGCGACTCTCCGAGCTGATTATTTCAACAATATCTTGACTTTGGAAAAGCGCATCGGCTTCCGGACCACTTTTGACAGTCATTAAAATGTCCCTGATGTAGGTCACCAAGCCTGGAGCATTGAATGTCGATTTCCTCGAAAGAATTTCGCTGGGTTTTAGTCCTGACATTTTATAGTATGGAATGCAAAGACGTCGTTCTAATTCGGAGTCGGATTTGATGAAATAATCTCCTAAAAGGGCACATGACTGATTATAAAGACTCTCCACTTTCGAGTCGTTTGGAGACTGATCATTGTTATTACTTGGTAAATCTACTACATCTTTTGCTAAACGCAACATGGCATGGGCTTCCTCTAATAAATGGCGATAGGTTGATGGACTAGTTGTTCTAAAATAAGATGCATTTTCACTTAACAAAATTTGAATTATTACCTCATTTTCTAATAAAAATATTTGTATTTACCTGTGATTTTTCGCAGCATTAACAATATCATAATAAATATTTTCTGGTTTAGGTAAAATTAAAGAATAGAGAGTCCAATTATTTTCCACTTTAGCTAAGAGTGTGATGCTTTTATCAGAATTTATTAATTTCTGAATGCTTTGAAAGGGACGTAGGCCAATCAAGCAAACAGGTTCAGATATATCTGGACAAACAATTTTCATATGCTGAGGAGACATTTTTGCAATATGATGAGATAAACGTAGTGTATAGGATTCCAATCCAGCTTCCGTTAAAGCATGTAAAACAGTGTACTCTAGTGCAACGTGTATTACTGGAGCAGTAAAGGGATAAGTGGTCAGGCATGTAGGATTAATATCATCACTGCTTTCTGTGTTGAAATGATAAATGTATCCTTCTTGAGTTGTACAAATCAAACATGTTACTCCATTGAGATATTTGTATTTTTCAGATCTAAGTATTGACCTTTTCAATCCATTGTAATTGTGACTAATTTTCATGTACAATGGCTTCAGAACAGAACATGTAAAAAATTCCATATTTGCATCTCCCCTAGGTGTGTCATATGCTTTAGCAATTTTTAAACGTAGAATGCATTTCACCATGTAATTTTCTGACCAACCATTATCTGGAGATGTTGTTTTGATGAACACTTCTGTATCAGCGGAATTAAGTATGAAAGGATTTAGAGTGTGTCCTGGCCCAGCTCTTTCCAGAGAAATAGAAGGTAAATTTATAGAAAAAGGCTGACTACTATGCTCGACGTATCCTTCATTTATTAAAGATTCCAATTCTGGTTTTTCATTGCTTGCCAAACGGTCCCAATCGATATAATTACCTTTCTTTTTTGAAGCTGATAAATTAAAAAGACTGTGAGGATTGGAATTCCGATCAACATTCTTTTGATTAGTATTATTCTTATGTTTCATCAAATTGGAATCATTACTAGCAATAGAGTTATCCATAGTCTCCATGCTACAGAAATCTGTCGATATGGTTGTCTTGTCATTGGAAGAGGAAGTTGTAGAAGTGAGACTACTTAGATGATCAATATCATCATACAAAGGATTGGTAAGTCTAAACACAACAAACTTGGAGGAATCCATCACTGATATGAAATCTTCTACAATTTCTAAATGTAAGGGTGAAAAGTGTAATCCTAAAGACCATGGTCTTGCTTCAAAATCAATAAATTTCAACTTTGATGGATTCTGTGTCTCTATCTTGAACTCATGTAAAATAAGAGTACTACCTGTAGCCACCAACAAGTTACCAGTAGCTTGACAGCAAGCTATAGCCGTAGGCTTGGAATTCAACGGCAACTCAATCATCTCCAGGCTATTTTGTGGCCTATTCAAGCTGGGGGTGACCCTTCCAGCAATCCTAGCCCTCATAGCTTGTCTCTCCTGTGTAGCCCAGTTAACATACACCCTAACAAAGTTGTTGGTGTGCACACTGTCCCTGGTGACCTTGGATTCCAAAGCGGCGACATAGTTGCCCTTGGTGCAGTGCACGAGCTGACAGGCAAGGTCAACGGTGGGAAAAGCAGTGAGGAACTTGAGATCAGGTACGGTCAAGTCACGCACCTCGACACAGTGGCTACTAGACGCGAGTAATAAATATTCAGCGACGTCGGTATTAGCGACGCAACTTGCTGTCGGCTCATCGATTTGCGCAACATTCTGCTCGAGAAAGTTGTGCACCGGTATCACTCGCACCATTTTTCTTACAACTCCGTTCCAGCTAACCGCCGTTGAGTTGACTTAATTAGCCAGCCGAGCATGGCTCCTGTGTTGTTGCGTGTCCTGGACAATTTTTACGGCTGATCGTAGTGACGATAAACCGCAAGAGGTGTGGTAAGTATATACTTACTGGTCGATATCCTATAGCAAGGAAAGTTACGAGACCAAGAGAAAACAAAGGAAATACTATCACGTCGCAGACTGTGCGTTTTTCTGTTTTTGACACTTGCCGCACGCGATTCGTCTGCTAACCTATTGTTGGACTGGGCTGGGCGGCGGTAGTGTAGTAGTACTATATAGTAGCTGCAGCCGTTCTTTTTTCTGCTCGACATAAAAATACCGACGCATGCGTAATGCACGCGCATAGTTCGCGGGGCGCGTCGATTTTTAAAATGCACTTGGGCAACGCGCTAAACTATAGTAAATAATGCAAATATACCGTGTGCAGCGGTACTTACAAGTCGATCGATAGGCCGAGAGCACGTTAGCTGAAAGAAAAATTGATGAAATATATGACGGCAAGTCTGTGCGCGTTCGTGTTACCGGCTCGTTTTCAACTGGGCGCCGCATGTAATACACACGGTTCTATTATTAGCCCGGTTGTAATAACGTGCAAATATTATTCGCGGCGAGAGCTTTATCGCCTGTATAGCGACTTCATTTTTTACGACTTTGTAAAGTACTTCCGAGAAAATTACGCGACGTCTATATATATATATACACATCTGAGTGAATTTTTTGTCGCTTACTCGGTATTATAATTATGAAGTTGGCATTGAGTGCTAAATCTCCTCTTCGTATTGATTTGTCGCTTGCGAATCAATTTCGTCTCCGATTTTAGAACGCGAATGTTTCGAAAGGGTCATTTCCAGCGCTGAGTAATCGACACGTTCTGTCGTAAATTTAGAAGCGTTTAACGAGCAATTTTGCATGCATTCAGACTATCTAGCTGCGTTAGCGTTATAAACGCCGACTGATTGACAATGAAAACAAACGCGAACATCGCAGTGTGCAGTAGCGGAGTCGATTGTTAATTGCAGCTACTTTGTTTGTTTGCTAATGCCAAGTTGCATGCCTCAACGGCCAACCAAGGCATACCGCATCGTGTCGATAAATTGCGTTTTACTGCTGAACTGTATCTTCGTGTACAGGGTCGATTTTTATTTCCCGAAGACTTTTTCTTTCACCGATCGAGCAGTTTCCAATCGTTTTCTAATCTTCTAATCAACGTGAATAGCAAGTCTTCGGTGCAGTGTACTATTTCACGGCGTGTTTCGGAAAGACAACAATGGAAAGGGAAAAGTGAAAAGGACCCGGCGTAGTCAATAAAGAGCGCCTGATAAAAATGCTGTGTCCATGTGTCGTGCATATATAGGCGGCAAATCAATCGGCTCGCGCCCCTCTCAAACCCGATAGAGCGATTTGATAACACGGCGAGAACGCGGAGAGTCTTCGTAGCTCCGTATACGCACCTTTCACTTTGTTCGTCGCGTGTTTTCCGCGCCCTCGAAAGCAAAACAGGTCCCGCTGGATTTCGATTGGGCAACGTACGTATATGCAGTGAAGCGTGGCTGCAAACTGCATGTACGGCTAATGGACGCGTTGATGAAACTGTTCACTTCGCATGGGAGTAACAAGTGACGTTTCACGGCGCTCACCGAGACACTTGATTACGATCGCTTGCCTCCTCCTCTATCGAGCAGTCGCAAATCCGATGACACAACTCCGTTTGATTTTCGAGGCGAATGCACAGAAGTAGATCTGGCCGATCTGGAAGAGATACGTCTACCAGAAGAAGGCATACGCGTGCGTGACGCACGTGTCGAAGCCGCTCCTTTTCCACGGCAATAGGGCGCGCCGTGCGATTAATGTTAAGCTTTCTCTCTTCCAGTTGTTAATCAGCGATCGATACACGAACAGCTTCTCCTCCTCAGCTCTCCCCCAGAATGCTCGATTGATCGCGCGCCCAAGCTTTAATTAGATTAATATTGTCCGGGTGACACGTACGTTCTGTTTTCATTTTTTCTTTCGCGATGATGTTGCACGAGGGAGTGCGCTCGTGGCTGATCGCACGACCAGAAGCTCCGTTCTAATAATACGCTTTTCGATTACGGATTATCAGCAATTGCATACGGCAGAACACTACAGTTTGCGTACCCGAGTCTATGATAGCAGTTGAAATATACTGCTCGCGGTAGGGGAAAAGACCTTCGTTTCTTACAAATGCGTCGCAAAAAGTCAGGCCCCGCTTTTGCACCAAAGAAAGTCTTGCTCTGATATAGTTTGATTAGTGTAACGGTGACGAATAGCCAGACGGTGGGGTGGTGCGCGTGGAGGAGAAAAAAATTCGATCGGCCTATACGCGAGAAGAATAATTTAAAGAGACATAATGCACGAGCGATGAATTGCCGAGGTAAAAATTTAAGTCGTCGTAGCGTCGATGACAAATGAGGGGGTATGTCATAAATGCGAGCAATCGCGAGACGAGTATATCATTAGCTCGCTGTCGGACGACGCAACGAAGCCGAAGAAAAAAGGAATACTTACAACGATCGTCGTATAAGGTGTCATACGGTATACGAACGCGTACGCAGGACACGCGGTTTCCTCGTGAGTGCGTCCAATCAATCGTTCATTCACGATCGTATTCGTCGTTACTACTATAGTGAGGCGGTGATATCCCGCATTACGCATATTGTAGGGAGCCTTAAAAAAACAGTCCGCCGAGTTCATTTTTGGCCTTATATTATGCCTACGGTCGCATGACTGGTGGCGGGCGTATAGAATACAGTTACACCAACCCGCCTGAAGTGTGTGTCGGTGCGTAAGGAGTGCGCGCAGACGTTGCGATAGTCGACGTCGCAGTGGGTATAGCAGTCTACGAATAGTAGAGCACGCGACAGTCGTAGTGCTGCGGCTGTAGGTGCCAGCTGGGTGCCAGAGAAACAGAGAGAGGGAAAAAAGAGATAGATTGTGAACGCGTGTGTGTATGTGTTTCGGTTACGGTAGGCGCGCGCCGCGAGCAGTTAAGAAGTGCTTTAGCCTGCGCATAACATCATATAGTCGATTAAGTAGCTAGCAGAATGGAGCTGGCTCGCAACTTCGCCAAGGCATTTTGGTCGCCTTACGTCTGGCTCCCGCCCAACATCACCTGGTCAGACATTGAGCCCACGCCCGAAAACAAATATGCCAACTACCGGCACTTGCCCTACAGTCTACTTATTGCCTTCGCCTTACTTTTACTCAGATACACTCTCGAGAGGTAATCTTTATTCCTTGTTTCTTTTTCGATGTTAGTTGCCGTTGATTTCTGATGACATCGACGTAATCTACGATCTGAGAATGTCGATGATCCTTCGTGTTGGCTAACGTTTTGGAGGTTAGGTCGTAGATGCGACAAGCACGCGCGCGAAAGGATCCTTAAAAGGAGAGTCCGTTATACATTGTTGACGACTCGAAATTATGATGCCGGCCTATACTCCATTTTTTTGTTATTGTTTATCATAATTTCTCTATTTTTCTTTTAAATTGTTACTTTTCTTCCTATAGTTTTTTCTTGATTTTCTTTCTTTGAGTCACTTTGGTCAGATTGCGAGCTTCTTTTCCTGTGCGAATCTTCGCACGTACCATGTTCGTCGGAATGCCATTCGGTACGACAACGTGAGTCATTCCAATAATAAACTTTGATCTGCGGGAATAACTGGAGTTATAAGCGAAAAAGATGAGAAGTTTTGCGATCGGTTGTTTGTAGCGCAGATTTATGATGTTAAAAGTTGTTGCGTGTCGTCGCGATTGTCATACTTGACAATTTCATGCTCAGACGCGCGTATTACAAGGTGAAATTTATTAAGCAGGTTTCAAGAATTAGACTCTTTAAGTTTATTTACTTGGTCGTACGATACCTGGTTCTTTCTTTATTAGATCTTGGTAGCTCGCGGATTTTTTCGTATAGGGAAATGTATCTTAGCAAGTGTCAAGGGCCATTGGCAGGATTATCAATTACTATCACTTCTTTATACTGATAGTCTGTTCATTTATGCTGATTTTTGTAATCTATTTACTGCTATTTATGGAATTCTTATTTTCGCATTTATTTGGTGGCCAACCTCTTGACCTTCCTGTTAATGATTAGTAATCAGTTTTTGAAGTTCATGTATAGAAGGAAAAGATGTTCCGAACAATGCTATAACAATAATTAATAGTTATATAGTTATAGTTATTATTTTTATTTGAATAATGTATTTTCAAATATATGAATTAATCTTATCTATATATTGTTATTAGTGTTACTTTTTGTAACAAGTATTTCTGAATTAACTAACACTTTGAAAAATATTTAATTTTTATTTTGAGCTTAGGCATTAGTAACTATAATATTATCTTCGCAACAAAGTTTATTCATTATATGAGTCACTTTCTAGCTTATCTATAATATCAATTGATAGTCACGATGACTTATTATAGATTGATAAAGCAGATTTTATTTTTTATGGTAGGTTGGTATTTGCACCATTTGGAAGGAGTTTGGGAATCAAGTTATCAAGAGCAAAAAAAGCAGATCCAAATCCTGTCTTAGAAAAAGCCTATAATGGAAAGAAATGGAAGCAAAAACAGGTAATTCTTAATAAATAAACATAAATATTAGATATGAGTTTAATATAACAAATTGAATGATTTCCGATATACTTTTGAGGAATTTCCAGTTCTGTAGTCTTTATGCTAATTTTATTTTATAAATGTAAATCATTTTATATAGATAACTGCCCTGGCTAAGCAAACGGATTGGACTGAAAGACAAGTAGAGAGATGGTTGAGGTTGCGACGTGCTCAAGACAAGCCTTCAACATTGACAAAGTTTTGTGAAAACAGCTGGAGATGTTCATATTACATTTATTCCTTTATATTTGGTCTCTACGTTCTATGGGACAAACAGTGGTTGTGGGATATTAATCACTGCTACTATAATTATCCTTTCCATCCAGTATCTGATGATGTATGGTGGTATTTCATGGTGTCAATGGGATTTTACTGGTCACTGAGCATATCTCAGTTCTTTGACGTTAAGCACAAAGATTTTTGGCAGATGTTCATACATCACATAGCAACTATTGCTCTTATGATCTTTTCCTGGGTTGGTAACCTTGCTCGGATGGGTTCTCTTGTCCTTCTAGTTCATGATTGTGCCGATATTTTTCTGGAGGTATAAATTCATATGAATACATTTTCAAAATAGTTTCTTTTGAAAAAATCCATCTAACAAGTTACGATATTTTTTACAGGCGGCAAAAATGGCTAAATATGCAAAATATCAAAAATTGTGCGACTTTATTTTTGTAATATTTACTGTACTATGGATTGTTACGCGTATGGGTGTGTATCCATTCTGGATTATCTACAGGTATGCAGCATCTAATTTAACTAATTTACAATTTTTGAACTTTACTCAAGATGCAATACTCATAAAGTATGTCTTCTACAGCACCTCAATTGAAGCACCAAAGATTGTGCCCATGTTCCCTGCATATTACATATTCAATGCACTATTAAGTCTACTATTAGTTCTACATGCATTTTGGACTTACCTTATTCTGAAGATAGCTTACAATGCATTGAATGCAGGACAGGTATTTACAATTTTTATTTTATTTGTTTTTAATTGTATGTTAGACACAAATGAAAAATTAAACTATTTCTTTGAAGATGGAAGGTGATATACGTAGTGATAGTAGCGAAGAAATTTCGGAAGAGTTGAACGGAGCAGCTACAAATAATGTTAATCGCAATAGTAAGCCAGTAGCGCGACAAAAGCAAAACTAGCGTAAATAGTTCATTGTTGCCTCAGCGAACGAAAAAGTATTACGTGGATCAAGAGTCAAGAGTGGAAAGTTGTGTTGCCGCTGACGTATGGTGACGATGAATGACAAGGACGAAAAATGAAGATTAAAGTTTTGTAATTAAAGTAATTAGAAATTATTTAGCTCGAATGAATTGTGGACCGTTTGGAGTGTTTGGATTAAGATTGAATGTGTCACGCACCTTCAGTCGATCCTCTAATCTTATTTTTTACAGTCGATGAAGCGCTTTTTTATGAAAGTAGCCAAAGAAGGTGTTGTGCAGTTGTCGCCTGTTTATAAGATTGTCATTACTACGTAGTGAATTATTCGATTGTTGCGAAATATGTATGACGTTTTCACTGTATCTTTATAACATACATCTTAGTTCGTCGAGATTTATGTATTTTTTTCTTTGATCCTACGCACCTGCCAGTTTGTAAAGAAAAACGTTATTCCACTGTTATTTTGTAAACTTACGTATTAATAAATATTTTGTATTTTACTCTTATAATTGCTTTCATTCATTCAATATCTTAAGCATATTATCATTGAGTGGAATAAAGTTTTTTTCTATATTATAAAAAAGAAAAAAATATGGCTCTGAATTGAACCACATGAAGTTATTATACATCGCGCTTGTTGCAAGGGATTCATTTGAATATTATAAATTCATTCCCAAAGAACATCCAAATGAACATTCGCTAATTTTTAGAAATGACTCAAATAAATAAATCTGTTCCAAATTTGTTTATTTTTTTATTACCTTATTAAAAAATGACATGATGTTATGTAAAAGATAAACAATCAAATTAAGCAGAACATAATTTGTATTATCATTTTTATATTTTACATGGTATTAAAAATACGTAATGCATAAAATACAAAGGAAAATATGCTTAAGGATTAGGATTAGCATTTGGGCCACGTCTGCGGCCGTATGTTTGGACCACGTTGACAAACCTACGGTTGTACTGGATTCGTCTCTTAGCACGTCCAGTTTTTTTCTTACTTTTCTCTTGTTTTTCAACCTGAAATTAAATTTTTTAATATTAATATAACTAATTTACAAATAAATTTACATTAGTGAATAATTTTTGTTCTGAGTTTACGGGGAATAATTCTTTTGTTGGATTAAAAATTTATGTAACAGATGAATGAAAAGTAAAGCTTAAATAGCCACTCTACTTCACTTTAATCTGTAACATTTTTCTTGCACTGCTATTTTACTACACTTTCTTTTTTACAAGCTGCAGCTTAGATCAACCAGTGCCATAAGTCAAAAATTGTAATTGCGTGGGAAAAATAGTTTGAATAATATTTTAAATAGATCCGTTCTTAAGCTAAATATAATATTAACAAATTAAAAACTAATTTTTAAAAACTTAAAAAATATTAAAATTTAATATTTACTTTCGGTGTTTGTCCCTTTACTTTACCAGCACGAGCTAAGGATCCGTGAACCTTACCTGAAAAAGAAAAATAGATAAAAAAAAAATTACTAAACACTTGCATAATAAAAGTTTTACATACGATTTGAAAACAATGATTTTAAAAATCAATTATTACCTCCGAGGAGAGCTACTGACAAGTCTAAGGTATTTGAAGGAAGTTCACTAACACGGACTTCATCGCTCAATGGAGCACCCGCACAGTACAGTTGAAAATCAACATCTTGAAATGCTGTTAGTCTTGCCTATCAAGAAAAAAATTTATTGTTGACAAAACGAACATAACTTTTAACTAATTTATTCTTATATTGTAAAATTATGTTGAAAATCTATGAAAAGACAAAAGAATTTGAATTCATTTCATCTCCCTGAGACTTTCTTTTACTCTTGCATTATTGCTCGTACTGACACTGCTGATATTTACAATTGTCAGGTTATCATTTAATGCATTAATTATCAGAATTATAGACTTAGTTACAATAGTTCCATATTAGATTTGCACTATTATTAAAATTGTTGAGCAAAATATATTGATAAATTTGAGTGCTGAGAAACATACTACGTACGTCAGACTTTATTAGAAAATAACGTAATTATCAAAGAAAAGGAAAGTTATAAAATAAAAATAACTCAACACAATCACATTACACAGCTGTAGGTAATCCTAACCTTGATTTGTGCCACCGTTTCATGATCCTGGCACTCGATTAAATGCGACTCTTGTCCTCTAATGTGAAGCTGCATTTTGTCTGCTTAGAAAATATATTTGATATATTATTTATTTTGCAAATGAGAATAGCGTGAAAAAGTTAAAAATCTTTATGATAAACAATACACGAAGTCACGTGTAAACGAATGCTTTCTATCGGGCCAAACAGTATTTAAGACAGTACTTACGTCACTACTTGAATAAAATCCGTCGAATATACAATGAAAATAATTGCACAATGATTGAGTGCAGTAAAAAACGATAAAATGTTAAAAATAAAGCAACAAATGGTACAGGGTGTTACCTCGTTTCCTCTGTCACAAAGTGAAAAGGCCGAAACCGGAAATCGCTAAATCTAGCTAACCTGTTCATGCGCAGTAGACATGAAATACATATGTATACAAATGCTTACTCTATAGTCTATATAGTCTATACTACTTCTAACTTCCGTCTGTATACGACCAGTTTTGGATATGTATGTATACATAGATGATCGACTGATTTTCTTTAAAATAATTAATAGTAATTGGTACAAATGTTATCTATGTTGTAACGAAACATAACATAAATTTTAAGTTTTTTGTGATGAATAGGTCAACATGTAAGAGATTTTTAGGAAAATTTTTGAAAAATTTACTCCGTAATCATGATCCAAATTATTTGTAAATTTGTTTTGAATAATTACAATATTGTTTCCGCTATTTTCTATCAATCAATCAATCGAACCTTTAATTTATCCTGCCATTGTATACTTCGGAAGGCTAATTATAATTTCGCTTTTGATCTGTTAAAACCTAAACGATTAAGTCTTAAATAGAGTTTATTTCACATTTAAGATCAAAGTCACTTTTGTTTTTAATTGTTCCGATAACTTTTAATCACCTTTAAAGTAATTAAGCTAGGTGAAATTCTGTTTTTCTACTTTGTACAAATTATACTTGGTTGTAAGATGATAGAAGCATGATCTGAACTGAGATCATTAGCATATATAGTGTCAATTGATCTACAATTAAATATTTTTTAATGAGGCTATTGTTTATTGAATATAAACTTATATATAAATTATATAAGTTATGCTACGCGAATGTAAACAATTGATATATTTAATGTAGCAAGATATAGAATAAGAAAGTTATTTTATATATAGAGTGATGGTTTTTATATTCCACCTTAATAAACTGTAGGCCCAAAAAATCTTACTGACCGCTGTTTCACCATTCTAAAATAGAGGGGAGGTAAGTCAAATCGATCTACATGCTAATATAACTATATAGTTAACCTATATATGGAACCAAGCTAAATAATGTCCAGGTACTCTCTGCAGCGTTGATTCTACATGAACATAGTGAATAATAATAATAAAAACAACAATAAATATAATTGTAAAATTACAGTAAAACAAATCAAGCAAATAAATATCACTTGAGCGCATCAAATAAATTTATGTAATTATGTTAGCATAATTACAAAAAAAAGGGGAATATATATATAATGCTTATAGTTCTTACTATTTCAGGAAACATAATACAAAATCATTGTGAAATGTGTAATCTTTTAAAATTACTTATCATAACCAAACTAGAAAATATTCTCTATTGTCAAAAATCGAACAATTTTATTCTCATAGATTCAAAGGTATAAAAACTAGCATTTTTCTCAAAATTTATTAATAGTAATTATTTTTCTCAAAATTTATTTTAAAAATAATATATAATGTATGTACATGCAAATAATTTGAATTAAAAATATGAAAATTATTTTATATATTTATATTTAAGCCGAAACAGAAATTAATATGATTTTGATGAAACGTTTTTAAATTAGATTAGGTAGAGTTAAATATAAACATGCGCACTATATGAGCCAATCAGATTGTGTTTATCTTAGCTTCTCAACATTCGGTCATGATTTTTTGATAAGGAGATGATGATACCTATATATGATTCATCGAGTATGCTACCTATAGGTATGCTGTTTCATATTGCATACGGTGATATGATGCTCAACCAATACCCATACTAACCTACAAGTAATAACGAATTAAAGCAGTTTTCAAGCCTTGGTGATGCAGTGAGGTTTGTGTACTTTTTGAATAGTACTAACTAATTTATTACATGTTTATTTGAGCAACTTGAGGTCGAATTCTTTATATTATTTATAGCTAAAGCTGTGCTTTTAAATTTTGGACGATTTTCAAAATCATTTCATGGACTGCTGAACAAGAATTAAATGCAAAATGGATAGTTTAGCTATCAATAGCTCTAATTTTATTAATATAGTGATCACAAGTGCTCTTAATGAGGCCTACTTTGTAGAACGAAGATTTAAGAAAGACATTACAATACAGGAGTTCAAAGACAAGTTGGAGTTATTAGTTGGTTGTCAATCAAAGGCTATGAAGCTGGAGGTTTATAACAAAAATGATGATGTTGTATGCAAACTAAATGAAAATGACCGTGCTCTAGGTTCATATCCAATTCAAGATGGTATGCGAATACATGTCATTGGTGACAGCGAAACAACTGGAGATCCATCAAATGTTGAAAAATTTGAGTTATCCGAAGAGGAATACTCAAAAAGATCAGACACAGTTAAAGCATTTTTGAAAGAACATAAATTAGGAAAATATAATGAAGAGGAAACTGCGAAAAAGGAAAATGAAAAGAGGCTTGAGCAAGAAAGGGAAGAGCATCTTGCTAAAAGTATGAAAATAAATGATAGATGTGAAGTCAGTGTATCAGGTAATCCGAAAAGAAGAGCAACTGTAAGGTATGTAGGACATACTGATTTCAAGAAAGGATGGTGGATTGGAGTGGAATATGATGAGCCTTTTGGCAAAAATGATGGATCAGTTGCTGGTAAGAGATATTTTGAATGCCCAGACAAGTATGGTGGATTTGTAAGACCAAACTGTGTAGTAATTGGTGACTTTCCACAAGAAGATTTTGACTTGGATGAAGAATTTTAACTGAAACATTTTTAGACATATATAATCCATATTCCAGCGCATTTCTTTATTTATTTGAAAACAATTCAATCACCGAGCTCTTTTATTTTTGGAATTTACGACATATGTTATCAGCATTAGTAATCAATGCACAACATAAAGTGTGATAATAAAACAGTACATTACGTCTTTCCCGTACGCTTGGTGAAAAACGGGCGTTGAAAATCGTACTTTCGATACTCCGTACGGAAAATATATACTTTCGGCACAGAGTGTCGAAAAATACTTTTTGAAGTCCTCATTGCTTAAATAATTTGTACAAGATAATCACAAATTAAAATAAAATGGATATTTTTTAATAAATTGAATGTACAATAATGTTTGATATTTTAGTTGTAAGTCATAAAGAATTCAATGACTTCATATAAAAAAACATAAAAATATATTACAACACTCAAATGGTGACTCGATTTAGTGAATGTTTACAATAGTTTGAAAGAAATTATACATTTTGTTAGAAATGTTTTTTTGAAAACAAGAAATGACTTAAACCATTTCTCATCGAAATGAGTCATTAAAATTATTTATGATTACTGTATTAAGAGGTAATATTAATGAATAATCGAAAAAAGTGCTGAGCCAACCGTTTCGTCATTAACTGATTAATTTTCGCGCAGATGAAATTAGGATAACAATTGACAGCCAACGACATAATTTGATGTGGCCGGTTTAGGTTGAAACATGCCAAAATGATCTCAAAAGTACACTTATAATTAGCGTAATCTCGATCAGGTTTACTATGCTAATTATATTATCTGCAGCTAATATAAGCGGCTTCTCTCCGTACTATTTTACATATTTACAAGATTGAATTAAATTATGCGACGGAGATTCTTGGTACTGCGTAGTACTGAGGCAAAACCAGAAATTAGGAGAATCCTATAATTATTGGCAAAGCTATGCACATGGCAACATTCTCTATAGCTGAATAGACAGGTAGCAGAGGTCAACTAACCAGTGATAAAGTTGTCATATACCAATCCCTATCACCTCTCACTAGTTTTTATGTTTATCGACTTACCTTTTATCTCAAGAATTATCACAGTTGATCGCGTGCACTAATCACGTTACAAATTTTCCGAATATCATAAAAGATTACGAAGCAGTTTCATCTATACCTTCGAGTATTCTTGGCATATACGCATATATATCTTCGGCAATCAGTATTGCCGAAGAATGTAATTTATCCAAATGTTCCGTTGCCTATCTGGATATATTCTAGACATATTATTCTAGAAGAGCTCGACGGAAGAAGGCTATTTGCAATTTTCGGTTTTTTCAATTCTAACAGAATTACGAATCGCATTCGATAGTCAATACTCCATCTATGGCAATACACAAATATAATTTTCCAGTCACTCTCAGACTGATTTATTTAATTATTTATTGACATTGAGTTGTCTGTGATTTTCATTCTCTAGAATAGGCGGGTAGCAGAGAACGAGGCAGAGGTCAACCAGCTGCTGACAATGATCATCAATTAGAGGAATGCTGGGGCTGGAATCTTTCTGTATAAAAAGTCCAAGACGAAGTGAATTGGAACAGTGTCAGTTCAGCCGCAACTGCAGAGAAGAAATGATCTATCTAGTTAACTCTTTGCAGACTGAAATTTCGTTGTAGATTTTTCAACTTGTTGGAAATCAATATATGCAAAGTAAAATGTAGTTCCAGATTCGAAGACAAAAATCTCCATTCTTCGAGTGCGAGGACAGTGACAATGAAACGGTGGCTTATGTCAAAGTTGGTATTATTACCTACAGCCGTCTAATGTGATTGTGTTAAGCTATATTTTTAATTAAAAACTTACATTTTCTCTAATAATGACGTTTTTGCCAGATACTTTTTATTTTCTATTCAAACAAATGTTCATTTGAATATAATTTTGGGACTGAATTTTCAATGTTTAAATAGTATATCTCTTGCACTAAACGCGATGTGTAATAGCTATTATGTGATACATTTCAAAGATCCACATTTTTTTATAATACGCAGGAAATAACGGTATTCCATTTAGCGATCACGTGCTTAAGAAATTGAATGAATGAGGTAATTGTAAAAGTAAAATACAAGATATTTATCAATGCGCAGGTTTAAAAAGTAACAATGAAACATAACATTTTTCTTTACAAACTGGTACGTGTATGGAATCGAAGAAAAAAAGTATATAAATCTTGACGAATAGATATGCCTATTATGAACATACGGTAATAGCGATATGTAACTTACTACATCACGCCTTTTGGCTACTTTATAATAATTTAAAAAAAATGCTTCATCGACTGTAAAAAATAAGATTGGAGAATCGACTGCAGGTGCGTGCTACATCCACTCTCAATTCAAATCTCCCAAACTGTCCGTAATCTATTGGAGCTAAATAATTGTTTCGAGCTATATAAATAATGTTTTAACTATATAACTTTAATATTTATCATAATATTCGCTCTCTTATCATTCATGGTCACCAAGTACGTTAACGGCAACATAGTTTTTCACTCTTGATCCATGCAATACTTTTTTCGTTCGCTGAGGTAATTATGAACTACTTATGCTAGTTTTGCTTTTGTCGCACTAATGACTTAATATTACATTATTTGTAGTTGCTCTGTCAATTCCTTCGACATTTCTTCGTTACTATCATTTTCCATCTGCAAATAACAGTGTTCAATTTGTTATTTATGCCTGAGATATAATCGAAAACAAATAAAATAAAAATTGTAAATATCTGACAGAATTAGAACCAATTGTAATCAAAGAAACTTTTTAAATATTTACTTTACGATTAATTATAATTACTAAAAATAATAAATTATACAACAAAATTTTGTTAATTTATTTCATACTCTGTAAATAAATGTGCTGATGTTTATAAGCTGTAGCCATTCGCAAACAATTAAGAATATTGCTCCAATATACGAGGTCTGTCCCAAAAGTATCCGATTGATTTAATCTTCGTCATCCGGGGGATGTTGTCTCGACTTTCACGGGCTTTTTTCGGCCGTAGCTTGGATGAAAGCTTCCACTGCGAAGATTGTTATTTTGTCATAACTATAAACCCATGATATATCTCCAGTAATAATTTTTTTTTAAAAAGTTTTCATTACTATTGATCATTTCCAGATTGTCCTGAGTGATTTCTAATTGAAAGTTTTTTCGCTGGTCTGAGAGCAGTTTCGGAATGAATTTTGCACACGCACGAGTCATTCCCAAATTCTCGGTTCAAAATTCGCCAAAGAGTACTTTTTAGTATTCTAACTTCATCTTCCAGTTCTTTCATAGTTAAATGATGATCTTGTTCAACTGCAACACGCACACGCTCGACATTATCCGACGATGTTCCCGTCAAAGGTCGACCACAAACAAGAATTACTGTCAACAGATGCGCGGCCACTTTTGAACCACCTATATCTTTTTTTATTTGTGTTTTGCCCATGCACTCATCTTTAAAGGCTTTTTGCAACATTTCAATAGTTTCCGCACAACTTTTACTGAGATTAAAGCAAAATTTTATGTAAATTCGCTGTTCAGTTCGTTATTCCATTTTTGGCAATGAACGAATTGCAACGAACACAAAAAAGTCATTGTAAACAAATACAAGTTGGTCAGGAACTAAGGCGTTTCATCGGTATCTCGGGCTACTGACGAGAAGGAGGAGTTGCTGGTGAGTGGTGACGTTCGTATACCTTTCAGAGATTGCCTAAGTCCGCGCGAAGATATGAACATAGGTCGGACACTTTTGGGACAGACTTCATATACAATAAAGAGGAAAGTAAATAAGAATGAATTACAGAAAAGAAAATTCGTGAAAGCTTTAATATGATATTAAAAAGCTCATAAAAGTCTTATAGCTAGAAGACTTGGAACCTTAAAAAAATACGATATCAATTTTAGGAAGAGATTAGTACAAAGCAAAATAAAAATATAAATTTTCAAGTAACTCTAAAATAAAATTCAAATGTTGAATTTGAATTCAGCCAGGTATAATAAGTCTGTTAAACATAAATTAGCATAAAAAAACATTGCAACGTCACTTTCGTTCCACTTCATCAAAAGCGGGCTAACCCCCCCCCCCCCCCCCCCAACCCCAAATGCTTAAAAAAGCGACATGTACGAAGAATTGGCAGCCAATGATTAAAAGTCCAGCCAGTACGCCTTACAAGACACACGGCTGCTCGCGTGGCGGCATTTTTTGCTCTTCGCGCTCGCCCTCGCGTATAACCTAACCAACAATCAAAAAGAAAAGGAGCAGAAAAGAAATATCATAAGTAGCGACTTTGGTAGTGAAACGTCGTCGCCGTCGCGATGCCTATTTTCCGAGCCAACAGATAGTACATAAGAAAAGGAACTATTCGAGCGTGAAGCGAGACGGCAGAGTTGTCGTCCACGAGTGAAGGAAGGATATATTACAAGGAAAAATGAGGTTACTTTTAACGAGTATATGGCTTCTGCTGGTTATTTCTATCAACTCCGTCTTCGCCTGGGACACTGAACAGCTTGAGGTTTTTGACGTCGTCGAGGAAGTCAATCAGAATTTCTACGAGCTTCTTGGCGTGCCACAGGTATATTTTTTATATTGTCAAACGAGACTGTTCTTCTGTGAGTTATTTCAGCTGTTTGGAATGATTAATGGAAATTTAATTGAGAAAATCAGTTTTAAGCACTTTACTGTCTGTCGAGCGTCTTTAAAGGGATGAAAGTAATTTATGAAATTCAATTGTTTATTTAATAGAATATGGCATTGACTTATCTGATTGATAATGGATTATTTCTAAGCTGAGTATTGAATCAATGAAGAAAAGCCAAATTTCTATATAAGATCTTGATAACTTTTTTCGTTTATATATTTACGCTGTAAATACTTTTAATAATGATTATTTTGAATCATAGTTTTATTTTTCTTGTTATCATAAACAAATCTAGGCATGTCATCTGAAACATATGGCTGGTAGGATACATATATTTAAATAGCATAATATTATGGAATATGTGGAAATAGAATTGGATATTTTATTAACATATTCTATAATAAATTATTTCATTTCAAATTCTAGAATGCTTCTTTACAAGATGTCAAGAAAGCTTTTCGAAGGCTATCGTTGGTACTCCATCCTGATAAGAATGATGCTGAGGATGCAGAAGTGCAATTTAGAAATGTAATTATAAATATATTTGTACATTTAATTAAATGTAATTACAAATAAATTTACTGTATTATTCTTTCAGTTAGCAGCAGTTTATGATGTCCTTAAGGACCCTAAAAAAAGGGAACATTATGACAATGTTCTCATTAATGGACTGCCAAACTGGCGGTCTGGTGTATATTATTATCGTTATGTTCGGAAAATGGGCTTATTAGAGACAAGTATTACTCTACTGATTATAATAACCATTGGTCAGTATTTGTGTTCTTGGGCAGCTTATCTTGAAAAAAGATATACATATGTAAGTATACCTATTAATCAAGAATTTTATTTCATTAGAAATCAATGTCATTACAAATTATTCCTCGCTTTGTTGCAGAAAGAAGTGTTAGGTAGTAAATTACAAAAGTTACAAAAGAAGAACCGAAAGACGAAGATGGATGTTCCAGACTTGGCAGACATATTGGAAAAAATTCCAACTCCTAGCATGTGGAACACCTTACCATTTCAATTGCCAAAGTGGATGTATACCTCGATTGTTGGTATTCCGTCCGCCATTCGTAGTATACATAGAATTTTAGAGGAGCGAAAGCAAAGGAAAAAGCAGGAGGAAGAAGAGGCTCTGTTAGTTTTTTAGTAGCATGTTCTCTTACTGCTTACTTATTTTATTTGGCAACTCAAATAATTTTTATGTGCTCATTAGAAACATTATTGTAATGTTCATTATTATATTCACGTAGTATTTTTTTTAAGATTTTAATCATTGAGCATAAGAAAAAGTGATAGTGATTCAATTCATGAGACAAGTCAAATTATACTATCAAGCTATTTTTTCAAAAGATTTTATACTAAGTTGCATTGAGTAACTGCTCATAGTCGCTTTAGATCTTGAGCTGTAAACCTATCATCTCTAAACATGAATTAATTCTAAAGAGACCTGTTAATATTCATTTTAAAGAGAACTTAATATTACAGTAAAGCACAAGAAGAGGAGGAAGAGCCGGAGCCAATACCGCGTGGACCAAGAAGACGAAGGCAAGGATTCACGCCGCAAGAGCGCAGTGAACAACCTATTCGAGAAAACTATAACAAAAAGCCAAATGAGACGTTGAGTAATCATGTCATGGAAAAGCAAAAAGTTGGCGGGGGTCTATGGACCGACGATGACATACTTGAGCTGATCAAACTCGTTAAGAAATTCCCTGGTGGCATTCCAGATCGCTGGGAAAAAATCGCTGATACAATGAATAGAACTGTTGCCGAAGTTACACATATGGCCAAAAAAGTATTGTTTCATATTTTTTAGTTTATATTTTGTGTTAAAGAGTATTATATATTTGAAGGTTTATTTGTTACTAGGTGAAAGATGAGGGCTTGAAACCCAATCAACCAACCGAAGAAGTTCCTGTTGACGAAGCTCCCAAGAAAGTGAAAACACGCGCTGAAGTTACTGATAATATCACTGAGTGGAGTCAAGACCAACAAAAAGCACTTGAGGGTGCATTATTAAAGTATCCAAAGACAGGTTCGTCAGACAGATGGGAGAAAATCGCTTCATGCATTGAAGGCAAAACGAAGGTTCGTAAAATTTGTACTAAAACATTAAAATTTGTCATGTGACAGTTATTACAATTTACAATATTGACTGCAGGAAGAGTGTCAAGCTCGTTACAGATATTTAGTCGAAGTGGTGAAGAAGAAAAAGGACACGCAGTGATCGCGAATGGTTATATTAAACTGAAAGAAAGTGTATAAAAGAATTTGGTGCTGCGTCAGTGCGATTGGTGTTATAACTGTCTGTGTGTGATCTCCAATGTGTGCGAGTTGATCTTTAATACAATGATGAGTTTTGTTACACATATACCAATTGGTGATGTATTTATTGAACATAAATTTAATAATTTATAAAAAGCAAACATGCGTCATTGCCGTCAACCAGTAATAATTAAGTTTATTAAAAGACTTTCCTTATTAATCAAGTGGTGGGGGAGATTAGCCTATTTACCTCTCATGATTAGGGAATCAATGCTAAGGCACCTTTACGTATCACTGCAGAGTTCAAATGAAGTGGCAATAACAAAAACAACAACAGTCTATTAAGTGAGCCGTAATTAATTTTATTATTCGAACTTTGCTATTGCTTTGAGCAGTCAAGACAGCTACAATCTAAATGATTTCAAAATTTGAGATTAATAAATGTGATTAGCTATTTTTATAGCAATAAATTTTTTTTTACTACGTCACACTTTATACTATTTAAAAAAGTAATGTTATGGTGTGTTAAACACGTGGTATAAATCAATTTATATTCATATTTGCACAGCACTATTTTATCAGCATATTGATACATGATATAAATAAACATAGAATGATAGAGTTCGAACTGACTTTTACCAAAGTAATATTTATAGTTCACATAGCTGACTAAAACTTCATTTCTTCATCGAAAAGTAACTACTACACATGAAAATTGAAATGAAAAATGAAAAATACTACTCATGATTTCAAAAAAAAATAGGACATTTTACATTCGTAATCTTGCAAAATGTGAATAAATAAACTTGCTTTAGGAAAAAAAGGAAGAAAATAGATAAACAGAAAGTAATGATTTGATTTTCCTTCATTTGTTATAATTAGACGTAACTTTTGCTTACGTCTTTAACTTTGTTCAGTTAATAATTCAATTGTAACAGCAACAAAAAAGTTGAAAACGATCTCGAGTTACAATGAAAACAAAAGAAAAATGCAAATTACAATCTAGAAGATGACAATTGCAAAATCTTTGCCATAAGTTTGCACATCTGTTGTAAAGATATCGTGCAAATCAGTCGAGAAGTAGGTGTACGTGCACCCGTACGGGAGCACGTCGAGTTATTAGTGGATAAGCATTTGCTAAAGTCGAGATGAATTACAGCTAATTGAAGACATTTGGCTTCTACCTAGATTATTACTTACTCTTGTTCGATGTCATTAATTAATTTGAATTTACTCGTTTCGTCGCAATCGTTGGCTTATATATTGTGGCTTATATATATATATATATATGTTGTTCTTATCACATCGTAATATTCTAATTCATCAACGTTTGCTCGAAATCATCTTTACTTGATAATCACGCAAATTAGGCCCATTTGCAAGGAATAGCATTCGAAGATATCTCATTGGCGAGAAAAAGCTGTGGAGCGATGTTTCAGGCGACAAGAGGTCAAATATGCCAGCGTTGCGAGATTTTCGAAGATCTTTTCGGTGTTGCAAAACAACGAGTACGATTCATGAACTCGAGTCGCTTACGGAGATTAGTGTATATTATCTTAATAGTAATAGCTCGCAAGATCGGCCTTTATTTACAGCTCCAAGGCACATAACAGACAGTCCTATTCATTTGATTTTCCCCTGGAAGTTGAAAGTTATTACCACCTCTCGTGCGCACACACGTGAGTACACGAAACTGTCGTACGGCAGTTTCATCCTCGTACTCCCAGTGTAGCGCTCGACACTGTTGAATCACCATCCATATATCGCGGCATCTAAGAGCTTTAGTACACAGGAAAGCCCAGCAGCAATCGGCCGACATGGCCGGTCGACGAAAACAGGTAATGGCACAAGCATAGGGGGGAAGGGTCGCGATATCGAGGATCTTCCCTGTGTCATCACCACTCGGAGCGTGACAATTTTTCAACCACCAACAGTATTTGCTTGCCGCGTTGTATCTTTTGAGAATGTTTATTTCGAGTTCGATGATAATGTAAATATTATCGGTTGGCGCGATGCCGATTTGGGATTAACAGCGCTTGACGTTACCATAACTTTTCGACCGACAACATTGTGGCGCGATTCCTATTAAAGAAAAAAAAAAGAAAAATTTGGCGTCTTCGCGTGTCTTGTCATTCGTTAACCCATGATATTTCGCAGGCGAGGCCACAGGCGAAGTCGTACATGAAGTCGCAGGAGAACTCGCAGGAGAACTCGCAGAATAAGTCGCAAGAAAAATCAGAAGAGGAGTCGCGGGAGAACTCGCACGATAAACCGCAAGAAAAATCGGGAGAGGAGTCGCAGGAGGATTCGCGGAAGACGGAGGAGGAAGAGGAGGCGAAGCCGCGGCCCATAAGTGCCGACGGCCACGTGGCCGTATTCCCGACCTGCGACAAGCACAAAGTCCCTATTCCGAAGCGAACGCCGAGAGAAAAATACCTGATAACGAGCATAACGCTCATGGTGGTCTCGTATTATTTCTGGATGTTCACTGGAACCTGGCTGGCCTTCAACGATACGTTCGACAAATATGCCACTTATCTGAATCTTACGCGGTCCGTGCACGTATTCATCATTGACATGGGCTCGGAGGGCAGTCGCATCAGCTACTTCGAGTTCCACGTGCACGCCCTGACGGATAATCTAGTATTCGACCAGGGGGCATACACCGAGGCTACGCCCGGACTGAGCACCTTCTTCGACGATTCCGAGAAGGTAGTGGAATCGCTGAATAGATTGGTGACGCAAGCAAGAGACACGTTGCCAAAGGAACTTTGGAGGTCAACGCCAATATGGCTGAGAACTTCCGAGGGTCTGACCCTGATGCCCTTGGAAAAAGCACACATCATTCTCGATGAGTGCAGTCGCGTGTTGAACAACTCGGGTTTCATGGTCGACGACGATTCGGTCGACGTCATAAGAGGCAGCGACAAGGCCATCTATTCGTGGTTGACCATCAACATGCTAATAAGAGCATTCACGAATCGGCCCTTCACGGTCGCCGCTTTCGACTTAGACGGTTTCTCGAACAACGTGGCCTTCGCCGTGGATTCCAAAACCATCGATCCCAGGTACGGGAAGAAGTTGTACCACGTGAGCGCCTACAATCGAAACTTCACCGTCTATGCCGACAGCTTCTTGACCATGGGGATGTTCGTCGCAAGGAAGAGAATATTGACTCATCGGGACAATAACAGAAATAACAAAGTGCCGTACGCAAACGTGACGACCATTCACCTGAAGTCCGAGTGCATCTCTCCATCTATACCCGAAATCGTGTGGAATTTCCGTAAAAAAACTCTCATCGTGAAACCACTGATTGATGATCGCCACGCGACCGATAGAATAATCAAGTGCTTAGAAATTGTTCGCAAAGTCGTTAAGAAGGTTATCCCCTATCCATTACCAATTCACCCAACGCAGAGGGTTTACGCGTTCTCGAATTACTTTGATCGGCTGCAGGAGGTACATTGAAACTCGCTGTCAGCTCAAGCCTTCAGAACCTAAATACTACGTATCTAACTTTTTGACAATTATTTCAGGTTAAATACTTACAGCTCAGTAAAGGTGCAAGAGTGACCGTTGGGCACATTCAGAACTTAGCTGCAAAGGCTTGTGAACAACCTGACTTGATGCATCCATTCATGTGCTTAGATTTGTCCTTTATATATGTCTTACTTCACGATGGATTCGGTCTTCATTTAACAAAACAAATAATTGTAAGTGTTTTTATTACGATACTTGATTATCTGAATGAAAGTTTTGTAATGAATCACTTTTTAGGTAACAAATTATATTGAAGGTCAAAATTTGGATTGGGCATTAGGTGCTGCATACAAAGTACTTCAAAACAGAATGAAATAGTGACTAGCTCTTCGTTTTAGATTCCAAGGTGCTTTATACACTCAAGCGAATTATTACATTTATAAATATATGACCCTTCCATGATAATATAGAAGGTTTTAACGATCTGGATCTGTGCGATTGGACGTTGTAACTTTTAAACGAGTAACCGTTTGCAATATAATATCGATTGTGTATAATGTGCCAATAAATAATGTGACTTCATCGAATTAAAAAATGTAGTTGTATTTTCATGTTGTTTGTTAAAAATCAATTAGGAAAACATTAGTATGTACAGTGTGACGAGATTTACCGTTACAAAGTCAATATGATTGCGTTCATTGTACGTCGTTATTACTAGTTTACTCTACGTACTTAATAGTCTACAAATCTTACCTGAGAATTACTTACATTAACTAGGAATTAACTTATTAACTATGAGTTTTTCATTTTTCTCTCTTCCTTGTATTTCTGCAACATCTGTTTTAAGCCATGATGTTTCGGATGTTTCTTACCAGTGCAAGCTTCGCAAGAGCAGATCGTTGGTACAGTGAGTACTCGCTTAAACGTTATGCCGTCTTCGCACGTCAACTGGACATTGATCTTCTTGTAGTCTAACGGCTGGCAACACGAGCAATCGATCACTTGATCCCAAGTTTCTGCAGACAATATTTGAGCGTTAAACAGAATTGATACGATTGAAAATTCCGATAGCAACCGAACGAGTAAACATACTAGTGTCATAACGCGTCGAGGAATCGCAGTGCCCGTAGCATTCCGCTAAGCCCTTAATGGGCTCCATGTTTTTACACACGCCGTGATGTCCTTTCTTCTCGGCGATTAGTCCTATAGTTTCGGAGAAGTCGAACACCTCCGCGACGCATTCTACAATGAAGCAATTCGAAAATAGTCCATCCATTGGCAATAATTGAGTGCTTAATTGTTTACGGCTTACGTTGTTGGGGCTCAGCTCTGTATTCGCATTTTTGGCAACATCCGTCGTGTATAATCATTTCCGGAGCACAATCTATTTTCGGACATACGGGAGAACTCGTGGTTATGAGTAGCTGTAAATTAAGAGCAGCGACGTGAATACTTATGCTGGATAGGTAAGTTGAACGAAATTAATTGGCGTTGCGTTGATCGATCTACCTGATCGCTCTTTTCGGCGCAAGAATATGTCGTGCAATTGTCGCTGGAGTACCAAGTTTGACCAGGTTCGTATAAGTAGTCGTCGACGATGCAATATACTTGTTCGCATTCACCGCAACATGCTTTGGGATCGGCTGACTTCTGGTACTTCCAACCCTTGGAAAGCAAACATTTGATTGTCAATTTATTGTCAAAAAATCAAATATTGTTGTTTGTTACTTTCGGGCAAGCCGTGTTACAAGTCTTCGACTCCTTATTCTTGACGATCTGACCATCTGGAGTCTCAACGCAAGACTCCAATACACAACTGTCTAATGAATTATTCCACGAGCTTCCAGCTTCATATACCAATCCATCGGCGAGACAGGCTATTCTTGTAAGTTTCGGACAGCATTTACCGGGTACCGGTACCATCTCTATTTGGTAATTAATTTTGTCCATTGGATTGATCGTTTCGCAAGTTTCGCTCACAGATTTCACGTGCAGCTAAACACACGAACAAATTCAACGATTGTAAGTGCGAGAAAATGCCGACATTCATAAGAGATGAAGTCACTTTACCGATCCGTTCTTCTTTTCGCAAGTACTCTTCACGCAATAATCGTCGGAATACCAAACGTCGCCCACATCCTTAAGTATACCATCGACGACGCAAGCGTAAGGTTTGCACTCGCCGCAACAAGAAACACCACGATCTTGGCTCTCCTGATATTTGTAGCCAAGCTCACAAATGTCCGTGCAAACCTTCGTGAACGTCTTCTTACGCAAACCGTTCGAGTCTAGTAGACATTCTGTGGTCACGCAACTGTCGTCCAACAGAGGATACCATTTTTCTCCAACCTAATTGCCATTAAAAATAGCCACGAAGATTTTCATTTGTTTATTTTCTTTCTATTTTCACGTCAAAAGTGCGTAGGGTACGTGCCTGATAAACGCGATTATCGTCCTTGCAAGCGATCCTTTCGAAACTAGAACAGCACTGAGACTCTAAAGCGTTACTCTTCAACACGTAGTCATTTGCATCCGGGTGGTTCTCCAATTTTATGCAATCCTTCGTAACACATTTCGATGTAGGTACGCCATCGTTGAAGTCACATGTGCAAGTCTTGCATAATCCATCTAGCCAGACATCACCTATTTGCTTCGCTACGAGGTTTTCATTGAATTCGAGATCGTTGCTCGAGTCCATATAGTACAAGCACAAATCCTTAGGTGGTTCTGCAAAACGACATTATCGGTAAATTCAAATCAACTCTCCTTACTTTCGTTTTACGCAGCGATTTTTCTACGAACCACAGATAATTCGAGGGCAACAAGCATTTGGATTATCTACAGTTACAACTTTATAATACTTTTGACATATTGGTACCGGAGGACACGTTTCTGGTTTACAAACTTTCGTCGTCTTCGGACAGCATCCAGATATGTCGGTTGTCATCGCGTAACCGGGCTCTAGTACGTCTGAGTTCGATCCGACGTCGTTATCGTACAGCGAGCATTGGTCTTTCGGTACACATTCTACAACAAAACAGATTTCAGATTCGTACCAACTGAACACGCAGAAGGAATACAAGGTGATATAGTACTCACGACAGATGAATTTCTGGCAACCGTTAGCGTCTACGGTTACTTTGAGCGTTTGGGCATAGCCACATTGCGGTTGTTGCATTTCCATGCAAGCTGGTGCTTCTGTGGGACGAGGCACTGCAAAACGCAACCGAGCAGACGAATTTATTTGAAGAAAAAAAAATACAGTGATACAACATCTTCACTAACCGCACAAGTATTTCGGGCAGCAATCGGTCTCCGTGCCCGGCACTATCACGGCATCGGAGTGCTCGTTGCAGACAGTCTCGATGGCAGGACACTCGGCGTGACTGCAACTGATCAGTCGTTGCTTACAGGTACAGTGAGTGCATTTATCAGGTTGCCAGGTGTCTCCGTCGACGTGACCTTCCTCGTCGCAAGCGAAGCAATTGCGCGTCGGTATGCAAGTGCCGTTCTGCCAAACGAAATCCTCGGGGCAGAAGCAGCCCTCCACCGGGTCGGCTCTGCACGCGACGGAGCTTTCGATGGTCTTGCAGGTTTTTGCGCAGCCTGTGCCGCACGCCTGGTACTCCAAGTCTGTCGGCAACGATGAAACGTTCGATTGGCAACGAGAACAACGACAGAGGTGATGGAGCGAGTCGCTGCGATACTCACTGTCGGCACACTCGTAGGGGCAAAGCTGCGGAGTACGCCAGGCAATGCAAGCCCCGTTCATCGTGCACATCCTGGCGTAGGCTTCGAAGTTGGCGCAAGCGTTGCCACCCTGACAAAGGGTGTCCTTGCAGGCGAGGTAGTAGGGCGACGGGTTGACCATTCCGTGGCAGCGGGCGAACGCGACGTCCAGCAGCAGTTGCTCGCAGAAGCCGTTCATTGACGGCTGTTCCGCGCAAGATTTGGGCGTCCTACTCGAGCACTGCTCTGCGTCGACGTTGAGGTTCAGCGAGTCGGGCAAGTTTTTAGCCGCCCAGCTGTTGCCGAACTCCTGCTGGTCGTTCGTCAACTGAAACGCCGCCGAGTAGTCGCATTAGGCGAGTACCTCTCGCTAGACGGTATTCCGCGATCGCCGTATACCTGGCCGTCGTGCATCTTCAGGTCGTCGTGTTGTCTGCCGTTGCAGTTACCGCAGAGACCCTCCATCGCACCACCAAAGGTATGCGACGGCAAACGCAAGACGAACGCCAAATTACGCTTGAAAGCGACGATCTCCATCTGTATCTCGGGCATCAGTAGTTGCACGTCTCCACTGGGAGTCAATCCGATGACCAGCCATGTTGCATCGAATGGATAATAGGCGATTTGCTGATCGTCGACGTACGCAATCAGCTGACCTCGATCGCTGTTCTTTCTTATCTGAACGATATGGCCATCGTAGAAGGTCGTAATCACTTCGGTGCAGATGCCTTCGTCGCACGCACCATTGGTAACTAGAATCTATCGTAGGAAATCACGCGAGATTGTTGAGCCGTCGCGGGAGTAAGCGAGTAAAGATGTTATTCACTCGCGTACCTGATACTTGTGTTTGCCATCAAAAGCATCGGCTACATCTCTCGACAGCATGTACGTGCAGTTAGCATTGAAGAGCACGTTGCTACGATCGAAAGTCACGAATCTGGAGTTACCAAGACCGTCGCAGACACAATCGCGACACTCGGCCGGCGGCACGCAAGTGTCGCCGTGGCGTACCATGCCGTCAGGACAGAAGCATCCCTGCACGCAGACGTCGTCGACGCTCGGGCAGGGATCGGATTCCAGTAGGTTCTCGCAGCTCAGCTCGCACTTGCGCCTGCGACGACGCGATCAATCGTAGTAGGACAGATAAAAGCTTGCGCGGAGATTGAATTGCACGGCGAACCTCACCTGAAGCAGTCCTTTGGTACGAAGGGTGCGTCGCACACAGCGGGACAATCGTACACGGATCTCCAGTTGGTCAGGTCGACGCTGCTGTCAGCGGCCAGGCACGTCGACACGTAAGCCGCGAGCGCGTCGCAGCGGCACTGCTGGGCCGTGAGGTTGCCGCCGGTCATGCAAGCGCAGTGGCTCTCAAGACAGCTCGCCACGAACTTCTCGCGATCGTGGGCGCTCGAGCAGGCGTCGAAGGCCGGATCGCGCGCCATCGTGCATACCCTCCACGTTTCCTGCTGGACCTCTCGTGGACAGACCTGCGCTTGTCAATCGTTCCCGCTTGAGCGGTGCTCATCGTCTTGGTGGTTACATATATTCTTCCCAGAGATAAGCACTCGCCTGTAGTCTACACTCGGCGCTGTCCAGCACCTTCCAGCTGTCGCCGAACTCGTGCGCGCTCTTGGCCAGCTCGTGGCTCGGCGTCTGCTGGTCGTTAACCATTATACCATCCAGGTAGCCGCACATGCCGTCGACGCGGTCGACGAGCTGCTCAGAGACGCCGATCTTGATGGTGCCCGAAGCGTCGAGCAGCGTCCAGAACGGATAACGCGGAGTCTCGAAGCGCAGTGCATTGCCGACGCGCGATATCTTCATCGCGGGATTCTTGTCGCCGAGACGCTTGACTTCGCTCGGATTGTAGCGCTGACCATCGATCGTTACGTACATGTTTGGTTCTAGAATCACCACGTGCTCATCGAAGCTTACGGTGAGGATCTTCTGACACAGCAGGGTTTGGTCTTGGCATACTTTCTCCACTGCAATCGCGCGTTTTTGAATAAGAAAAGAACGATATAAACTCAAGCGACCAACTCACCGACGATGTACCACTTGTTGAAATCCATGTCTCTCGCCAAAATGTGATTGCATACGTCGTATTTGTAATCAAGTCCGTCGAAGGTCGAGAACGACCTGCCTATCATCGTGCACACTCGCATTTTCGGGGGAATCGGTATGCAAGTATTGTCGCATGCAAGCGTCTTTCGTATACTCTTGGCCGGATCGTAAGTCGGTTGATAGCCCGCCGGGCACTCCAGCTTCTCGCAGGTCGCGACCTCCATTTCCCGTTTACAAATGATCTTCGGGCAGATGTGCGGCTCCTCTTCTTCCACGTCGGCGAATCGAGAGTCGAATCTCGGCGGCGGAAGCTTTACCCTGAAATCAGTCGATCCGTTATTAAACCAGTCGCGGAAAACGACGGAAAACGAGCAGGTTTTCCTCGCTCACTTCACGAAAGTTGACTGCTCATAAGTTTGATTTTGCGACATAGTGATGCTGAAGTTGGCGAGATTAACGCCGTCGACGATGTTATCCACCGTGACGAATCCGGGCGGGCAAGTGGTGACACATTGAATTTCTAAGCAAAGATAAAAAATTTGTGAGTCGATAGATGGAAATTCACGTCACCCAGCAATTTCGACAATTGACCTACTCGTAATAGTGGTATTTGTGATGGTCGCGTCCGACGAGAATTCGTACTCGCAGTCGTCTGGCTCGTCGTCGGGACAGTCCTTGACTCCGTTGCACCACTTGTCCGCGTCGATGCACAGGTCATTGGTGCGACACAGCCTTTGACCGGCCGGACAATTCTTGCAGAGACAAGCGCACAGTTCGCCGACGACCGGGCGCTGTTCTGGAATCGAGCATGCCGGGCAGACTTTGGGATTGCACATTGGGAAGCCACTCATGGCGCAGGTGCAGATCTGACAGTCGGCTGTCTCGTAGCTCGAGCCGACCGAGTACCTGAGAGTAGGCCAAACGACCCGTTACCACATCTCAACGATGGCGTACAAGCTACACTGCTGCATACTTACGAGATACCGTTGACAACGCAAGGACAATCCTGCATGGCTACGCACGACTGGCCGTTCCACCAGAGAGACTCCCCGCACAAACACTGGCCCTCGGTTTCGATGCCGGGGCAAACGTCGCAGTTGGCTGGCGGTGGTGCCGCTGATGAAGGTCCGACAATCGGAGCTGCCGATCATATCCACATTACGCGTTATCGACCACGCGACATGGATTCCCATTCGGTTGGCGCTTCTCAGTCGAACACTTACGATAGGGAAGGAAGCAACCGCGTATCTCCACTCTCATGCCGACGTGGTTGTGCCAACTATAGGGATGTATCCTGAGCAGTCTCGCAGAAATCGGCAAATCGAAGTAGTTGACACGGCTGCTGTAATCGTCGACGTTCGCCAAAAACTTTCTGTCCGCGCCGAATTTGTCGAGAATGGGACTCCAGCCCAATCCGTCTTGGCTGTACTTGACGGTATACTGAGTGACCCAGGTGTCGTCGCCTCCTTTGGTCTCGACGCCGGTGAGATTGCGCGGCTCCAAAAAGTCGAACTGTACGTACTGGTTGGGATTGTCGAGGAACGGATGCCAAGTGTCCGGATTCGACAGTCGGAGATTGGGCTCCTTGCCATCGTAGCTGGATGCGACCATAACTTGATGCCTGTCCATTAGGCCGCTATCGTAACCCATCGGGTCGTCGCAGACTGACGAGGGAAATCGATGGCGATTAGCGCTGTGTATTCAGGCTTGGAGCATCGCGTCGGAAACACCTACCTGGTCGAACGACCGAAGGCGTCACCACGATTGGTGGAGCAATGGTGCTCGTCGTCCGCTCCTCTGCGCAAGCAATCAATTCGACTTGCATGGCGATCGCGCCGTGCCACTTGGCTGGATAAACTCTCACGAACTTAGCCTCGATCGGCGGATGAAAGAACTGCTGCACCGGCGCGTTACTCTCGGCCGGGCCGCGAAGCTCGTCCGGCGTTGTCCAGTTGCCGACGACCGAAAACGCGTAGCCGTCGTCGGAGAATAGCACGTAGTAACTGGTGACGAATATGTCCGCGAATGGATCGCCACCGACGACGATTCCGTAGATCGGTTGCGGCTTAACCAGCTCTATTTCCAGCCAGGGCTGCTGGTCGTCCACCGACGGTCGCCAAACGAACGGCGTGGTCGTGCGTTGGAGACGTATCATATCGCTGCTCACGAAGGTGCTGAGATAACTACTGGCGCTGAAGTTCACGTCGAAGGGCGACTGTTCGGTTAGCCACGCGTAATTCTCGCCGAGACAGTCGCGTGGTGGACTGCTCACGTGTGGCACGATTACCACGTCGCGAAATTCATAAATCCTGTTAACATTCGAACGGGCTTTTAGCTTTCATTTTCAGTTATGATAAAAATCAACAGCGTGGTAAATTTCTATAGCAACTGTAATGAAAAATCTCAAAATCACTCTTAAGAATTACTCACTTTGGTTTCCGAACAGTAATCGATTCAGATACATTTCGCCTATTACACAAGGATTCATCGCAAGTGTAGTGGTTGTTAAGACACTGGCAAGTCTTGCAATCGTTCTCTTGAACTTTCCGGCCCGGTGGTACGATTTGGCCATTTTCGGATATGCAAGTGCAATCGGAACTATGGACACACGTGTTTTCGTTTAGCCAATAGTTATCTTTAGCCGTGCAATCTGTACGCGAATTCGATACACAGCCTGGCAAGCAATCGATCGTCCTATTGCACACTTCAGTGGTCGTCAATAAATGATTGTAACCGTGGCAAGTTTGACTGCATCTTATGGCACAATCATCCCAGTGCTCGCCTGGGTTGCATCTTGACTCTGAGTGATAACAACAGATCGTTGGTGTTTATCATCGCGAAGAATGACTAAAACCTTGCTTAACGGATCGTCGAATTTTCGAAATCGATACACGAATCACGCAAACCAAAGCAAACAAACGTATTTGAAATAAACGCATTCGTCGACACTTACCAGGGGTTTCAGCAAAGTGTACACCTAGACATTCGGGTCTGACAACTTCGACATTAGCCGGCCAATCGCAAATATCGATCCTGTCGTTAAACATCATGTCGGGAGCGCACGTCTTGGGTATCCACTCGTTGCTTCCAGAGGGTCCGATTCCGCAGTGAAAGAAGTCGAAGCAATTTAACGGACTGGATTGGTACGTGTTTAACACGCATGGATCGATCGCAGGCGGCGCAGTCATTGGAGGCGGGTCGTCGCCGCAGTCACAAAGAACACTGATCTCGAAGTCCGGACAGTTCTCTCCGCGATTGTCGGACAGTCGGCAAACGAAGCCGGTGTCGATGCCGCAGTCTACGTTCAATCCCACCTAGAGTATTGCGTTGCTCAATCGCGTGCTTTGGGGCTTCGAAGCGGTTTACCGAGTACCGACAAACCTCTTTGTGCGACAGCGCCGTGTTGACCTTTCGGCACCTGATGTCGATCATTTGCGTTCGATCGCACACTGCCGTCGTTGCATTGACGTTCAGCAACTCTACTGTACTAGGCATTTCTTCGATTTCATTTCTGAATCTATCGTCCTTCGGCCGGTCTCTATTCAGCCACGTCGTCCATCCACTCCTGCACTTCTCTTCCTCGGTGCTGCAATCGAAATTGATGTTTTGTTTACATCGTGTGAAATCCCCTCAGACGACCCCTCCTGCGTTTGAACAACTCACCCGCCGACTTGGGTATAACTGAGCGGCGTCGAGAAGGGCACTTGGCACGGCAGTCCTTTGCACAGCACTTTGCCTCGGCTGCAGAAACACGAGTGGCAGTCGTCACCCTTGACTTTGTCGCCCTCGTAATATATAGTTCCGTTGATGATCGTGCACACGGGCTTGCAGTCCGTTCGCGGTACGCACTCGGCATACGACGAGTTGAGGTAAACTTGGCCTTCCGGACAGCTTTTGGGTTTGCAGCCTTCGACGCAGGTGTCTTGGTCGCAGAGGTGCAACGAGTCGACAAGCGTGACCAAATTGTCGCAGGTCTCGCGCGGACAGGTCGTCACGCATGACGAGTACTTGGAACACGTCTCGTCGCATTGCATGGGGCAGAGCTGTTGACTTCTCCACTGAGGCGCGTCGAAAAAGAACATCAATGCATCATCGCTCGTTTGCCCGCGTTATATTCCACGCTCGATTGAACTCACGTGTACGGGCACACCCATCGCGTTGCACTGTTGCGCGTAAGCAGCTATGGCCGTGCAGAGACACTGGCAGTCGCCACCCTCGTCGCAGCCGCAGGTGTCGTAGATGCATCTCTCGATGTACTGCTCGGGCGGCACCTCCGAGTGGCAGGCCTCGAAGACGGCAGACTTCATGATCCTGCACTGCTGCACGGCCCACAGCTGCCTCTCGGGTCGTTGCGCGCAGGTGTCGGGCGGGTTCTCGCTTGGCTCGGCGCAGAGCTCGCTTAGCTTCCACGAGTCGCCGAACAGACTGGCGGAAGCCTCCGACAGACCGCCCGACGGTGTCTTGAAGTCATCCTCGGCGTCGTCGTTAAAGTCGCCGCACAGGCCCTTCGTGCGACTCTTCCACCTGGCGTCCAGACGGACGTAGGCTCGCGTACCCTCGTCCCACTGCACGACCAGGCCGAGATCGGGCACGTCGAGGAAGACGAACAGTCCCGCGCGGCGCACGGCGACTCGTTCTGCCAGGAAAGTTCATCGTCAATGTGCGCGCGCGTTGCTCGGCACTAGGTCTAGGTCGGCACCGCATCGTTACTTACGCAGATCTTTGAAGTCATCGACGCTCATGCTTTTGCCGCGCGTGAGCGTTACTCGCTCCTCCAGCGCGTGGTCGTTCTTGCCGACGGTCAGGGTTACGGATTTGGAGCAGGTGACGCCCGTAGTGCCGCAGGGCACGTTGCGAACGGTCACGTCGAAGGCCTCGTCGTCGTTGAGCCTGCCCTTGGCGAGCACGTACTCGCAGGCTCCCTGGAAATCGAACAGCTTGTCGTCGAAGCTCTTGTAGTGAGAGTCGCCCCACACCGAACAGACTCCTACGCAACCGATCCATTCGTCGCCGAATGCCGTCAATCGAACACACGGATTGTTTATTTTAGAGAGATAAGAAAACTACCCGGGCAGCGAATATCCGTGCAATTCCATTTGCCCTGAGTGCACTTGCAGCTGTTGCACTCCTTCTGCCTGACCGTGCCCTCCTTGTAACTCCTGCCACCGTGGTAGCAAGGACATCGGTTCTCCGGCACGCACTCGCCACTCGGTGCGTCGAGTACGTAGCCGGCCTTGCAAACACATCCAGGTCTGCAGATCGCCGGCGTCTGGGACGTATGCCGATGCATGTTACCGCAAGTGCGCTGCTCAACCGGTTCGCAAGTCGTCACTTTTTGGTGCTTCGTTGCGCTGCATAGAGACTTCAGCTGCGTCATCGCCGGGTAGTCCGATATCTCGTCGGGCGTTGCCGGCTGACAGCTCCACCTTCCACCTTCGACAATTCGCTCATTTTTTTCGCTTTCACATCTTTCGCTCGTCTTTCCTCGTAAGCGAGACTAAATTACTTGCGCAAGTGCAGAGTTGTTGACCCTTCGTGGCAGGCCTGACTTCTTTGTAGCCGGCGAGGAACTCCAATCCACCGTAGGTGCAAGGACAATGATTTATGGGGATGCAATTGCCGTTCACGTCGAGGGTCGAACCCTTCGGGCAGTTGCAACCCTCCACGCACTCTTCCTTGCATTCTCCGTGGAACGAGATGTCGGCGCAAGATCTGGTGACACATGACATTTTTTACTCGTGTGATTGTACGCAGATATTTTGGCGCCAGTTATTTTCATTAAGCAGTAAGATGCAAGAAATATGTAGTTCAAATCAATTGAAATTAATTATGATGGGGTGAATTGTCTTTTCGCGAAATATAAATTTTCCATATAGAAAACTAATAGCTTTGCCGGAAATCGATTCTTTTTTTTTCATCAACCAATCGAATAATCTCAAAAATTTCAAAAAAAGTATTCAAATGTAAACTTAAACTGAGTAATTACTAAGCCGTTATACATAAAATAATGTAAATTAAGATTAAAATGAGCAATCTTAGACGATGACGACATGTAAGTGATGAAAACCCACTACAAGGAAACGTTATTTTTTCGCAGTATATACGACTATTTGATTACCGCTACTGCTTGACCCTCTCATTAACATTTACTAAATTTGCATTTAACAATTAATTTATAACAAAACCTTATTAATTTTCACATATTTTAATGCACGTAACGAAACGAATTATATTACATACGCGCCTATTATGAATCCGTAGTCTTCCACGTCACAATTCGAGTAAATAGTCGATTCGACGAATGTGGCCATTGTCGCTTTACAAAACTTTGTATATAATGTTTCTAATAATAAAAATGGATTTTCATCGTTCCGAAAACTGGCATCAATAATTTTTGCAACTTATACGTTGCATGGCGTAGGGTGAACTGAATATATATATAAATTGACTGCCGAGCACTTGAGCAAATCACCACTATTGGACGTCAAAAAATCATCGATATTAGACAACGCGTGTAATTTTTGTAAGTGAATTTGTAATCACGCGAGAGCTAAGAGTTCTGACAGTAATTTTTATTGATATCGTATGCAAAAAAACAATCGAAAGAATTGTTATATATCATTTTCTTAAGAAAAAGTCGAGAGGCCGGAAAGTAATGTCGTTCACTTCCTGGTCTGTTACATTTTGATTTTTGAATTTAATGAAAATGATCGAAAGCAAGGTCAATTGTGAACTCTACTCTACAAAATGATGGTACAAGAAGGTCGATAACTTACATGAATAATTAACAAAATCGATTTGAAAGTAAAAAGTCGGTAACAATTGCAGTAGGAAACGAAAGCGCGGGATTGTCCACGACGACTGAGTCTCTCTACGAGGTCCGCGCTCAGTTCATATAAATGTAAAAAGGGCCCGCAACTCGTCAATACAGTTTGTGTTAGTCACGTCAGTAGCAGCAACGCTCTTATATCCGTTAGCATGACTGAGACAGCAGCAACTCTAGCTCCAACAGCTGAGGCTCCTGCAGCCCAGGCTTCACCGAAGAAGACCAAGACCTCGAAGAAAGTCGGAGTAGCGAAGAAGCTGGCGACCAAGCCGAATCATCCACCGACTGGTGAGATGGTCAACGCCGCCATCATTGCTCTCAAGGACAAGAAGGGATCTTCTCTTCAGGCCATCAAAAAATACATCGCTGGTAACTACAAGGTCAATGTAGACAAACAGTCCATCTTTATCAAGAAGTACATCAAGTCCGCCGTTACCAAAAAAACCATTGTTCAAACCAAGGGAACTGGAGCCGCCGGTCGTTTCAAGATCGCCGCTAAATCCGAGGGTGAGAAGATTGCTAAGAAACCAGTTGCAACGAAAAAACCAGTTGCCGCCAAAAAGCCTGTAGTTCCCAAGAAAGCTAAGGCAGTAGCTAAGCCTAAAGATGACGCGGTGAAGAAACCAACTGCCGCCCAGAAGCCTGCTGCAGCCAAGAAACAGACCGCAGCGAAGAAGGCTCCAGCTAAACCCAAAGTGGCAAAACCAGTAAAAGCAAAGACCACGAAAACTCCAACAAAGCCTAAGGCACCCAAGCCCAAGAAGGCTGCAGCACCAAAGGCTAAGGCCGCTCCCAAGAAATAAATCTTTTTATAAACCAGTCCTTCTCAGGACTACTATAATCGGCCCTTTTCAGGGCCACCATTTTTTTTTAACGTATAACAAACTTATTGCGTTGAACATATATATTATTTTCAAGGATGAAGAATCTAATAGAAAAACTAAATATAATCAGTAAAGATATTAAATTAAATAAGAAAATATAAATATAAATTAATAATAAAGTATAAATGAGCAGTTCTGTCGGTACGGCAGATCACTAATTTTTCAACGGAACAGATAGGTTCATATACAAACTGTAGTATATGAAACCAAAGGCGAGCAATTGAAAAGTTAACTAACGGTATTTGATTTATAAAAAAATGAAGATACCTAGTGCAACTGCTACCGCAGGCTTGGTATTCTTGATCACCGGGACAGTGTATTCGACACTCGTGTACTTGTTGACGCCAAGGAACGATTACGCCCAAATGAACGCAGTCTTTCGCATAGGCAGCCAGAGTCGGACACAAACAGCGCTCAATGCTGTCCTCACAGGCACACATGTCGTATAAGCAGTCTTTGTAGAACGGCTCAGGATCGACGTGCCAGTGACAGCCTAAAATTGTAGCGATCGTCTACAAAACTGTTTGAAAGTACTCGAAGGAAATGACAATAGTGCTTGCCTAGGAATATCTTTGTCTTCAGAACACCACAGTACTTCTCAGCGGCATCTCTCTTGTGGGCGTTGACGTCACAGGGATGGTCCGAGTCTTTCTTGATGTCGGCGCAGTGCTCGTCGGTCTTCCACTTGTTGGCAAAAGCGACGACTGCTTGCTCCACGTCTCCGTCGGGGGTCAAGAAGTCGTCCTTCTGGCTGGCGCTGAACGTGCCACACAAGCCCTTGGTTTGGCCTGTCGAAACGAGCGTTTAGTACTGGATCAACTCCGAGAAAAACGCCGAATAGCGAGACGATCATGGCTGTACCTCTAAACTGAGGGGGTGCATTGATGTAAACTCGCGAGACGCCGTCCCACAAGACCTGCAGTCCGTTCGGTAGCTCGACTGCAACGAAGATGCTGCTGACGATGCGCACTCTTATTTCGCCGGCGAGCAGCGGCAGCTTCGTCACGTCCTCGCCGTTGACCGAGATCTGGCGATTCTGCTTGAGTTTCACCGCCACATCGTTCGCTCGGATGGTCACCGTTTTGGTACACGACGGATCACCGTCTCGGTAGCCCCTCGCCAAGCCCATCATCTGCGGCCAACGGAGCGCATAATTAATCGACGACCAAGGCGCGACGCAACGAGGCGACCATCCCGCGCAAGACGCACCTCGGAGATGGAGCTGCTGCACGGTGCATTTTCCGCCTGCACGCTGTAGTCGTGGCCCTTGACCAAGTAATAGCTACACTCGCCCATGAAGTCGTATCTCTTGCCATCGAAGGTGGTGTAATGGGGATCGCCGATAGCCGAGCAGCGAGCGCCGCACTTGGTCTCGGTGCAGGTCCAGCGGCCGGCCGCGCAGACACAGGTGTTGCAGTCCTTGGGCACAGTGGCGCCGGCCGCGAACGACCTGCCACGCAGGCGGCACGGGCACTCGGCCGGCGCGACGCAGCGGCCCTCGTGCAGTACCGTGCCGGCCGGGCAGAAGCAGCCCTCCTCGCAGCCATTCGAGTCCACGGCGGCGAGGCGAGCGGACGAGTCCGCGGCGCAGGTCGGCTCGGCCGCCGGGCCGCAGGCCGCGTACTCCCGGCCGCCGTCGCACCGCATCGCTGGGAAACACGCCGAGCGAGGTCGATCTCGAGGCCGGGCGAAAGCGCGCGTGCGCGCACACACACTCACGGCAGACGCTGCTGTCCCTCCAGCCGGCCAGGGCCACCAGGCCCCTGTGGGCGCACTGGCGCACGTAGACGCCCATGGTGTCGCAGGCGCAGCTGCTGGGCCCGGCGTCGGCGCACGAGCAGTAGTCCCATCTGCAGGCCGCGTGGAAGCCCGCCACGTCGACGAGGCCGGCGCAGCTGCGGTAGCGCGAGTCGGACAGCAGCCGCGCGCAGAACTCGTCGGCTTCGCGCCCCAGCCGGGCCGAGCCCGCGGCACACGGGTCCTGCGCGCTCGGCGGCTCCTCGCAGCGCTCTGCAAGCAACGGGCGTCGGCGAGAGCTGGCGCGTCGCGATCGTCGCGGGCCGCGCGAGCGCGCTACCTGCGATGTCGTCGATCCGCCAGGCGGCGGCGGCGCGCAGCGGGTCCTTCGCGCCGGGGCCCCGGTCCGCGTGCCGCCGCCCATCCAGGCTACCGCACAGCCCGGCCGTCCTGTTCCACAGTGACTCCGAGGCCTCGATCTGCGCCAGTCGCGCACCGTCCCACTTGACCTTCAGGCCCAGCGCGTCGAGCGTCACCGCGAGGAACCGGCCGCTCTCGGCCTCCAGCCGCAGGCTCGGCAGCTGCGACGGCACCGCCAGCACGCGGCCGCCGCTGCGCAGCTCCGGAGACCCCGTCGCGGCGTTCGCCGCCAGCTCGTACTGTCTGCCCTGCACCAGTAGGCGCAGCATCCGCGGGCAGCCGGGCGCACCGCCACGGCACAGCGGGTCGCTCTGCGCGACCACCGTGAACAGACCATCGCGCGCGTCCTTCAGCAGCGTGTACGCGCAGTCGCTACCTGCAATGTCGAACGGTCGGACGGTCAGGCGCGACGACTCTCCTCGAGCGCGAACCGGCCGCGCCGCTGCTCACCCGCGAAGCTGAGCACCCGGCCGTCGAAGGTCTTGTAGTGGGCGCCGCCCCAGGTGAAGCAGGCGCCGCCCTCGGGTCTGGCGAGCCCCACTACTCCGGGGCCGCCCCCCTCGACGCCGGCGACGTCGACGAACAGTCCGTCACCGTGGGCGAACGCGGTCGAGCTGGCGTCGCCAAACGCCGCGCCGCCCGACTCGATCCGCCACGAGGTGTTGAGGGTGCGCGTGACGTGGGTCCGCTTCTCGATGCTGCCGAGGCTGAAGATGCTCGCGCCCGCGGGCGGCACGCACTGCGGCACTCGGCGCGGCTCGAACCGACCCACGTCGTAGCGGCACACGTATTGCGCCGCGGGCGCGTACTCGAACGGCACCTCCGGCGGGCAGGTCAGGTGGCAACCAACCGAGAAGTCATCCAGGGTCGCGCACTCCGTGCCACCGTTGAAGTTCAGATTGGTCGAGCTGCACACGTCCGCACCTAAATACGCCGAGGAAGAGGAGGAGGCGTGTCAGCGTGCTCGGCACGTTACTTCGCGCCAACGTGTCTCTCGACTCACTGTATTGGCACTGCGCTCCCACGAAGTCTTGAGGGCACTGGCACACGTTCAGCGAGAGACACACCGCTCCGTTCTGACAGGGCGGGTGGCACTTGGCTGAAAGTACGCAAGGTTCGAGCCTGAGCTTTCTAGCAAGTCGCTCGCGAGCGTCGCTGCTTACGTTGGCAGTCGGGCACGGAAACCCAGTCGGTCCTGGTCGGCTCCCAATTGCCGTGCCTGCAGATCATGTTCGCGATCGTCGAGCCGCCCGGGAAGGTGAAGTCCTTGTGGCACGTTATCGTGCTCGTCCTGCAAACACAACGCGCGGGCTTAGTTCGAGTAGCGATGTGGCGACGCGATCGTCGAGCCAAGCAATTTACTTGGTGTTGAATGCCATCTCAGCGTTCTTCACCGTGGGCGGCGCGTTCAGGCACGGCTTGTTCTCGAATTGACACTGTGGCCCGGAGAAGTTATCCGGGCAGTTGCACTGGTTCGGCCGGATGCAGATCCCAGTGTTTTTACATTCGGGTAGGCAAACGGCTGAAAGACCATTTCGTCGTCGATATATGTCAGAGAAACGAAATAAAGTATAAAGAATTGTTTATGTGCGTACGTTCGCAATGGGGTATGCTCGCGTCGTAATCAGCGCCTTGAACCCTCCACGCACCGTCGCGACAGACGATCGCAAGCTCCGTTTCGCCGTTCGGAAACCGGTGGTCCGGCAGGCAACTTGCTCGACAGCCTCTGTAAGCAGAAACATCGTTGGGACCGGGTAAAACAAACGATTTCTCTTCCAAGCGTACGTACTCTGACGAGTGACAGCTCAAGTTGCCATTAATCACGTAATTGGGCGCGGAGGTGCAGCCACCGTCGAAATCGATACCACCGATTCGACTGTGAAATCGGTTGGAGGATTCATGCGATGACTTGTGCGAGTAACTTTCCTGTTTGTAACGTTGGTCGTTTACCGTCAATTCGTCGTCATAGTCGTCGCTGAAATCATAATAAAATCGAAGGATTGCAATTATGTCAATGCTTTAATCTAAGCGACTCGTATCATCGGTTAAGAAAGGATCGAGGTTGTTGGATAATCGAAGTAATCTTTCCCCTTTTGATTCTTTCGAGCCATTAATTTATTTTACAAGTCGTGCCAACATTTCGGTCACGTTGCTTATCATAATTTTTAAAACAACAAAGTTAATCTAATATTACAACGTGATAAAAAACTTGTTACATATATGTATTGCATCAGTAAGACAGCAGTCTAAGTTGCACATGACTATAAAAGGCAACAAACACGTAAAATAAATTAATGCTTTAAAAGAATACAAAGGGGAAAAATGGTTTCCATTACCCAACAACCTCCTTTTAAAGGATAACAATCTCGGCGCGAAAGCAACGCCGATGATGAATCTCTTACTTTCTGAACATAAAGTCCGATCCTGGCTCGGCGTCAACGAGTTCGTTGAAGCTCGCTGCCGCGAGGAAACCTGCAACCAACACGATCCTCAGCATCATTTTGGCGACTTTCGAGGAGGGAAACACATGCCCCGCCGACGAGATCCTGTCGCTTATACTAAGGCACGACGCGAGGTCGCCGGGCGGTTTATATGGCGAATTTCCCGCAGGAAGCTCCGATGATAAATCTAGGTCAGGCACATATAATACGCCTTACTTGTGCTCTCTGCTGCCCCGACCGCGTGTGCGTGCGCTCTTGGCGAGATTATCATCGTGTGCTCACCGCAAAATTTTTTACGCAACAGGATGCCAATATGTACGCCTTCGTTCTAGCTGATTTTTTTTTTAATTAAGAGGAATTTTCGGTGGATTGCGGTTTTCTTTCGACGGCGGCCTTCGGCAATATAGAAATAAATGAACGATCGTGAGAAATATTTCAAATAATCTTTGGTGAGTGAGACTGGTAATGATTGATATTTCAAATTCATACAAGTATATGTTTATTTTTTTTATTCATTAATTTGTAATAGGTGAGAATTAATTAATAAAATTTAACAGGCTAGTTAGCTCAAAAAGCTCGAAAGCGCAAACCCAAAAATGACAAAAACTTTAGATATTACTGGGTTATCGAATAGAGTTTTAAATTTAATTCCACTAATATGTACGCGAATAAGTATGACGCATCAAAAAAATATAAATGTTTAATAAAAATACTAGTCATTCGGGATATTAATTAATTAATTAACCAAAATTTGTTTTTAACAACCACTACATTAAAGTAGCTGTAATAATCGATTCACAGTACTTTTATTTGAATAATTAACTACGGATTTGTATTTAAATTACTAGTCGTAGTCATGATTTAGTTGTTTTTAAGAAAGTTAATCCGTGGTTTGGAGGTCTTGTCAAACTTTTCATAAAAATTAATCGGTTTCAGGTCAGATAATAGATTGACAGTCTTCAGATAGAATTGTTTCAGCTATAACGTTGACTATGGACACGAACCTTGCGTTCCATGATTTGTCATGTTTTTTTGTGTTTCTATTGTACATTATTTAAATTAAAAATATTCTTATCAAAAAAAATGTCTAAATTTCTAGGTTTTAGCTATTTTGATACGTGCACTGAGCTTCGAAAAAACTTGGAGCTAAAACTGCGGTTTTGCAATAATGAGTGGATATACTTTTTTTTAATTAATACTTCCTCGTGTACGTATGGTTTTCCGTGGTCTTATCACTAACTTGGGTATTCCAGAGCAGACCTGAAAGCTGTATAATTATTTTTTCCTATAATATCCCGCATGCTGTAGGTCATAGCTGCACGGGATGAGCGTGGCTTTCATCGACATTTTATTACAGTCACTGAATAAAACCAATGACTGCCTATTTATACGATTTCTACTTCAATCAAATTTAAATTATTTATTTAATGCGTACACACGTTTCATTCTACCAAAATTAAAAATATGATGCGAATGGAATTCATGCTGATGCGAATTCGAGTTAACTTACCACAAAATGCAATCGAAGTTTTCCATAATTTTCAAAATTCAATATTTAATAAGTTGAAATTAAAATAATTTTATATATTGAAGAAAGTATAAGCAAAGTTGGTTACAACAATTATCTATCAATTTTATAAAAATCGAGTAATTTTGACAGGAAATATCGATTCCATTGATTAAACAAATTTTTGAAAATTCATTTTTTTACTATTTGAATTAAATGAAAAGTAACATCTCTCTAATCTCATTTCATTCTTCCGTTTAAAAGCGATGATACATTGAGTAGCTTGTGATTTACAAAAAAGGAAATATGAGTAACAAAATCCTTGACACAATGTTAATTATCCACAAATGAAGTTGCTCCATATTCGGGACGCCTGGAAGCTCGATAAGATACAACATTTTTTCGGCCTGCTATTTGTGAGATATAAACATCAAAGTGCATTATCACAGTATTTTTATATATCAGCGTGAACCAGACGGTATTGATGTCTGCAAAAAATTGTAACAATGGCCGTGAATTAGATAAACTTCGTTCTGAATGAAAATAGAGATGACATTGATCTTCTTTTTCAAGGGTTTTACAAATAAATCATTCTCAATGTGTAGTAATAAATAATTTTTAGTGTATAAAAATAGTCTATCGGTCTCAGTAAAAACATTAATAAATAAGTATTGAACTATAGTCTAGAGATTAGTTCTGCAGTGTATAGTCTTATGTGTATCATGAGTTTATCTATGTTGATTATTATACATGTGGCTTGCTATGAAAATTCTTAGCTATAAAATGCTCTGGTTCTGAGTATTTTGATCGCCAGATCTGGAAGTATTTATCATTTGAAATATCTTCTGTATCAGTTAGATTGAATTCATCACGCAAAGCAATTTTCCATACCTATAAATTCAATTCAATTTAACTCACATAGAATAAGTAATGATCTCTTGCATACCAAGTATAATTACTTTATCTTCAGGTATAGGTGTAGGAGCTGGTTTATTTCCATAAATTCCACTTTCAAAAGTATTCAAGTGATACAGTAAATAATTTATTGTTCGCATTTTTTCAGCATCTCCATTACTAAACGTGACTGTTCTACTTGAACAACATTTCGAATTCGGCTCGTAAATAGCGCGGCTATAGTAAGCGCCTGGTTTAGCTATACCCCATAATAGCACATTCAATGGATATCCATGAAAAGTCGTTTTATTTTCTGAATCTCGTGTGTCACTGGGATGAACACCCAAAGATCCTAGATGCTTTCCTACAAATTCATAAAAATTAATATTTGAGTATCATTCATTTTAATCTTATTTTAATATTAATTTTAATCTTATCAATTCAATGTTTACCTAAATAGTAATCCTCATTTTTCCAATATTTTCCACCAGCAGCACATTTCTTTGAAGTATTGAATAATTTTATAACTCTGCGCAAAGATTCATAGCTAAGTACATATCCAGCTTGAGCTACATTGTAAGGTGTACCCCAGAGTACAATAGCATGTCCTAAGTAATAAGGTTCCATGTAATTAAGTGCAGCTAAATTGTATTGCAAGTTCTCGGGTACAACAATGGTGTCATCCTTAATAAAAATAATCCAATTCAAAGGTATCTCATTTCTTCTTTTCCATATATAATTCATAATTTCGCAAAGAAACTGCCATGCTGAAGTATATTTAATTCCTAAGTTAATCACAGAAAAGTTGGAGTCAGATAAGTTACGTGAGAAAAATAGCAATTTGTTGCAGTGCTTTCCCCATGTGTCTGTAATTGTAGCTACTAATTTTAACTTCTCCACAAATACAACGCAGGTAATAGGTACTTTGGTCCTCAACCATTTGGATTCTAAAACTAGCTTTTTAACGTCTAGAAAAAATAGTTAGATTCAATTTGAATTCACAAAAGAAGAAGTGATTCACATTGTCTAGTGTAATATCTCACCAGAATGGTTAATTGACTGAGCTCCATAAGCGTACTCATCTAAATTAAGTTCAGAGAGTTTTACATTTTGATTTTGACACCAAGCTTCATAATTTTTAGCACTCTCTGACCAATTCTCTAAGAAAGTCCAGACAATTTTCAAGGAACTTTTGTGCAATTTCGGAGACTCAATAATAGAGTTAACATACTTGTATATGAAAACTGATAAAAAACCAAATAAAAAACCAATAACGAATACTACTTTTGGACGTAAAAGGATGTTCATTGTTCTAATATAATCATATCATCATCATTGTACATAATGGCTGATTTGTTTCTGAAAGAAGAATCAATTATTAAAATTAATTTATGGCTTTCATATTAGTAATTGCACTTGTAACTTGAGAGAGACACTGGTTAATATGTTAGATTATTCGTTAATTATCCAAGTTCTTCACTGAGAATAAAATTAATTTTGTTAGTTAACCTCTGCAAATTACCTAGTAATCCTTGAAACGGTAACACATAGTTTCTTTAATTAGTCCACATTTATTCATGTATAATACTTTTTTTCCACGTGGTATCAATAAGGCCGTTTAGTTTCATAGTATAAGGTAAACCCAAAACCTGTAGCCCGTAAGACACTTGTTGCTTTGCATTTTTAGACTCACAAAGGATCGGTACCACGGAAGTTACAATTTGTTATCTAGATGATCATCTATCTACCGTATGCAAGATTATATATCTGTCTTAATTTAAATATCACCAGTCGGTTTATATTAACAATAAAATGAACAAAATGAGTATTTTTCAAAGTAAACAATATAAAATTTAATGCGAATTGATGTGGAAATAAAGAAAGTTTTATTAATATAGATTTGATTTACTGTTTACGCTCAAGTATTAGAAAAAGTAATTAAAAACTCGTATATTTCATATATTCTTAAATTTTTTTCAATTCTAAAAAAACAATTATATTTTATATAATTCTTGAATTAGTGAAATAATTACAATTATACAACATAAAGTTTGATAATACTATTTGGTTAGCTAAATGGTCAATCATATTGAATTTGAAGCGATGATAACTAATGACAAATAATGCAACAACTACTTTTTGACAAGTAAAAATTCGTAAAATAATAATTTATATTCTTTAAAGGAAAATCAGAAAACTGTTATAAGCGTTTGTTAGATTTATTTAAGGTAATCCATATTAGCTCATAAGAATATATTGATTTTATTTTTTCGCATCCATTAAACGTGATTTATTTTCATTTGCATGCAAATTATCTTTTGTCCATTTATCTTTTAAATTTTGAAAGCTTGAATAAATTTTATTTAGCGTTCATAACAAAGTATAACTAAAATTTTACCAAATTAAAGTTAGACAAAAAACATTTTAAAAATTGAGATTAAGGATTTCAAATTAATAAATAGTAATACTTTGATCCATCTAAATTTATTTATATCAATTAATATTATATTAATACTTACAATTAATACTATATCATAACATTTTTCTAAAATTGCACTGACAAGGCCATTCGCACCGACGGAGCAGTGATAAACCTGTAAGACACCAGGTTCCTTCCTAACATTTCGACTCTAGTAAACATAATATAAGTACAATGACTGTTATAGTCATATGATGATATTGATAATTATTTGGATGATTACGAGAAAATGTTGAAATTTTCTTTCACAAATGTCCATACATAATAAAATAATACAGCGGCAACGATTTTCAAAACGTGATAGAAGGCATAGGCCAATAAAAGTTTTTTTACATTCTTACCCTCTAATGACATTTTTTTTCCTCGTTCTTTAGAAAATATCGTTAATTACGGAATGACAAAAGTAGTGGAAAATTTTTAAGGGAAAAAGAGAACCTATCCTACTAAGAAAACTGTATCAGGAATTTATTTAAAAGCTGACTTTCCCCCGGATTTTGAAAAACCCTAAACCAGTACGATTATGAACTAGAGATCCTATGCCGACGTAATTTTCAATTATTATTGGATTTTCTAGCTTTTCGCAACTTACTGACAATAAGTCTTGTAGGGCTAAATGTAGGGCATTTACATCATATTTCATTTTATCAGAGTCTGATCCTAAAATGAATGCATTTTCAAGTTCAGTTACTATTTCACAAATAATCACTCACATGATCTGTTTGCATCTAATACCTTTATGCCAGAAAAGTGGATGGTTTGTGAAAGTCATCCATGGAATATTTCTTGCAAATGGATTCCATTTTTTATCCATAGACAAAGGTTGTCCTTTGTTCCACATTAATCTTAGACCAAACATATTTCGACCCCTATTTAAATGTTTAGTTATTAGCAGGCTAATAGATAAAAAATATTATTTACTCTGTGCAAAATAATTTTTAAAGAACTACAAACAATAAATTAAAGAAAAGCAAAGTAAAAACTGGAAAGCTAACACAAACAAGATGAATGGTACAGCAAATACAAAAACATACAAATCAAAGACTAGACAACAAACCATTTCAATCAATGCAAAATGAACAAGTATACAACAAAGACCAACAGAAAATACAATTGTGATGATAACAGACTGATGAGGAAGTACCTAGGTTCGAATTGAGCAGTGCTTGAGAGTGATGTAAATGATGACCATTCTTGTCGAATGACACTATGAATAAGAGAAGAAACCCCTTCTGCCAACCCATTTAAGCGTCTGGGAATTATCATATTTTGAAAAATATGGTTATCATTCTTGACTGCGATTTTTATTTAAATATAACATTAAAGCAGAAGTATAATACGTAGCTATATACTCACGGTAACAGTGATGTTGGTGGATATATCAGCTCTCCAGCAATCAAAGTATCAATGACGGCTAAATATACTTTCTTATACTCTAATATTTTCAAAGAGATTAAGTCATATTTAATAGCATACAAAGAATTTTTCGTTAGTAAAATAAGTCTCTCTTTTTCTGTGTCCCATATACTGATTCTGGAAATGTCAAGATAGAAAATAAATGATAAATAAACTATTAAAGTCAAATGATTCCATGAAACTCAAAATAAAACTCACTCTGTCAACAACCATGAGCCTACAAATTCATCTTCTTCAGTACTGCTAAGAAGATCCCTCTGACAATCAGCAAAAGCTTTCTCTACAACTTCATTTCTATCAGAAAAAAATGTATGGCAATCTAATCGAACATAAGGTATACCAGGTACACTAATTCCCGGTTTAGCTTTCGAATTGTTGGGCTTACTATCTTTTACAGCTGTGTAAATAAAACAACATTGTCAATCATACAGTTGATGCATCCTCGATAAATACTGGAAATTAATCAAAAGTTACCCTGTGAATTCAATTCCTCGCTGTTGTCGTTTTTAATTTCCAAAGTAGCCCTATCAAAACTCGGCCCTTCGTCCTGCAAAAAGGTATCGTCCATTGTGTTTATAGGTTATGTCAAAATTTTAGTTTCTAATCTATTATATGTGCTCCAAGCTCCATCCACGCGGTGATAACTGCCTCTCAATTTTTTATCTACATTTAAAAAGCACGCATAAAGTATGTTCTTACTGCGGCTCCCCAAAGTTTAATGATTCAACGTCAAACTCAGCTTGTCAAGACGAATATAGTTTTTATCAGGTTTTTGTGTGCGGGTCGATCAGCATCAGCCGCTCTTTGACGTTTCACATATGTTGTATGTATACAGATGTTCTGCCGCACAGGCGCACTTATGAAACCGCTTTTTTTTATTTGTTTTTGTTTTACGGTTGACTAGATCGTTGATTATTATTGAAACACGTTTTCTTGTATTATTTCAATATATATTTTAAGTATCTAATGAAGCAGAGTTTCGAGAAATTGTCTCCTTTTTACAATGCTCCAATAAATGTTTAGGAGTAATTTTGATAAATAATTTTTCATCTTAAAAGAAAATTATGAAAAATATTTTTATAATTATTTTTCAATTTAGAAAAATGAATTTATATAGGGTATATAAACAAAATATCAAAGTGTGCATGAGTCTTTTATTAATAATAAAAAGCGTTTTTGGTTTATAATAGAACAAATACATTCATTGTGTTATTTTTGTTAACAATTCTACTTTTTCTCTAAAATATATATTTATACAGTCCTCTTATATACAGTTCAAATACCAAGTGTGACGAAAACAACAAAATAGGAAATACTGTGTCAGTAGTACAGAACTTTGGTGTTGCATTTTTTTAAACAAGCATTTATAGATACGTCATCAAAAGGTAAATTGAACTCTCGCATAAAAAAAGAAACTCTTCCAACACTTCTCATCTACACATTATGTACACATCTCTTCCGTTAATCATACTTAGTACGTCAATAGTACTTTCGCATTTGTGAAGTGCAAAAAACAATGGCACTAGGCAATAACAAAAAAAGGATTGTGACATTTATTTCTTGCTTACGTCAGTCTTGTATTCATTCATTTATAATTGATTGATTAGGTAACTAAAACGTCGATACTTTTTCTTTTTGAAAGTAGTAAAACTTTGAGAAATGCAAGCTAAAATTTTGCCAATTTATATAAAATATCTTGTGTGATAAAACTATAACTTTAACTTTGTTTCTCATTTACTTGTAAATCTGAATATCGTCCAGTAGATTGTCCGAAGACATTAGTGTTAATCGTCGTTCTTCGTGCATTCCTTTAGCGTAGTTTATTTGTCTTGAAACCTGTGCATAAATTTAAATTAATATAATATGTAACCATATAATAAAAATACTTTATTACAATAACTCATACCCATTTAGCAATATCTTCGCTATCACAACGAACTTTTGGTCTTCTTAAAATTTCCGGACCATCAAAATGTATTGTGCCAACATCAGCCCTCGAAGTAAGCTCGATGTAATGTAGTGTCATGCCATTGCTCTCCAGTCGATGAGTTGGTTGACAGTGCAACAAATTAGCCAGACTTACTTCGGTGACAATACCCTTACTGCCACCAGATATCACAATCACACGTTCATTCGTTACAAGTACTTTTAGATTATCGAATCCACTGCGCAAACATTCATACGCAACAAATAATTCGGAGAAGTCATGGTCATTGATGCTATATAAAAGTTCTTGACCCTTAGTTTGTTGTAAGTTGTACGGGGGTAGTAAGCCTGCGGGACCACTTGCTACACGTGGAAGTCGATCGCGTTTCGGTAATTGCCTGTGAGCACTGAAAAATGCACAATAAATAGTAGTACTCTCATTCTTTCTTCTCAATCAAATATTAAAAAATTTATTTATTTTTATACCTTCTGCTTGTCTCTCGTAAAGCGGTGGCGCTCTCAGTAAAAAAGTCCAATATACCAACAGCTGGTTTGGTCACAGTTCCAACTGCACCTTTACCAAGCCCAGTAATAAAACCCTGTAAATATATTTCATTGAAATATTTTATTAGCAGATGACTGAAAATGTCAGAATTTCATAATAACATACAGGAAATCCTTCGTTAATTGCTCCGTCGTAAGTTTGCTTAAATAAACTGGTAGCACCGCCAAGCATACCAAGACCCAAACCCTTGAAAGCTGCCTGCAAGTGATCCAAGCTGCCATTAGTATTGGAGCGAATCTTTTGTCTCGTTTCTTCGTGCCTCTCATCCATGATGACTTTGCCGAAACCATCTGATAAAGACTCAGTAAACTTGGCTGTTGAACTGGAGAAACCATGAGTAACATTCTGTACGAAAGTTTTAACGTTACGCTCGTTGACTAAGCTTGACAATCCCTCGGATACGTCATTGACGAAACCTAACGGACTGCCAAGGAAATCAACGGAACCCAATATTACCGCCGCTTGCCATTTCAATTCCTAAAATAAAAAAAAAAAGAAACAATATAAATAAATAAAGATACTATTTTATTTTTATGCACGAAGAAACGGTTTACTTACATCTTTGTAATGTTTAATAATAGAGTGAATAAGAAATTGACTGCTCTCAAAGGGATGTTTTCTAATAAACGGTTCTAACTCGATAGTCGCATCCTCGAACCTAATCAACGTAAGCCCTAATTTTCTCTTCATTGCCTGTAGATATGGTGGAAGTTTAGTGGTCGTCAATACGCTAAGTTCTACTTGACTGGGAACGAGTTTGAGAGCACCAAAATAGTAACGTTTAGCGTGTGCAGCAGCAACATTAGATATGAATCGCTGCGCATTGAAGTCATTTTCATCCACAGGAGCTTCTTGGTCGAGAAATCCTGCACCAACGAATGCTGCCATTTTCAAGATAAGTCGCTCTTCTAAGTGAACGCATACGGGTTTTACACTGACAATCAAGTGTTTGTAAATTTCTGCGTTTTCATTCTTAGAAGGAAGTTTCTCGGCAGCTATGTGAATCGCAGGCCTACAATCGCCCTCGTTTCTCGAATTCCTATAAATTCAATTTTTTCAACGTATTTTTAAGATAAAAAAAATATTTCAAGATATTTTCAAGATAAAAAAAGATAAAAGTTTAAACATGGTCGTCACAGAATAGAAATCAAGAATTACCTTGATATATAGAGTACAGATGTGCACTGTGCCTCGAATAGTTGATTATCAATTTGAACATCATGAATACTCAAATCTAAGCTCTTGCTGGCAGGTGTATCGACAAAGTCAAGGGTAATTCCAGCGAAGCGTGAAAAAATAGGCTCCTCAGTTGGTTTTCGTGAAACGATCGACAACCCCAAACCAGCTGGTAGATCGACGCTTAAATGTAATTCGCGAGCATCAATTTTCGCTACTTCAGTTTGCACTTGGGTGGGTCGATGAGCTATTGAGATATTGGACCAATCGCGCTCTTCTAATAGAGCAAAGGTCTTTTTCTGTAAGTAGATTAATTTGTTAATAAATTATTTTCATTCGTAGAATACAGATGTAAGAAAAATTTTTGTACTTACTCTTTCTTTGATGTCCAATACTTGCAAAACTCTGGTTGGTCCATCAGTTGTTACGCGGACTGACAAATATCCAGAACCTGGTCGTAGACGTTGACGACTGACTTTCTGTTCAATTGGTGGATGGGTGCAATGAGTTTGTGGTCCCAAAACAGCTTCGCTCCCTGCATAAATTTTTAGGTATTCATAATTTGACATTGTGGAAATTTGTTAAACGAATTATGTGATTTTCTTTTGTTGTGTAGTTATTCTAAATAAAATGTTTCAGATAGAAAAGTATTTGAAATTTTTTTATACTTGTCTATCCGAATATTCATACACAAATGCGAATACATGTATGTACACGTAATATGGATACATTAAACGCCTGATCTAAATACCTATTAATAACATTAAAGGTTATAAAAAATATCTACTGAATTACTTGTAGTGTAAAAAAGTGAACATTACAGAAAACAAATCCTGCCAGTGCTAGTGAACGTGCCGTATGTGAATGTATGTAAAAAGCATAATTAAAATTAGTACATGACGCTTAGAATTTAGAAATTGTTAAAAAAAATTAATATAAATATAAGTGCAGCGAAATAACACTGCGAGAACATCCGTAAACAATATACGTACACATTTGCCAACGGGCGACTCGGCCGCCTGTAACATCGTACACTGGTTTTAGATTTCACATCAAGTTTTCTTTGTTCTAATTTTTTAGTTCAACTTTGGGAAACAGCGATATTGGAAATACATGAACAAATAAACAAGAAACATGTAGTTTATGGAACCAAACGTCAGTACTATAGGAACAAAAGTTTAATTTTTTGTAAATGATCCTGGCTAGACATGATGAAATTAAAAGCAAACATTCATTCATGATATAATAATTAATTAATACTGTATATTATCATTAAAATATTTCTGGAGATACGAAAAAAAAAGTCAAATTATATGGTGCATCCTCGAATGTCTGGTTAACGTTCAAAATCAACAATTTAACCATAAAATTAATTTTTACGAAATAATAAAAAATAATCCAACCATGCGTTAAAAATGCTTGTTGCCCATTTTAATAATCAAAATATATTTGATCTTACTGTCTTGCAATCCCATGAAACCATCCTTCGACTGCACACACATATTTGCGTGAGCGCAGCATAAACGACCGTCATCAGTGAAACGCCAAGTTTGAGTTGATCTGCGTCTTGGATCAGGTCTCCTCAATGCCAGTGGACAGTACGTGAATGGTTGTGGAGCTGTTCCAGCGATGTCCAGGACTAATACCTTATCTGGAGCTCGACTATATTTATCTGTAGGTGGGCTAGACCCTGAAAGATAATTGCAATTTTGCAATCAGTAAAGTTATTTCACAGAGAAATAAATTATCATACCTTCGTGTTGTAGTTGACCGTCGCCCGTCATACGCCAGAGTTGCGATCGGACTCCGTATTGTTTTCTTCGGAGTGCAACCCAACCACCAGGACCAGCTTCAAGAACTAATCGTTGAGTTTCAACGTCAAGAGGATCTAAACTACTGTCGTCGGTTCCGAGATCAATATCAGTTTTAAATGTTCCTATACAGTAAAAAAATGCCTATGTAATCCACAATAAAATATTTTTTCAAGCAGAGTAATATCCAATGACTTACCAGTGAATGCGATATATATAAAATTTTCATAAGTCAATCCTCTACACTCTCCAAGCACATTCAAATCGTACGTAGCAGTAACTCCACCAGGTGCCGTAACCGTAAGTGCAGCTGGCAAAGATGGTTCATCAAGAGCGTAAGGCACAGAACTATGTGAGCGTACTGCCCATTGTAAACTTTCAGATACTGTAGTCTATAAAAAATAATATTCATATACCTCAAAGTAATTTTATCAAAATTCGTTAATTTTCTCAACTAACTAAATACCTGATTAATTGTTAAAGGAACTTCTGAAAAATTATCAACTCTAATCGGTGGTGGCATGGTGTGTGCATCAGTGAACACAATGAAATATGTGCTTTCTTGCAGAACAACGTCGACCCGAAGAAAATACATTTGTCCGGCTCCATCTCTAACATTGATAGTAAGCGAATGATTGCCCTGCAGCATTATTCCTCCGGACCACATGCAATTCAGTACGTTGACAATACGAACGCAAAGTAATTGGTCTTTATCGAGACGTGGCCAGTGAAACGGCATATGGCATTCGGGCATTGCTATTAAATAAGTTGCTTCAGCATCGAGATGTGTCTGAAAATGTATATTAAAATTAATAAATTACGTTGAGAGAGAAAGTAATGACGATAAAAGAGACTTACAACAGTAGTTGTGAAACACTTTTGAGCGAGTTCCAATTTGCAAGATGATTTATTATGCAGTTGATATCTAGGAGATAGAGTAACAACTGTTGTCGCGCGATATCTGCCTCTGGCAGCTCTTGTAGTGATGCCAATCACATACACGATGTCGGGTCTGCCATCCCGTAACGTTACTCTTAAACGATGTACCTATAAATAACGTTTTACGTATTTATATATTTTTTGAACGTTAAATAATTTAATTTATAAAATTACCTGTACACCAGGTTGTAGATGAAACTGCTGACACCACTGTGGAATACCATTTGGATGAACACCAGTACCAATGCGCACAGCAAGAGTTCCATTCATCTCCTCGTCGTTGAATGAAAACAACAAAGGAGCAACCATTCGAGCTTTCTCGTGCTCCTCGAACTGACCTGCAAACTCTGTATTTGCACCTTCTTGTTTGAATACCAATGGTAGACCCGTTTTATTGGTGATCCAGTATGGTGCGGTGATATTTATTCGCACTGCAGAACCTTTCTCGACTAATACTGTGGCGTGGATGAATAGGATACGGCCGTTTGAATCAGAGAGACGCATGCGACCGGTAAATGAGCCGCTATTTTGTGGTAAAATTAGCTAAAAAAAGGTCGCAATAGAATTTTAGAAATTTTTTTCGACTCAAAGTATTCATAAAAATGTGAAACCCACTGTTCCAGCGCCGGAATATCCATCAAGCTGTACAGTTATTTCCAATTGATTGTTGATATTTGGACTTTGCAAATCAGCAGAGTTTCCAGGCGCGATTCTACCATTTTCTGTACCAGCCGAATAAAACAACTCATTTGGAAGTAAATTCGTTATAGTCATCGGAGCCAAAATTAAAATGGTATGTCCAGGTAAGGCTTGAGTTGTATCGGGTGGATAATTATCTCTTCGTACAGCCACACACATCCTGAATATATCTTGTTTGTTCGTTCTACAAGTTGTTTGTATTTCGATAACTTCAGCGGGTTTCTTCACGCATGTCCAGTCGATTGGTTCTACACAATATTGATATGGAAGACTTGAATGTACTGGTCTTAGGTACATCTGAACGTCCGTGTGAGTGAGTGGGATAGAAATTCGGGACTGCGCTTGTACCTGTAGAATTCTACCGCCGAGTGTTGATGAGTATGTCGGAGAATCTAGAAATTGCATAGAAAAGATCAATGTATTTTTAGCGCTATAGAGCTAATAACACAATTGTAAGTAATCTCTACGTACAACCATAATAACTTAAAGATTTTTCCAATTTCAAATCAATATTATAACTCAATTTGTTCACCACCTGCAGAGCTGACCTGACCGTAACAAGTTTTCTTGCGGATCCTTCTAGCTCGACGTTAAATACAATTCTTGCTTTTGAAGATACCATCTAAAATATAAAAGCATTACGTACATCGAATAATCATCGCACAGCATTAAAATAATTAAAAACTAACCTCTGGGCCTTTAAAATCAACATGGGCATGCCGGAAATAAATGCCAACTCTATCAACTGTAACAGGATCGACAACCTTCCATCCTTCAACAACCACAGCTACCTGGTGTCTTCTGGCAATATGTGTCAAATGATGCCTCAATTTTCCCCGATTTTCAAAGGTAAATGGGACGGTATCTCCTGCAGATACTTCCAGCCAAGTTTCATCTTTGTTTAGAGCATTTTTTCTTAGAAATTCTCTATCGATAATCTTGTCATCCTCAGCGGTGGCTAGTAACGTTTTGAACCAGATCTTTGAGCCAGTTTCATTCTTCAAAGCGAACGGTACGAACGGCGATCTCCTCCTGTAGTTTTTTTTATTACTCGTACTGGTGTCGGTAAACAATGAATAATCCTGAGTCCAGTTTTCTTTCACCATTGTAAACAATTCTACAAGAGTCGACGTTATGTTGACATTCATTGAGTCTTGAGAATCCACTCTGATACGAAATCTCTTTGGGCTTAAAGAACTGGATAACGTTTGTTCCCACTGCATCGAAGCACGCCACTGTTCGACGAATGGTTCCCATCCGCTGAGTACTCGATTGTAGTAGTCAATTGCAAAATTTGCTGATACGTCACCTGGCCCTGAATACTCTTGTCTCAATGACAGATCAACGAGTGTCAATTCTAGTAAAGGAACGTCAGCGTCTCTACAATCGTCGATTGTACAGATTTTCAAACACGACGTTTCCACGACAATGACTTTTAATGGGAACTCGTCGCCAGTCGCTGCTTTCTCGGCGTTTGGAACTGCGTTTTGAGTAAGCCAAAGCGCTGCATCGTCGAGATGCCCGTTACATTTATCCAATGCAGTCTCGCAGTCGATTTCGGCGAAACCCAAGGCAGACAATTTAAGTACGTGACTCTTGGCATTAGCTGGTGGTTGCCCATCCACGGATAATCTCTGTCTAGCCAATAATGTTTGCTTCGGCAAAGAACTAAGCATTCTTGAGAACATATTGACATCGTGGTAACTGAGCCGCACGCTCAGCGGTTGTAAATGTACTTCCAGACACTTATCCTTGGTAAGTTCAAGACTCGCGCCGACAGGATCGATGATGGACAAAGCGGTTTCCTCTTCAAGACCGAGAATACACGAAAACAGCTCGCAGTGCGACAGATTGCAGCTCATCGGTTTCTCATCATTCTGTGGATTCGATCGATAAGCTAATACGGCCGTACTCTTGAGGATCACGGCATTGGTATCCCACATGGAAGTATCTTCAACGAGAACTAGCTCCGAATCTGTGATGTTGAGTTTGAGTTCAAAAGGTAAAGTACTATTACCATTACCATTGATTTCTTGTGACGCAACAAGCGGTATCGCGTTGATGATATGCACTGGCTCTGGTTCCGGAGAATTCAATACTAGAAAGTCTCGAACAGCTTCCCACCAGTCGAGAATCGCGGTAAGTCGCATACTGTGTAACAAAATCGTTGTGGCAGAGCTGCCCATTCTCTTGCGATGATGTACTTCCGCCTGAACTCGGTCTTCCACGGTCGAGCTTTCGCGCAATGGTTGTAGGATGCTCGTAAAAACATTGGATCGTCGATTAACTGGTTCGTCATGGAATCTCGTGTCGGTAACTAAAATCTCTCTTGATACTAAATCAACATCCTGCGAACCGTCGCTCAACGAGTCAAGGATCAGTCGTGATTTGATAAAATTTACACACGCCAACGCTGCTATACTATGATGAGGATGTAGTTTAAGCGTGACATTAACGAGTTCAAGACTGACAAATGACGAAGTCCATGCCTTGCCTTCGGAATCAATTTGCGGCATTGAGTACTCAACAGTATCTCGCATGAAAGCTTTTAAGTCATCCAGATTTTCACCGATATTGTAGGACAACAACCCACGGATCAACATGTACTGCGAAGGATCTAATGCGCAGTCCATCGTCGACAGTGTTCCATGAATGCTTAAATCTGGAATCTCTCTACTCAAGTAAGTATCTAAATTTCGCTCAACTCGCAATTTCAGATGACATTTTTCCGTTAAAAGCGATGGTCCAATTTTTCTCACAATGAATCCGCCTACTGACAAACTATCTCCGTCATCATTTGCGTTGCTACTACCGCTAACTCTCTTCGCTGCGTGTACATCCATGTTAACAAGTTCGAGGTTCATGATGTCGAGCAAACATTCTGGTTTCACATTCGAGAAGACAAAGCTGTTGTGCGCAGTTAGCTCACCGAGATCCAAGAATATCATCTCCTCTGATCTAGAACTAACGGGCAATAAAATTACTGGAGCAGCTGCATGGAGTTCCAACGACAGTCTCATGCTTCTCTTGTTGACGTTGATTACAGCACTACCACCAGCCCGAATGTTCGCCATGACCGTGCGTAATTGAGAAAAGTGAGCGAAGAAAGCTTGTAATTCGGCGATAAATCTTTGCGTGTGTACGTAGTGTACCGCTGACATTTGTAGTTTCAACTGAGCGTCATGAGGTCGTGACTCTGAGTCGACGTAGCTCGAATACTGGAAGTTCAGAGCCTTCCTACCGGACGACAAGAAACGCTCGCGGTAAAATCTTCCATGAGGCGTTAGATCCAACAGCGACATCGAACCTAATGAGCCTGAAACTTTTGTTGTTCCATCTATCTTAACGATGTGCGAGCTAACATTAGAGATATTCACTCTTGCGATTTCCCGCTCAGGCTGAGTTAGTATGAGAGTCAACGAGTTGATTTCTACGTCAGTTTTTGAATGAATGGGCAACTCATTACTCTGATCGTAATCTATCACGTCAATGTTCGACAAAGGCGGTACTGGTGTTACGGGTTCACAGCTTGGCGAGCCAATACCCAAAAGGTCCAATACAACCATCCACGACTCAACGCTAACGATCAAGTCGAGGCAGTTGAAATCAACGCTGACAGTCTTGTGTTTTACTTGCAACGTATTGTCGGGTTCGGGTTCTTTCATGGTAATGCTGATAAGAACGAGATTTTCCTCAGTGGTGACGGCACCTGGTGATGGCGGTGGCGTATTTGGTGTTTCAATTAGCGAACTGACAGGTGGTCGACGCCAATGTGACGGTACTGCTCCGAAAAGTTTGTCAGTTTCGAGGCGATCTGGTAGACTACCATATACGGTTGAATTGCGTAATAGACGGTTAGATGTCAAATCGGGACATGAACGAGATACCCCAGCGAATGGACGAGCTCGAGTTGGTGCGGATGATTGCATCATGTAACGATGTCGAGAACCAACCGGACAAAGTAGATCTTCCATAAGTAGAGAGCGTAAAGCTACTTGAGTTGTAGATTCGTTTCGCGTAAGTTTCTCATACTTGGCACACAAGTCGCGCATTGAAAGTTCGACGAGCGGTTGTTCCAAGCGACCTTCTTGTTTTAACTCGATGCTAAGAGCGGGAAGTTCGAAGAGTACTTTTATCGGCAAATCGAATTTGTCAGAGTAGGATGGTTTATCGATGACTCTCGAACTGCTGATGTACGTATCGGACTTGGATAATGGTTGCGGCGTCTTTGGTGTGACAATTTCAGCTACCTTGGCTGGCATCGTGAACAACCTATTGATCGTATCAAGAAATTGCTCGTACTGTCCACGCGAGACAGAAACCTTTAGGGGCGTTACAACCACACCGTGAATTTCCACAGTTCCTCTCGCAGTTTCAATTTCAAATGGGAATCCAGGACTCTGACATCGACTTCCAATATCTCGTTCGACGGTGACTCTCAGCAGAGTGTCGTGTAAAATAGGCTTTCCATTTTCCTTACACGAATACATTTCTTCGGCTCTCAGTGGCAGATTTGTTTGATTCATTTGACCAATCCTTGTTGCTATATCGAGCGAGTGTAAATTCATATCTCTGACTTCAAGATTGATCTTCTGCTTGGTCGAGTTCGATGACGGTGGCTCGTGCTGCAGTGTCATCGTACCCAAGTGAGTAATAAATACCTGCGTACTTTGCGACGACCTTGGTATTACAAGTACGGGACTGTTCAAAACTAAATCAAGTTTCAACAATAGATTTGTTGATACTTCCGAGCCATCCAATGAAAAACTAGGCAGTCGCTTTCGCTGGGGTATCGCCCAATCTTCCGCGTTTACCAATCCGATAGCCATGTCCGTTGCCGCGGCACCAATTTGCCTAGCAACGTTGCTCAAATACTGTTTAAATTCATCAGCGCAGGAACGTAGCTCCGAAATCAAATGTGGTGCGTGAGTGTACCAGACACTACCAATTCGTATACTGATATCGACCAATGTTTCAGACGTATCAGCTGTCAAGTTTTGTCTACAGCTACGCGTGGCAAGAAAACGTAAAGCTTCGGATTGTTCGCCTTCTACGAGCGTACTGTTTGCAAAGTGGTCGAAATTATGATGATGGTGATGATGACCAACACTCGGTGGATCGGCAATGAGATCGCGACCTACGCTGATTATTCGTTGATGAGTTTTGCCGATCAAAGTTTGATCGAGAATTTGTAGACCACCAAGAGATCCGGAGATCGAGTTGTTTGTTGCGAGAGTTGCTTGTATTCGAGCGTCTGACATTGTCGCCGTGGCAATTTTTTGACCTACTAAATGACTATCTTGCATCACAGCTCTAAGTAGTAAGACATTTAATCTATGAAAGTCGAAGGTAATTTCTGTTCTTGTAGCTTTTCCTTCGGACGTCAAACTTGTCAGCGATTCGTATCTTTCCATTCTTCTGACTTTAGATTTCTTAGGTGGAAAGAGTCTCCTCACGAATCCCATAAGCTCGACGATTGTTTCTTGATTTGCGATGATATCCAAATTGTTGAATTGTATATTCGCAACTCTCAAACTTTCGAGTGGCTCATCAACGAACATCACCTCCACAACAATTAGAGCTTCCGAGTCGAGTTGTTCTAATGCGATAGAAGACGCAGTTCTCGCAAAAGGACTTTTTGTATCGTGATGCGCAAGATTGGTTAAGGCATGTGATAGAGCTACAGGCGAAGTAAGTCTTCGAGATAGAGTTGCATCTGGAGACCCAGGTGATACAGGCGACACAGGTGATGTAGGCTCTGAATCTCTTAAACTACCGGATACACTGTCCATACCGACGTGTTTGTGACTCGCCACAAGAAGTTCGAAATCAGGGCCAAATTCTTGCAGAGCATCGACGAGCAGTAAGCCATGTACAGATAACGAAGCACTCAAGTCTGCTGGACGTTTACTCAATGCTGCTTTTACTCCGGATACCTGTCAAATTAATTCAAATTTAGACAAAAGGATCCAATTTCCAAACGTATGTACTTCATATGATAAAGTAAGTATTACCTGAAGTTCAGCAACACTTCTACCCCGCGACTGCAATTCAAATGTCATTTGATCGATGATAAACTGGATCATCATCGCATGATTCAACATTCTGTCCAGACCTTCCTCTTTCTTTGGACTTTCCGGTTCCTCTTGAACATATGCTCCGTTAGTTTTCGTAGTAACAGGTGAAGTACTTGACAAACTCCATAGTAAGTGATACATCGATCTTATTGACTCGACTTTTTGTTCGTTTACGTGTACAACCAATCTAGGTAGATTTCCAGATACCGTGACCGACGGAAAATGCGGATCGGTCGTTGTAACGACTCTTCTTTCGATTTGTAAGGATATATTAAATCTACAAAGAGATATAACTTAATACATTGATTCAACCATCAATATCTAAAAACAGAATAGAAGAGAACTATAGAATAGTAAAGTACCTTTCCAAAACATGAAGACTTGACATACCCCTGGTTCTCGCGTGCTTCCAGTTATCTTTGACTTTACCAACTAAAACTTGCAAATCCGACAAATCTACCGAATAATGGTCGTACAATTTCTTATGAAGCGCTGCTTCCGACAGTCCCAGCTGCAAATCTTGTACCGAGCCATTTTCTTCGCTACCAGGTGGAGTTGAACAAGGCGTTTCGAATCTCTCATCCTCCTCTTCCTCTTCGACAGTTTTTTCTATCTCACTCGTTGGCGATATGAGATTTCTCGCCGTTATTACCGACTTTAGGTCTAAATTGTTCGATAGGTGTAATCGACCGAAGTCAACAACGACTACTGTAGCGTTGGTGTCGGTGAATTTTTCGACAAGAAGAATCTGCGGCGCAGAAATATTGAGTTGTAGATCCCAAGACGACCTAACAACAGTATCACCCTCGAGAATCTGTTCCCAATTCTTCATAAGCTGTCGTCTTGTTCGCCGTTTCATTGCCTGTAATCTCAAATTATTCGAACCGTCTGATCTGTGTGGTTCGCATATGAAATCGACTAACCATCTCATGGCTAATGGATTGTATACTACATCAAGTGAACGAGAATTAACGTGCAACGAATGGTCAACAGACAAATGCAGTGGTCGTTTTTCATAAACGAGTTCGAAAAGTGACTGAGCAGATTGAGAGTTAAGTTTATCTGATGAGTTGCGAAGTCGAGAAGATGAACCACCGCCTCCAACGCTGGATTGTGGTTGCACGAGAATTGGGAATGTTGAATTTTCCGTAAAGTGATCATGAAGGAAAAGTGCCCCAAGACTTATGGAGAATTTGTGAGATCCAGAACGAGGACGAGATTCGTAACTTAGGTGTACGCGCTCGAATTGCAACTCCATTACTGCTTTGATTTCTGGGGATTTATCTAAATATGAAAATGATTCAATAATTATTTAGTGTTTGTATCTTTGGTGTTAAACTTAAATACATTAAAATAAATTAAATAAATACCCGATTCACTCTTGACAACAGTACACAATGAAATAGCACCCTTAGATAACGCAAAATTAAAAAGGCCAAAGACTGTATCTCTTCGCAGTAAAGTATCGTCATCTACAGTATCCGCCAATACATCAAGTAATTCTCCATCGAACGTTGATGAATTAGCCGTCGGTGAAGTTTCAGTATTGTTATTTGGTGTTTTAGCAGAATACCAGCCCCACCACTGTGGAAACCATTGCAGAAGCATACCCTGAGCTTGTGGTGGTGTGGTAGTGTTCTCGTTTTGCGGTGGCTTTGGTGATCGCACTTTCATCATTGCTATTGACAATAAAAAATTAATTAATTTATATTTTGTATTTGCTATTTACATGGAAATTTTATAGCAATATTTACCCAATTCACGTAAAATTCTAAGTTCGTCAAAACTGAGCTCAGCCTCCATTTGATCCTTTAATTTTTTCAAATCAGATGGTAAACTTGAAGTAGGATTCATTAAGAGCTTTGCGCAAACATCGACATAAGTTGTATTATTTTTTCCGCGTTGAAGAATATCATCCCAAGTCTTTTTGGGAGTGAGAGTTTTTCTACCGATGTAGCAACGAGCTGCATACCTCCACCATTCTTTTGGAGTTTCCTTAACCGACGCTGTTGGTCGACATCTTCTCTGTCGGCGTTGTCTGTCAATTTCATCTAAACCTTTTATACATAAAACTATTTGTTCATATTGGACCTGAAATATTAAAGATACACTTGTTAGCTGTAGCTATGTATCTCATGAATTAGCAATCGTTCAAATACTTACATCTGTTAATGATAATGGTACTTTATCCAAAGAAAGATCAACAACAATTCTTGGTTTATGTGCTGAACGTAACGGTCTTTCTGATCTGTCTCTTTTTACATGAGCCTTAGCACTAACTGGTAAAAGAATATAACTTTTGCTTTGCTTCTTCGATTCGCTCATAGCAACCTAGGGTATTTTAAATAATTAATATCTCAATTAGAAACCTAAAAATTATTTGTACAAATATATTTACAGCTAAATTTGCCATGTCCAAATCATGGAACATATTTTCTTTTTTAATTTCATTCCAATAGACAGAAAGGCCATCAAGTTCCATCAATTTGAAAGAAGAATCTTGCAAATTCCAAGAAGTGGATCCAGGAACCCAACTTGCATCACAACTCTGGGCACTTAAAGCCCCTATTGTTATACCAAAAGCTATCCCTGTACCTATGCAATATTTTATAAAGGTTATTATTACATAACAGCAATATAAAATCAAAAGATATTTTTCCAAAACATATACCATTAGGAAGAGTAGCTAAATCTTCATAACGAATATGTACATCTTTTATATTGAGCTGCAAATTCTCTATAATGTTAGTGACTAGGGAGGTACCATAATTTACCCAGGTACTATAACTAGCTGCATAATAGCCAGGACCTTGTTCGGATTCTGCACGCCATCTTGCTTCTAAAGAATCCAAACGACTTAATTTATAATCAATTATTGCTTGTTCTTCTGCTTCGATGTCGTACTAATAAAAATAAAAAGATTTAATTTTACAATATCAGGTGGTTAATAGTTTTGTATAATTCTTCGCAAAAGTTACCTCCTCTAAATTTATAGGCCCTGCCACTAAATATAATTGTTCTATTGCTATCACCCATGATGCTGTTCTTATTTGTGTGACAGGAACTTGTAACCGAACTTTACCAATAAAGCCAGCTTTGATTTCAACAGGTAAACCAAGGTTCCTTAAAGCTTCTCTTTTGAGTGGTAAATTCTCAAGTTCAACCGCACCTTTAAAAATAAAAACAAAAACTCTTATTAGTTTTAAAATATTTATGAAATGTATTATATCAAGTTCAAGTATTTCTTACATCAAAATACAATAAAATTAAGTCTTAAAATATTTCTCAATGAATTAAATGTTATATTGGCATAATCTATTACTTTCAAACCTAAACCCATATTTTATTCACCTATCACCCAAATCAACTCTAAATATTTTGTAGTTTTAGCTATTTGCTATATTTTACTGTACATTACATCAGATTCCAGATAAAGAAAATTATCTTAAGACTGGTTAAATGATATTCAATAGCAAATACATTGAAACATTTCATGATACCGTTTTTTTTTATTCCTATCTTGTAATTTTTAATTTATCTAATGATAAGAGTAGATACTAAATAAATTAACAAAAATGATAAATTAAGATTCATTTTATCTTATTAAACCTTATTATCAGTAACAAATTATAATTAAAGTACTTTACATAATTAAAAAGATAAATTTACAAATTAATAAAAGTATGTTAATATAAATTAATGAAAATATTTTGTCAGAAATAATGATGAAGTCATTTAAGTGAAATATAAAATTGACTTATGAAATAGTACAGTAAGCTTTAAAAGTCTTGAAATATGCGCACAACTTATTTACAATGCAAGTCAGCATCAATGAATGTTAATGCGTCAAATCAAAACATATAGTAAAACACTGTATAAACAACAAACATCACAAACGATTGTTTTTTTATTACCTGAGAGTAATGCGATGCTTAACTGATCGGTGTTGAGGTTCTCCACGTACTTGCCCAGGTAATTGTTAAGCACCCAGGCGACGAGGCCCTCGAGCATGTTGTCGGTGGCAACGCAATTTTGTTATAACAATGAACATGTATAAGAGTATGAAAAAGGAGGATAGAAAAAGTTTCACGCGCGATATGTATGTATTATATATATATATATATACACACACATATATATATATATATAAACAAGGTTACGATCTAAATGGAAATTGATCAATGTCTTGTCTTGATGATAACAGCACTACCCGTGTGAATGACATAAGAGGGAAGTGCAATATTTACTTTCTCACCACTCCCTCATCCACTTTAGCTCATTTCGTTACGGAACACTACTGAAAGAAACTCGCGCGCGCCGCGAGTGGAGGTTCCTAGATATCGCACTCACACATGCAGCCTATACGGTATGCATACACAACAGGTTAATCCCGCGAATTTTCACTAACGTCTGTACCGATTGAGGGATCCAAGTCTAATTTTATGTGTAATCATCGGCCACAATCTTGATTCTTGACTTTCTTGCGTTCGCGCGGCTGACGTCAGGAAATCTCAGCGCTATTTTTAGAAAAAGGTATTGAAATTTTCGGAAGATCAGGTAAAACAAACAAAATTAGTCAGAGAAATAATGATAAAATGAAATTTGTGATTATTTTAAAATCAATTTTAAACTATATTTTTCAGTTTAAACATATTTATATATTAATATAATCTTTCTTATTGCAATTAATTTTTGTTTGGCATTTACACAATTGTCTATAATATTATTATAATAATATACCTATATGTACAACACCAATATTCTTTATTACAAGTCAGACATCACAAATTCACAAGAGCCTGAGATCATTGAGATCTTATTTATTTCCAAGTTTAATGTATGCATCAAATACTGTTTTAAAGTAATCATTTAGTTTGAGTGTACCCTATATCAAGAGCTGCTCATCATTTGATTTTGTATTTGGAAATACAATAAAAAGTACAAGTTGAAATGCACTTAATATACACCCAAGTAAATTAGGTGTTTGTATAAAAAGATCATTAATCAAGTATCCATATAGGAACCATTGACATGATGTAACAAATGAGGACATTATTACAGGGAATGGTAAACTTTCTGTACTTTTCACCCTAATTACATGAGCCTGTAAAAAACATATCAGTTAATTACTACTCAATCAAATTAAGACTATTCTTAAAACTTACCAACAAAGTTAATGGTGATGCAAAAAATAAGATTGTTAAAGTACAGCTAAGAAGTCCGATTCTTTTAGTAACCAATGCTACATCCTCAGAGACAAACCAATATAAGTACATCAAATTGATGAATAGTATTGCACTAAACATTTGTTTTACTATAACTTTCTTGTGTATGGTATAAGTGTAAAAGGTAAAAGCATAAAAAAATTGTAGTGATGACCCAAATATATTAACAATCATAACAGATTTATCTTGAATTAATATTCCATACAAAAGCCATAAACTACACCTGAAAAACAATAATTATTTTGAAAATAATTTGAATAATACACGTTCAGTACTAAAAACTTACGACATAAAACATGTTACAAATGCTAGTCCTGATGCATCACCAGTAGATTTGTTTTTGGCAAACTTTCTGCACACTAGTCTGAAAACAATAAATACAATATGTAAATAAAAATGAAATACCTTAAGAAAATACGTAATAATATCCAATCACTTACATGCCAGATAGAAACTGCAAGATAGTACATATTGATGCAGTGCTTGCCAAAATATCTTTAAATTCTACCAAGTTCATCTCGACCGTCCAGGAACTTTCATATTTTTTCGACGTCGACAAAGTAAATTCAATGTAGCTGAACGTCTCGGTATAAACTTTATCCAAAACAATAATGATTGCTTACATACATGTGAAGTGCCCTAGCGTTATTTAATATAAAAATTTTATTTTATTTTATGGATTATTTTACATTTTACTTTTATTTACATTCCTTATTGAAATTAAACAATATTACTTAACAATTTATTATTTTAAATCATCATTATATAGGTTACAAAATTTAATTTACCGACTAAACAGAACGTCATCGCACAATTAAACATGCCGTTATATATCGAATTAAAAATGCCGTTATATATGTATATATATATATACATATATTCGAGAGAATGTTTTACCGATAAAACAGATTTATAAACCTAATTAGTTTTGAAAACAAAATTATTTTATTTTATAAGAAATCGTAATAATGATCAATAAATCTTTTTGTCATAAATTTAATTAAAAAGGAATCATAATAGCTGATAAGCAACCGGGGAAAATTAATTAAAGATCTTTCAAAGATTAAAGTTGTAAAATATTTATTAACAGCAATCAAAAACTTTACATGTTCTTTTACAAAAAAAAAGTTTGATAATTAATCAATAAAATTAGTATGTTAGTTCTAATCACGCTTTAAAGAGGATCTTTTTCGTTCTTCAAAATTCATTATTTATAACTAATTTTTTTAATTTGCTATTAAAAATAAATAATGTTTTAACATTGCTCATATCGGATCTAGATAAGGACGACTCAATAACAATCAATAAAGCAACAATTTATGATTCCCCAAATCTAATAAATCAGCTCCAAATAGCGGAGAGGTACAGAGAGGGGGGCGCAATGTGTGTGCAACAAACGGCGCTTGGAAAGACAATCATTATCATGCAGTAGTAAAGCGCAGTTGAGCAAAAAAGTGGGAAGTTGAATAAAATTCTCTGACCCGTAGTGTAGGAGCAGCATAAGCGCATATACCCCGAAAAAAAGACGTCGCTCCATCTCTATATCCAATCAAGAGAAGAGACAGATCGAGCCACCGGATTTACATGCAAGCTACGCAAGCTACTCACAGCTACTGATTGGAAATTCGCATAAATAAATGCAAGCAGTCGACGGTGGTCGGCAGCCGCAGTATCGGAGGCGGAAGAATCCGTAGTCTTCCGATTTTCATCGAACGTATTTATAGTGTCGCTGTTTATTTTTACATTCGCTGCTTTCTCTCTTTCCTCGTCGCCGTCGTATAGTTACACATACATCTATCCACGCACTTGTTCGTGTGTGCGTACATGCGCGTAACCTATACTACCTATGTGTGAGAGAGTGAGTGAGTGCGAAAGAGGAGAGCCGTCGTCAGCGATGATGATGATGCTGCTGGTCGCCGGTTGAAGGAGTAGGAAGGAAGGAGGACGAACGTAGAAGTGAAGATACATAGCAGTAGCTAAGCAGCGTATAACCTCGACTTCAACGACGTGAGTCTTCTGCGTAGACACGTGCCTTCGCTTGGCTTTGATTTCTGCTTCCTTTTTTCTCCTAAAAGCCATAATGCGCAGGTGAGAGAGCGAATGAGATAGCAAGAAAGAGACAGCAAGACCAAGATTTTCGCCCGAGCAAGCTTTATTTGGCAGTCGTCGCCAGAGAGCTCTGTCTCTCTGTGACCCTTTTCAATACGCCTAATACAGCGGAAGCAAAGAGTGCAAGAAAATAAGAGAGAAGTGGAGAGAAAAAAGCGGGGCTCTCTCGTTCTCAATTGAACTTAATGAGTCGACACCTTGTTTTTTTCCATCTCCTTTTCTCTCGTATACCCTCACTCTTGTGTGTGTGTGACTGTCGACGACTCTCGAATTAACGATGACTTATTTATACATCTTGAGCCTCTCTCATCTGTCACACTTGGTTTTACGCGCTCTATGAACCTGATAAGGAATCCCTACACCAGCCTTATGTATATCTTTTCTGCTAATGCATTTAATCATTATTACACCTGTACTCTTATTTTTTTATTTGCCTGGTGGTGGTGGAGTTTCGTGCAGTGGATTCTTAGTGAGAATTAGCCTTAGATTGTGTGCTTGATGTCATATCTTACTTTTGTGTTGTATATGGTACATTGGTTCATTCTTAAGGGGTTCTCTGTTCTATCTGTGTTTCGTCTCTCTAGACAGTGATTGATGACTGCTGAGATGGTATGACTGAAGGTGTATTGCCAGCCAAGCTTGTCCTTATGATTTGTTGAGAGGCAGTATTGGCTAATAATTAACAGCACATCTCAAATTGCTTATGATGGAGACGTCAGTGGCAGGACGGAGGCGTACTGCCACTAGGCATTCAGCTGAAGATCAAGCTCTAGATCAGATTGCCAAAGAGGTACATTATATTCAACTCTGCTGCATTATCTTATATAATTTTTTTATTCATTTTTATCATTCACTGTCAATTTGTCCCCTAAAGCATGCTTCTAATTTTCGTCATTATTGTTTTTTTTTAATTTTATTTTGTACACTGTGACAATAGACTGTTATATTTAGTTAACATTTTGTTACAGCTGCTTATTTGATAGAGATTGTTTTAAGAGGTTTAGTAAAAAATAATACTATAAGGCTGGTAATAAATTACTTGTGATTGTAGGCAGAAGCAAGATTAGCTGCTAGAAGATTAGCCAGAGCTGAAGCAAGAGAAATACGAATGAGGGAATTAGAAAGACAGCAAAAAGAAGCAGAGGAAAATGCGGATAGAGTATTTGACATGTGCACAGGTGAGTCATCAGGTGTGATTTAGCCTGGTACAAGGCTGAGTTATTTTTACATTTACCATACATTCTTAATTATTGAAAAGTAGTTTGAATTCATATAAACATTTGATTATGTCCAAAGCTGATGCTAACAGAGCCATGAGGGTCACACCAGATCCTATTCGAGCTTCTAGACTCCTTGCAAACAGCAACAACTTTCAATCAAGTCGAAGATCTTCTGAAGATTCCTTGGAAGATGCTGGGCTTGGAAGAGATCTTAGAGTGTGTATTCATTATTAAAATAAACTAATCACGTAAATCAAGTGTACATTTAAATGTTTAATTTATTTTATTTAGATGGAACTTAAAGAATTTGAAGAGAAGTTCAGGAAAGCAATGATAGCAAATGCTCAATTGGACAATGAAAAGTCTTCTTATGCCTATCAAGTTGATCTGTTAAAAGATAAGTTAGAGGAGCTTGAAGAACAAACAGCCCAATTAAGGCGCGAACTAAGAGAAAAAAATCGTGAGGCTGATCAAGCTAAACGTCTTGGTCAAAGACTGGAAGAAGATTTAAATATCTTTAAAGCAATGCTTACGGAAAGGGATGCTTTAATACAAGAAAATGGATTGGTTATAGTAGAAGATGAATGCAGTGAAAATGAAGAGATACATAAGGAGAATGGACCTGTTTGCCGAAAGAAAGTGCTAGTCAGTACAGAAGCTGCAGAATTATTGCAAAATGCTGGAGAAGGTTCTCTAGGTTTGTAACAAATTAATTTTGTAATATTTGTCTATTATTCATCCTTGATAAGTAATTTCACCAGTAAATACAAAGTAATCTACTTGTTTCAGTCATATCTGATTGATTATATATGGATTGAATTATTTATATTTATAGAAGTATTACTTTGTATTGTTTTTCTTTAACAGATGTTAGACTGAGGAAATTTGCAGCTGACAAGAAGGAGCAGCAAGATGAGATTAGGCATCTTAGACTAGAACTGGAAGAAGCAAGAAATAGAATGAGGCCAGCGCGATCTTCAGATTCTGGATTAGGTAAGAAGTTGTCAAGAACATTTAATTTTGTTTATTGATGATTGAGTTTCGGTTAATAGCGATTAAAATTTAAAGATTCTGAAGACGCACAGAGAGAAGCTAACAAATTGCTAGCTGATTACAAATTTAAATTGCAAAAGGCAGAACAGGATATGTCTACTCTTCAAGCAACGGTAGCCAGACTCGAGAGTCAAGTAATTCGCTATAAGTCAGCAGCTGAAGCATCTGAAAAGGCCGAAGACGAATTAAAGATTGAAAAAAGAAAGTTGCAAAGAGAGGTAATTAAGATTCGTTTTGATAATTAATTCATACTGAGAAACAATATTGGTAACGTTTAATTGCTTCTTTTAGGTCAGAGAATCACAAGGTCGCGTCGAGGAGTTAGAAACCGCCAATTCACACTTACAGCGACGCTTAGATAAGCTGAAAAACGCCAAATCAGCGCTACTTAAAGAACTTTGATAGTTTTTTGAATCCTCGCATGCCGAGTTAATTATATGTTTCGCAATTAATTTGCGAAGCGTTGTAAATACGAAGAAAGCACATATTTAGAAAAAAAAACGTGTGCAAATGAAAGCCTAGTGATCGTCTCGTGTTTACGTGCGAAAGCAAAGCGAAAGAATCTTTCCTGCATTTTTAAATTAATTTCATTTTTTTTTCTTATTTCCTTACACTCACATTGTACCAGCAATCCTCGTTAGCGGTTTATCGAATCCTTTCTATAGACTTATTTATTTGCAACAACAAAAAGAGTTAACCGCGTGATTTTAAAATGTTAACGAAATGGAAAAAAAATATCAAGACTATATTGTTTTTACCGTTTACATTATCTATATTACCTCGATCATAGTTAAAAATTGACTTAACAGCACGTTATAACATTACAAGCATTTGAAATAGTGAAAGACTTACGTATTTAATAAAAGCACACAGTGCCTACGGCGATAATCGAGGGAGAGTCCAAGCTGATATTCGTACCAGGCAAGAGAAATTCCATCCATGTAGTAGCGCTACAAGCTACAATTATTCCCGACGACCACTTATTACAATGAAACAAAAAAAATGAACGAATGCGGCCTAATGTGACAAACACATTATTAACGCGAAGAGACTCTAATTGAATTCTTTATTAGTAATTATTATTTTAGAAGGCATTAGCTCAAAAGAATGAATAACCTTGATTTTATTTTAATAATTGGTGATGATTTTGGTTTCCTCGCCAAAAATCTGTTTTCTTTTCTAAGCGATTTTAATTGTATTTCGTCTTTGTACCATAAGATGTTTCTGTATTATAATGCGAATAAGAGTGTACCGAGTTATATTCGATTTAGGGCGTTTTTACCACGATGGTATAAACTGTACATCTTTTTTTCTGTTATAAAACGATCAGCGATAATTGATTAAAAACTTAGTATTTGTTTCATAAGTCTTGATTCATTGTTTAAATCGCAAAGAAAAAATATATGTATATCTTGTTTAAGATGGTATGTCATGAAATTTTCAGCCACGTATGAAATTGCATTTGTTGAAGCTGACGAAATCGTGTTATGAAAACTCTTTATTAAACAATTCATATTTACTAAAAGAAAACGGTCTTTTTATTTTATAATAAAAATTTGATACACTTATTTAGTACATATATACCTTGTTAGTCAACGCTATACCATTTTTTTTGTATCAATATAAAGATGTATGCATTTGTTAATTTCAAGCAAATTAAATATTATGTAAACAATATTCACGTACATGCATGACGCAACACGATACGATACGCTACATTAAATTTTCAAGTTAGTCAAATGAAAAGTAAAAAAATCTCGTGGCCAAAAATTAAAAAATCTTCATGCTAGTGTGATCCTTTTCGTTTCGCCCATGCAGGACTCTGCGCCTCTGTTAGTGGTTTATTTGACTTGACAACGTTCAATGGCTTATAAACTGGCATTGGCCTTGCTTTGACTTCTGCTTGTTTTCTCAATTCCAATTTTTCAGCCTTTTCTCGAACTAATCTGTCCTCTTCGTCCTGTTTTTTTTTCTCCTCGTCTTCAATTTCTTTCTTTTTCAGTTGCTCATCAAATTCTTTTCGCTGTTTTGCTCGTTTGTCCGTATTGAGTTCCGTCAAAATGGCCATGCTTTTCTGCGATATTTTGCATTTAGGTTCGAGAATCTTAGGTACAGCGCCACGATTATGATTTTCTTGATTCTCTAAAACTTTGGATGGTGCAGTTATCTTTTTCGGTGCTACAAATGGAATTGACAGAGATGGCTTGATTAAACTTTTTGATTGCGTTGACAAATTCTCGTGCGATCTCTTCAACTCGGCATTTGGTATTTTCTTGGGAATATTTAATGACTTATTATTACCATTACTTATATTAAAGGATGGTTTAATTGACAGATTTTCCATTGATTTTTTCAATAAATTATCTCGTGATCTTCCCCTAACAAGTACCGGTTTAAATTCTGGAACTTTGTGCGCTTTGAAAATCCTCGCCTTTTTCTCTTCCTCTAACACTTGTTTCATTCTTTCTTCTTTCTTTTTTTGCACTTCTTTGACTCTATTCTCAAAGCTAAGTGATCGAGTAACTGTAATTTTTGTTTTTTTAATAGAATCATCTTTTGGAGCAGCTTTATTCATTGGTGTTTTAACAATAGCTGGCACTGGTCTGGCATGAAATTCAGCTTTAACTTTGTGCTTTTCTTCTTCTTGTATAGCTCTCAATCTTTCTTGTTTTCTTGCTTGCAGCTCCTTATTACGAGCTTCAAAGCTAAATGGAATAATTTTGGTGTTTTTTTTTCTACACTGAGATGGTTCTATTGGAATTCCAAAATGTAAAATTTCTTCATCCTGAAACCACAAACATGTATTTATTATAAATAAATCAGTATTTGTAACATAAATTCCTCTTACCTTGATCAAGACACCTTTATCTGTTGTGCTGACGATAGTCGGAACAGTTTTGGTGTGTACTCTGTGAAGACGTTTGATGTCTTTCTGTGGTGCTGGAGGTTGATTTTTTTTCATCTCTGTCAAATGGAAAGGCTCTGGATTTGTAATTGTTTTTTTCTCAATTTTTTTTAAAGGTGCAGGCTTTCGTAAAATATCCTTACGAACAGGATTAGCTTTAATTGCATTCTGACGAATTTTCTCAAGTTCTAATTTTTCTTGTTCTTCCCTACTTAGTGCTGTAACAGGCCTACTTCTTTTCTTACACATTAGAGCTGGTGATTGTGCTCTTGTTAACTTAAATGACTGTCTACGTAACTGTTCTGTTCTTGTAGTTTTCACTGTTGAATGGAACCTTTGCGGAGTCACACGATGGAAATTTGTTATAGCTTCTGCCATACTTACATACTTAGTTTGCTGCACTGAAACTTTGGCAATACTCAATCGACGTTGATTAGTAATGCTCATACGGCGCTTCATTTGCCTATGCCACGCTGTTCCAGTCAAGGCTGATATTTTCTTTTTGCCACCACTTGCAGGAGCAGTAGTATTTTTGGAAGCAAATGTTGCAACAACTTTGCTTTTTGGAAGTTGCTCAACTCCACTGGCCTTGTGAGTTGGAACTTTTTCTATCTCTTTGGGCTTATTAACTTCTTGTATTTGAATTGGTTCAATTTTTTCCTGCTCTATATTCTCTGCTGGTTTGCCTTGTTTATCTTCCTGTTCTATTTGATCTTGAGAAATTTCATGTTCTGAACTACTTACAGTTACTTCAAGATGTATTTGGGATGTTTGATCAGAAAGAGGACTCTCACCTTCTTCTGAATGAACATTTTCTTTGTCATCCTCACAATATTTGTGTACATGATCTTCAAACTTAACAGATTTCTCCAAATTCAGTTTTGATGTATTGGAAGCTTGTGCGCACATAGATCTTGTTACCCTATTAATAGGTGTTTTAAAAATAGGAGAATCCATCAAACAAGACTTATTGATAGATTTATCACCTTTACTTTTGAAAGACAACTGCAAATTGCTCATAGCTTCTGATAAAACTTTCTCATATGTAGTTTCTTTTATTTGACCTTTTTTATTAATATTAGAAATTTTTGAAGTTTTCGCACACATAGATCTTTGTGGAGTCTTCTGCATTATACTTGTATTATTATAAGAACTCTCATTCAAAGGCTGTTTACTTGAGTTTAGTTTTTTCTGAGAAACATTAGGAGATTCTGAATCAATTGTGTCTAGTTTGTCTCTGTATTCATGCTTTTCATGTTTTTTCAGAAAATAATCATCTAAACAAAGCTGAGGGCTAGGGGTGATAAAATCTGCCCATTGTGGTGCATCTAAGTCATCCATCGGACTGGCTATCAGTTTTCTTAAAATTACAGACTTTGAAAGTGATACAGGTGTAGATACGTCTACAACAGATCTTTGGCTACTATCATCAGTCACCCAAGATTCATCTGTAGCATCAGCATAATCTAGAAAAAACATTACATGAAAATTCAGTTGAACAATTTTCATATAACATAATTTAAATTTTAAATTAATTTAAAATTATCTTAGATGATCAATTTATACAATTTAAAGACTAAAATTTTGAAATGGCATTTTTTTAATTTTAAATTTTAATATGATCAGCATTCTTTGAAATCATAATACTGTCCTAATATTCAGTATGAGGTTTTCTTTTCATAGGGATGTTGTAGCAAATTTATGCTTAAGGATAAACTATTATACGTCAATAATTTGCAGTTACGTAAAATATAGTCATCCTACATTCTTTAAATCTTAAACTAGCTGGAACATCTTTTAATTGTGTCAAAAACTAGATATTGATTGATAATAATGAAATATATGATACGCGTTTATTGAAGAGGTCTCTGTACGTCGTGTACTTTTTTTATCATTGCTGCTTGTTTAATATTCAGTTTTATTCAATTAATAGTGTTATCCCGCATATACTATGGTCTTAAGAATAATTAAAAATTTATAATATGCCGTAAAACCTGAAATTACTTTAGTATGATGAAATCTACAATATATATAGGTTATATTTACCTACAATATTCTCTTAAAGACAAGTAACGGAAAAATTGTATGGAAAAATTGAATACAGATCTTTAATTACAAACTTTAAGCAGAAACATTATTTTATGTTTACCATGAAATTGGTTTGAATGATAACAGTCCAACAGATATCCATATAAAAATTCAGAAAAGAAAAATAGCGAAAAAACAAGCTAAATAATATTGAATTACACATCATACCGTTTGAGGATTCTTTGTTAGGTTTTGCAAGATACGACCCCACGATGGCAGCGTTATAAAACTACAAGTTAAATAACAAAATTTTTCATCTGAAACGAAGATATTCTTGCAACAAACACCACTTTAAAGCATTCACTGATAAACATACAGAAGCTAGCTAGAGAGGACGTGAATCAGGATAGCGCAGAACAACTGACTTTGAATTCAAATAACACAACGGACATCATCAAGTTAAATTCAAAGACGAAACAGACGATTTTTAAGCTTCTCATTGGTCGTCGGAGTTATCGATGTCAGGTTAGCAAACATGCCCAATCGAAATCCGAGAATTACAAAGTCACTATAACTTTTCATTGTTTTTTATTTTGATTTTTTAGACGCATAATATAATTCATTCTGATTCTAATAATACGATAAACGATTGATAAAACTATTTTTTCCAATTTTATTTCTGAAGAGAATGTTTTATTTTGGATTTAAGAACATTTTTTTAAACAATCTTATCGGACACGTATATATTTCACATATCTAACAATATTTTATTTTCATTTGGTACACATTTATTAATTAAAAATTTATTCAATTTTTGTGTATTTAAATTACCATTGCCAACATTACAGACTTAAATTTAAATTTTTAAATTAAAGAAAGGGCATTACATACTTCTGCTCTCGTAGAACTCACTGGAAAGATTTAACCCCCACTCCATAAGATGAAAGGCTCTATCGACGAGTATGTTTTTACATGTGGTTCTGTCGGTTCAGCAGCATTCAGTTCACGGGCAGTCCACCAGTCGCAAGCAATTTGTGTATAGTAAGCAAGCAGCTGTGAAAAGCTAAACAGTGAGCAGAAGATAAAAAAACGTTTCGCTATAGTTCTATCTGAGCATGATTGCAGGAGGCGCTTTGTTATTTTTCCATCCGGTTAGCAAACAAAGCGCTTTGCGTCATCACTATCACTCTAGGAGTGGTTAATTTTTCTGCGTAGTCTAGTAGTTGAGCAATAACATTATTGCCGTCGCACGTGTGTGTTGTGCTGTATTACGCAGCTACGTCATTCGCCTCTCAGACAAAGGATTTTTGAAAAGATGTGGAAACCTTTCGAGCCTGGCAGCTCGCCTATCGACTGGTGCGAGAGCAATTATAACATTTCGCCAAGCATTGCTGAGTTTATGAATACTGTAAGTGTTTTATCATATTTGTTTCCGCGTATAATTATTTATACAACAATCGTCACGCGCTTTTCCTGTTTAATATACAATACATTTCGCTCTTTTAATGCACTCTTGTATAAATGAATTATATATTGAAAATGTTTACAGGAATTTACATTAGTATTTTAAAGTTTGTTTGAATTAACTAAGATTGCGAGATTTTCGGTAAATTTTTTCTTTTATATTTTTTATCTATGTTTGCTTCACATTGTGTGACCCACTCATTCTTATCTTTATTTTATCAAAACCCCTCATTTTCAAGATTAGTATTTTCATTTCCAATTAATAATTGTCAACAAAGAAATTAAAATCTAACGTGATGAAAATAAGTAATTAATTTATTTATTTGTGAATCATGCAGCTAAGCAATGCTCTCTTCTTATTGCTGCCACCTGTGCTGATGCATCTGTTTAAAGATTATGGTCGATTTGTTAATCCTGGAATACATGTAATATGGGTTCTGTTAATGGTAGTTGGAATAAGCAGCGCATACTTCCATGCTACACTTTCATTAGTTGGTAAAAATGATATTTATTAACCATTCATATTTATTATTCCAAGTATGTAGAAAACAATATAAATATTGAAATGGTCTTTCACTTGTTAGGTCAACTTCTTGATGAATTAGCAATTTTATGGGTATACATGGCTGGACTTTGTATGTTTCTCCCAAGAAGATACTTTCCAACAGCAGTAAAAAATAATCGCAAGAAGTTTTCACTATTTGCTAGTATGGCAACCTTGGTAGCTACTGTACTAGCAACTTTTCATCCAGCAATAAATGCATTTGCACTGATGACTCTTGGAATACCAGCTTTTGGATTTATGATTCTTGAACTTAGAAGGTAAGATTGTAACTTGCAAACATGTCAGCAATTTAATGAAAAACAATTTCATGAGAATTTGTAGAAAAAGAATTTTAATAATTTATATTATTTTTAACAGGACAAAGTCTGCCAGAGTTTATAGACTGGGACTTCGTTGTGGTGCTGTTTGGGTCTTAGCAGTTACATGCTGGCTTAATGATAGATTGTTTTGTGATACTTGGCTTAATTTGAACTTTCCTTATCTTCATGCTTTATGGCATTTGCTTATTTTTATCGCGAGTTATACAGCAGCCGTACTATTTGCGTATTTTACTGTTAAAGATGAAAAACCTCATCAGTCACCAATATTGAAATATTGGCCAAGAGATGATTTTGAGCTTGGCATTCCATATGTAACAATAAAAAGTTACATCAAAGTTGATACCAAGAGTTATATATAAAGATTTCATTTTTCCATATATGATTCGATGTTTGTAAACCAAAAGTCAAAACTAATATATATTCTAAGGAGTACTATGAGATGGATTGTGCTATTGAGACTGAGATGAGCTTTTTATAATTATTGTAATGACCTATATAACTTATATAAATCAATTAGTTAAAAAGGTCAAAATCACCACAACTTTTATATAGTTGAATGTAATACTGATCTGTGACTGAAACAAAGAGAATACTATAACGTATTCAAGATTAAAGAAACTTTTATTAGAAATATTTGTGATATAAATATATATGGTATAGTTATTATATATACGATATACACTTGAATTTCAATGAATTACTTTAAGAAATATGTAGAAAAAAACGATAATTTATTTATGAGTGATTATATTTGATGCTAATATATTAATCAAGTTTATTTTTTAATGTTATTGTCTTACTATAAGTATTTGTAAACATTGTTTTAGATCGTGAGTGAACTATGCGAAAAAAAATTTAAACAGAAATTCTATTAAAAATATTTATACCAAGAAAGTTTTTACTTAATGTACAATATGTTTTTAGAATAATTACTAACATATTTTTTTAAATAAAAAGTTGGTTCTAAATCTGCCATCATCTTATTCTTTATAGACTTATCGTATTACTATTGTATAGACCTTTTAAGTTTTGGTTATCAAAGCCTGGCACCTTATGTTAGGATTTCACTTAGATACATACTAAGGATCGAAATCACCTGGTGGAATTTCTGTAATTGTATTTTATTAAACATATATTCGTTACAAAAGCCAAAAAATTATTTTTCAATTTATCACAGAACTTTTGTTCATAATTTAACTATTTTTAAACGATATACAAATAATATAAAGAATGTTTTGAAATACTCTATAAACAATTACATCGATTCTCCTCTATATATAACAACGTTATTGTCAGTTTCATAGATTTTAACTTCGTAAAGCAACTCTGGTTTAGACAGCAATTTTTTAATTTCATCAAATACGTAAATAGCAACGTTTTCAGTGGTGGAAACGATATTTTTGAAGTACGGAACGTCTTTGTCTAAATTTTTGTGATCGAGTTGGTCCATCAAAATTTTTTTCATATATACCTTCAAGTCGGAAATGTTCATGACCATTCCGGTTTTTAAATCTACAGGACCTCTCACAGTTACTTCCACTGTAAAAAAAAAGTATTGGTATAACACATTCATATTAAAAATCAAGTTTTTTCCATAATGACATAAAGTTTCTTATCTCTTAACGAAAAATCTTACCGGTGTAATTATGTCCGTGACCCCAAAAATTATTGCACTTTCCATAGATGTTTTGATTCTCTGCGTCGCTAAGTTGAGAACTACAATTAAAAAAAAAAATCAAAAATTATGAATTTGCACAATTTGCAATCACTGTTATAATTCAGTTTAATGTAATAACGTAACTAAAGAACGGTACTTAGAAACACAAGCAGAGAAAAAAATCAACAAGTGTTGCTCAACAGGTTTGTTACATAAAAACAGCATTAAGCATGATAGTTAAAGTTATCATAACTGAAAATACATTTTAATAATCGAATTGACCAACCTATGAAGTCTGTGGCATGAAGATATGGACTCTTTGCGCGTCAAATAAGCAATTGGCCCAGTCATCTTTCAATATCTTAACGTATTATTACGAAAAGCTCTTCACTCGTTGACGCGTAAACTGAGACTAACACACCGCGTTCCATTCATGCGCGTAGACACGGAATACCGTATAATATTGATCGCAAGGCTTTAAAACAGTGTGAAGTTGGCTTTATCCTGAATGAAAAAAGCTGTTTTCTTGTCCGTGCGCGTGACGAATTGATTGATCCATAGCTTTTTCTTCGTGAGATACAATTAAGGCGAATAAAAATTTGTCACTCTATAGGAAACTCCAATTAGCAACTAAATAAACTTTAATGAAAATTCTCTCCACTTGATACTAATTAGCTCGTTTTAACGATAAACCTACATTTTCCATTTACTTAAAACTTATTGATTCAAATGACTCGAAATGTTAAATTGGTAAGATACATTAATAATTTTATGAATAAAAATGACATGCATTGAATATTATATGGATTATTAAAATTATAATAATAAAAATAAAAATAATATCTTCAATTTGATCAAGTATAAAACAATGATGATCTTATAACATAAATTTATTCTTTGCTACTACACAAACGGTATACCAGTTGAAATGTTCTAAGAAAATTTCCAATTTTTATTTGCTTTCAAAATCCAAGAATAAAATATATGCGCGGATATATAGACTATAGACATATAGAATATAGACAATGAATTTGTTTTTCCACTATCAATGAAAATATTATATCGAGATTAGGTATTGCAATTCGCAGTTTTCGCACGTCACATAGACCAGCTCAAATATTTTAGTATTATAACGAATAAAAACTATGAACTGATGTATATCTTTAGTTGCGAAGTTTTATATAAGCTATTATTATGTAATAATTAACGGGTTCGATGTGTGTGCAATAAGATGCATATTAAAGTAACGTTATGGATTTTTGTAGAAAGACGTTATTACAATTTTCTTAGTAAAATAGTATTTTTTCTATACAATACCGCAGGATAGAATATTGAAACGAACTCAAGTAGTCTCAATCAATATTTCATAATCATAAAAGTGTTAATTGTGAATATCTGGCATAACGCATTTCTTCTACGTAATATTCTTTAAAATTTATGTTTATCAATAATATATTATAGTGAAGAATTTAGCAATAATACAAAACACTCGCAAAATAGAGTAACTTGTTACTACATTAAAATGGACGCATGCATACAATGTTCAAAAATATTTTCATTTTTTCAAGTAAACATTGGTTAATTATTTCACCGAAATATATAAGAAATTAATTTTCATTTAAAAAAGCTTATGTTGTACGGTTCAATTTTTATCATCTTAAGCACGCATGTACAACATATTTCTATATATTTGATCGTTGTTCAAACCATATACAGTCGCATTCGAACAAGTCGAGAAATTCAAAGTGTCATGGTCGACACTGCACACATGCGCATTGGGTTATCGGCATTTCAGACAGAGACTCACCGCCATCTAGTAAAGTAAAGTAAAACTCCTTACTCCATTATACGTATTAGTGGTCAATGGTCATGCCATTCAATGACAGAGGGAAACGTGCGTCTAGTTCGCTACTTTGCCAACACGGGACGCTCGAACCAGTCGCCTAAATATGGCACGCACTACAGCATTGCGGTTAGCAGTGCTGGGCATCGATGGTTTATATCGAAAAAAAGAGCTCCCTAGAGCTGACTTCAGTTTGTACACTGGAGCTCTTTCCGATTCCACTCGTTCCACGGTTCCGTTCAGTTTTGAATTGAGAAAAAAAAGATTGTCATGCACTTGCATGTAAAAAGTATTAAATTACAATTATTTTCTAATTTTTTTTGTATATCTTAATTTTTGTATTAATAATTTTATTTACTTTATTTGGATTATTGTTTATATTTTTGTTTTATAAATTACTGAATTGTGTAATGCAGAAAATTTATTACTAGTTATTATTATTGTTATTATAAAAATGTTCTAATTAAAAAAATAAAATGATACTATCAGTTATTATATTTTGTTATAGATTATCTAGAAGAAATTATGATAGGAGTAGTATAATTATAATTTATATAATAATTTATAATAAATACACATTTTTCTTACGTTATTTATTCAACATTGATCAAATTATATATATATATTCTGATAACAATTCCTAAATACTCTTATAAAAAATAATATATATATATATATATAATTTATTGAATAACTTAATCTTATTGTATTTAACCGAATATCGAAAATTATGAAAAATACACATAGCTAAATTGCTTAGATGTTTAAATTTATATTTATTATTTGCTTAATTGTTTAAATATACAATATGCAAGTCGGTCCAGACGATCTCCTTGCAATGAATACAATAAAAATACATTTTCAATTATTAGCAGATCATAAATGTTGCATAAAACTAAAGAAATAGTTGATTCAACAGGTTTCCATACTTTTTTTTGAAGAAATATTCGTTTTACAATTATCCTAGAATAAACAGCTGTTGACAGTCTAATAGTCGGCCCAGATGATCTCCGTGCAAAGAGTGCATGAAAAATACATTTGCAATTGTTAGCAGATCATAAATGTTTATTAAACTACGGAAATAGTCCATTAAACAGTTTTCCATACCTTTTTCAGAAGAAATACTCATTCTACAATTTATACCAAAATAAACAGCGATTGACAGTCCAATACTCGGTCCAGATGATCTCCGTGCAAAGAGTACATAAAAAATAAATATGTCAATTTTAGCATATCATAAATGTTTTATAAAACTAAGGAAATAGTCCATTCAATCTAAGATGGAGTTTAGCTAAACATGAATATTAGAGTTATTTTTATTGAGACAAAGGTTACATTAGAAAATATTGCTAAGAAAATAGTATACTCAGCGTGGGTGTAATCACCGCAACTAAAGAAAGTATCAACTTCGAAAAGAAATAATTAAACTTCAAATGAAATTTCGTTTGTGAATGTTACTTAAAATGACAATTTGTGACTACTTTCGTATACTTGCCGAAACATATTCAGATAATGGCTTCAGTAAATGGAAAATCAAAATTAATTTATACTTCGATTGCTGATAGCGCTACCATTTTAACACACGATATAGCTTTTATAGAACGTTTATTGGTACCTAAGCTCGAAACGAACATTCATGCCCTTGATGTGAAAGACATCGCAAATAAAAAGAAACATCGTTGAAGACAAACTGTTCATGTAAAATTCGACAGTTTTCATAACCCTGATTTGACAGCTAATTTGTATAACAAACTTCCTCGCTCCTCTCTTTGAAGCATCGATGTTCGATTGAATGCTACAGTGAGCAAAGATAAATTGAATTTAATAAGACGAGAAAAAAAGCTTACTATTAAAACACCATTTACATTATTGGCTTAATTTTTTTAAATTACTTACCACTGTTAGTTTACCTTAAAGTTGAATAAAAATATAAAAGTCTTAAAGAAGCCTTTATGAACGATAGATCGTTTGCAACCTGAAAAATGCATTGATAATATTTTAATATTTACCAATTAATTACGTATTCGTAAAACGCTTGAAAAAAATTTATAAATGAATCTTTCTTTGACTCTGCATTAATTGTATATATAATTATAAATATTATTAAAGAAATGTTTATTACTTACGTGTATTGCAATGTACGTATAACTTTTTAAATATCAAAAAATGGATTTACACAATAATATCAATAATGTCAATTTCTGAAATTAATACAATTTTTATGCACAATAAACACTCTTTATAACCGTTAAAAAAACAACTGATACTAATAGAAGCACGATGTTGCTCTCTAGCCGGCACAAAAGAAACAAATTCGCTCGTTCGATCGTCATTCGGCGGGAAGGCTCGGGTTGTTTTGTTTACATTGCGAATTGCGGAAGTCGTGTATATCATAATAGAATGGGAGTCTGGTATTTAAATAATTTTTATAATTTCATTTCAATATTTAATGACAAATTAAATAATACTCTGTAAATGCTAGAGAATAATTCATTTTTAATAATTATAAAATCAGAAAAGAGTGAAAACAAGGTTACTAAAAAATTACTTTTTATAATTAATTACAGTTTTTATTATTTATTATTTATTACTCTTCAACAATTTTACAATACATTGTATATATAAATAAAATTTTTTTACATGCTAATATGCGAAAAGTATTTTCTTTTAGAATTCATAATTCAGTGGAACCTTGGAACGAACGAAATCGGAAAGAGCTTTTTCAGTGTACAAACTGAAGTCAGCTCTAGGGAGCTCTTTTTTTCGATATAAACCATCGATGCCCAGCCCTGGCGGTTAGCAATCTCTCCGGCTCTCCCAATAGTGGACTCAAAGACAAATGCATGCTTCCAAACATAACCTATTATGTAAACAAATGTGATAGCACTAATTGGTAGCAAGTTGAAAATGTTTTCAAAACAATTTCATTCTTCTCCATTGGTTTAAAGAATTTGATAACGTGAATTTGTACATGAAACGTGTGTACTATTATTAAAAATTACAGTTATTAATTCTATTTATTTATATTAGAAATTATTTATCATTATTTCATGTAAAATTGTAATGAATATAATTTTTATTTTCAGAACAAAATGACGAGACCTATAGATTTAACTATTTGGAGAAAAATAAAATCTCTACTTGGAGTAACTACTGGTGCAACAATTATTTTTAGTGGAATATCTTTGTATCAAGGAAATGAAAAGTATTACAAAGAAATTTTTATGCCTCTGGTGCGGTTGATTGATCCAGAAACTGCTCACAGAGCTGCAATTATAACAGCCAAATTGGGTTTGATACCAACACAGAAACATGCAGACCCTCATATATTACATTCAAGCTTGTGGGGTTTACACTTTCAAAATCCCCTTGGTATGGCTGCTGGTTTTGACAAACATGCAGAAGCTATTGAGGGACTTCATAAGATGGGTTTTGGTTTTGTTGAAATAGGTACATGTATTTTCCCATAATGATTATCTTATGCTAAGTATAAATATGTGTCCTCTTTTACAAATAACTTAATGACTTAATAATACTTACATAATGTTATACATATTGATATTTATGTTCTAATAGTTAAACCGAGTACTGTTTGTATGTTAATTTATATAAAATTATTGTATACCAGATTATCATTTAGAAAATTTGTTCATTAATTTTAATAGGTGATGAGTTATTTTATAGTTATTTTTATTGAATGTATTTTAATATTATTGAATTGTTAACATTAATATATATTTCAGTTTAATATTATTCGCTGAGTAGAATTCATTAATATTACATTTTAGTTTTGTATTAATCTTTTTAAGATGTCTTAAAAAATGTAACGTGAAATATATTTAATTTTGAATGAATTAATATTTTCGACACTCCGTGCGGAAAGTGCGTTTTTCCCGCACGCTCGGCAAAAAACGTACGTTGAAAATCGCACTTTCCACACGTCGTATCAAAAAATACGGTACGGCACATGTTCGGGAAAGAGTTTCTCGTCTCGTGTACTATTCCACCCTCGCTTTGCTCGGGCGTAAACGCTACACGAGACTAGAATCTACTTTCCCGCACTTTTATCGTAATGTACTAATTCTTTGAAATTTTGTATTTTGAAGTATATCAGTATGATATTCAATCCATTCTTTTGATATACATAACTTATCAGATATCTTACTTATCAATTTAAAAATGTGTAATTAACAAATTATTTTAAGTACCCATTACTAACAACGGAATTCAAGAACTTATGTTTTAAAATTTAAATATTAAATCACAATAAATTATAAAAATAAAATTAGAAATATTTTTAGGCTCTGTAACACCAGAACCACAACCAGGCAACTCAAAACCTCGAGTATTTCGATTACCAGAGGATCAAGCTATTATCAATCGTTACGGTTTCAATAGTGATGGTCACGAAGTTGTCCACTCGCGCTTGAAAGCTCTGAAAAATTCCAATTTTAGTGGTATCGTTGGTGTTAACCTCGGCAAAAACAAACTAGCTACGGATCCCGTTCATGATTACGTTGAAGGCATACGTAAATTTTCTGATGTAGCTGATTACTTCGTTATTAATGTGTCTAGTCCCAATACTCCTGGTTTACGAAATCTTCAAAGAAAAAATGATCTTCAAGAGTTGTTACAGGAAGTTAACAAAATCAGAGCAACAACAGACAAAAAGCCACCTCTTTTACTCAAAATAGCACCTGATCTTTCCAAAGACGAACAGCAAGACGTTGCCGATGTTATACAGCAAACAAATACCAAAGTTGACGGAATCATCATCTCTAACACGACTTTAAGTCGTAAAAGTCTCATAAATAACACTGTAAGTTATAAATAAAGTTATTACAAAAATTCATTGATATAAGTTTAAAAATTGTATTGTACGAGTTACTATATTTGTTTTTTATTTAACCTACTGATTATTACAAAAAACACAGAATTTTATTAAAATACATAATAAAATCGTATTACTCTTTGAAATTCGTTATAATTATTATTTTGAATTATAGGCCAAAAATGAAGCTGGCGGATTAAGTGGAGCACCAGTATCTAACATGTCAACAGAAATGATTGCTAATATGTATAAGCTTACGAAAGGTCTCATTCCAATTATTGGAGTCGGTGGCATATTTGATGGCGAAGATGCTTATACCAAGATCAAAGCTGGAGCGTCTCTAATACAGATTTATACATCGTTTGCATATCATGGACCACCAATCGTTTCAAAAATTAAAGAACAACTTGGACAGTTACTTACCAAAGACGGGCACAATTCAATTGCCGATGCAGTCGGAATAGAAGCAAAAAAGGTTTTGTCTGAAGTAAAGTAATAAAACACAATGGTAGCTTTCGTACATTTATATGTTTCTATATTTCAATATATTACATTAAAAAATTTGATCGAATGAAATACTGTAAATAGAATTTCTTTATTTAGTTAAATTTTATTCTAAAAGTTTAGTCAATAGTAGAATTTAACATTCACGAAATTTTAAAATTACATTCAAGTCGCTTTAATGATAAAAGATCGAAGCTATCAGATGTAATATTGTATATTTATCTGATCTAATATTGTATACACATTTATTTTTATATTTTTATAACATTAGCTTTATTAGCGTATACTCAATTCTGGTACTCAAAGTGCATCATGTAAATATTTTTTATTGCATGTTTAAACATTCTGTATAAAACTATTTTTATGATTGTTGAAATAAATGCAATGATATAAAAGTTTTAGTTTATTTTACATATCATTTGTAAAATATTTTTTTGGAATTCATTTTTTTTACTTCTTCGGAAGTTTTTTTTTTAATTTATAATAGTAATCTTATAGATTTTTGTATTTTTTGTTTACATGTTAATTTCTCTAGACCTAAAATTTATGAAAGCTTTAGCTGTATATTTTACAAAATACGGTAATATAATTATGATGTTCTTTTACACTGCCCAATTATTACAATGAAGTAACTATTAAAATGTAGGATCTATTAAGAAATTAATTAAATTTCGCGACGGTCCTAGACTATTTTCATGGCTTAGATTCACACTAATTCAATCCCGGGAGCGGTTGATCATTAGTTGGCGAATGTGTAAATATACAAAGCATGAGTCATTCGCAAGAGCGACTAGATCGAAAACATGAACAGCTAGACAATAAACTCGATCAAAAGAAATCTATGTAAAAATTTCAAGGTCTTTCAAAAGTCACTTTTGAAATTTATAAACGATTTGAATGCGTTTATTAAGAATATTACTAACAATTGAAATAATGAATGATTAGAAATACAAAATTTCAAATAAAATAAAATTTATAAAATAAAATACACTATAGAAAATGAGAATTTGAATTGTAAATAACTGTTTTTACATGAAAGTTAGTCAACAATTGAGTATGAGTGTGTTATTTAAACATTTTATATTGATTATAAATTTAAGCGAAAATCACAAGTAATGAAAACTCTATCATTGTCTGAGTTTAATTATTTATAACTATGAAATTGATTTGTTTAATGCATAATAGAATTATTAATGCAATCATTTATTTAAAATTCCAAAGAAACTAACAAATTTAATTTGGTATCATTTAAAAAGTGTGTTTGATGAATACAAATTATTCCTCAGATATTTATTATACTATTGTTGAACATTTGAACTATATTTGTTCGGGATAAGGAAGAGTGAAATGGTAGTTGATTGACAGAGTGATGGTGTATTTAAAGGTATAAATGTTGTCATTTAATGGTCGAATAAATTCATTACAAAACAAACTTGATTAAGTCCCTAAGTACATGAAACACTTAATACTAATGCGAGTTGAGACGAACGTTAATCTCATTACAAACTAAGCCGCGACGGAATTACTAAACACGCTCGCACCTGTGAAAAACGGCCGCTCTGAGCAACAAAACCACCCGATCGCTCAAGCGTCCGAAAGAGAGAGCGCAACTGACTGTTTCGGCCGCCGAGAGAAGTCTTTTTTTGCCTTCTCTTTCCACTCCGTCTCCCTGACTAGGACGTGTCCTGTTTTCCGCCGGATTTTCCGCTACGAACCTCGATCACCCTGGCCTCTTCTATATGGCCCAAATAGGTGAGGGCGTAATTTTCTTCGGCCGTTTGGCCAATTGTGCGCGCGGCGTACCACCCCGCTCCTCGTGTGACGCTGCCGATCGGCCTCGGTGAGGCCCGATTTGGCCCCCCGTTCCGCAGATTCGAGTGATGGGAGCAATGGGCTCCCAATCTTTTCGGGTATCGGACGCGAAAACCGAGATGTTATCGTCCCAATACCCAAACACGGCCGCGAGCTCGCTTATTTATAAGTGCTCACGGCGCGTGGTGGCATGCGTCGAGGGCGGTGATAGTGGCGTTGCGTCTTCAACGACGAGGCAGGGCATTAGCCACTGCATGACGTGGGCATACAAAGGGAATGAAAGCGTGGGAGACTACTCAGCGGCCGGCGTTATTTGTGAAGCTGCAAAAGGCCCAAGGTAACGAACGGAAACTCGGGAGCTTGCGCGATGAAGTGGTTTTGCTTCTCGCTATTTACATTTTCGCTGTCAATACAATACATATCTACATCCACATTAAATACATAAATAACCTCTGCAACTATTTCTGCTTTCTTACACCTATTATAATAATTATTATTTTAATTTTTATTCCACATTGTTAATCTAGCAACATTAAAAAATATATAGCATATTGTTGGTATTATTTTACAATTCAAGTAGAGCTGTTGAACTAATTTTTCTCTTTTTCGATATACTTTTTTGTTGGGAAGAATAAAATTGCATTAAGATTTAAGTTCCTACATCTGTAAATACCAATGTTTAAAAGATAGCTGTGCTATCTCGCCGTGACATCGTCGTCGATCAAAACGTGTGACACACACGCTCTCCGCCTGCACCCTCATTATCTTCTCCGCATTTCTCTTTAATTCGATTGTTTGTACAACCCGCGCGCGCTCCATCGACCGCGCCAAATTCCCCGTAAACGCGTTGCACACATTTTCGGTATGTGCTAGAAAAACGCGACTTTTTCGAACTATAACGCGCGCTAATGAATGTCTATTCCCGAAGCAGTTACTTGTCCGGAATAATATTTTAATCAAATTGCAACATTATATAAGCATCAAAATCCGAAAAGTTCAATGGCAAATTTAAAATGTAGTGAATTCACAAAGCGTGATAGCGAACTTTCGCAATTTTAATGTTAGGGATAAATTCACACACCCACCTCATGTATAAATTTAATAGGCCCGTTCGCGTCGCAAACAACAGCACTCTTAATCCAATCTTACGTGCGGCACGGTCAATCAATCAATTTCAATGAATGGTCGGAGTTCTCTTCGATCTTTATTTCAATTTCGTTTGCTGTCTTGTCTAGCGAATCACCTCCTATCCTTTAATACTAGATAGACATCTCTGGGAATTTATCCCTCCTAGAGAAAGATCCTACGAGTGTTACTTCTTACTTAATTTATCAACAATATTGAAATCCTTGAGAAACTCTCCAAAATTTCTCATGACGCTGCACAGGCTCTTTGCTTGACAGCACGATTGAGTCTTATAGAGATTCTCACAAACAACATCAAACGAAGGTTTAGTTTTGCAAAAAACTAACTATATCTTTCGATGAATTTCAATTAATTCATGGTAGAGAGTGACGAATTAATGCCCCGATGCTGTTGAAGCCAGTATTCCTTACAGCGAGGGTAGAAGTTCGTAGACATATGGCCTACCATAATTGAAAATTACTACAATTTATTCAAAACTGGATTAATTTCCAGTTATTATTTTAAAGATTACAAACTGTAGAGATTGATGCAAAATGTTGTGTGATGTATGTGCATCCAGGTATTGCGTGTGCGTATCAGGGTGCCCGCCAGTGGTTAGCAGCAGTGTGCGTGCGGCTCAGATTATCGTCGATGGTACGAGTACGCAGTAGTCTGACATAGCTGATTGCCGCCTGCAGTTTTATCGTCGATTTCCTGGTCGTTCCAGGTGTGACAGCTTTCCCAGTGTGTCTGTGCTAGTGCCTGGAAGTGTAACGTGTCCGCAGGTTTCGCTCACATGCATTTTTGTTGAATTTTCCAGTCAGGTTTCCCGTGTGTTTTTCTCCAGCCGGCAACACGTGGTCGGGAGTGTGTGTGTGTGCGTGCGCTCTCTTTTTCTCGTAGTGCGCTCCATTTTTCGCTCATCCGTCAGATCGCACAGCTTGTCTTGTTGCATCGTTTTTCCGGGTATGGGCGGGCGAATTTGAAAATAAAGTAGGGTTTATTTTAGGGCGCGAATAGAATAATTTTGTTCGGCTGGTTACGGGGCAGCAAGAAACGGCGTAGGCTCCCCTGAGGTGTTGCAATAATGCAAAACTCTCAAGTAACGCCTTGTAATGCACCGCAGTACAAGCCTAATCGGTATACATGTAGTATGAAGTATTATAAAAATTATCCACCAGCCTACAAATTATAGGACTAGAGATGTATACATATTTTTTTCTTTTTTTTTGGAAGGGCGACGGAGGGAGAAACCGCTATAGGCACCCATAATAACGTGGACAATGTCGGATTCTTACCGACTAAAACCCCTTCCTTCGTGGTTACCAGCCCAAAGGCTATAAACCAAAATGAAAAATGAATAGAGATTAGGATCCAACACGTGAAAGTTTTGGATCTGTACGCCAAAGCGAAGCTAGAAATTATGCGTCGCTAGGGACGAGAGAGCATGGTCTACTGACATTGTCAGAGGGCTTGCTAGCGTAGGAAGCTAAACGTTGGATTAAGGGGTTAGTGTGGTCGGAGACAGAGCTTCTTAGACTATTCGCGTAAATAGATACGGCTTCTTGGATGGAGGGGAGATCAGTTTCCTTCGGAATCTGGGAATTTCTGATAAACCATGCAATATTGAGGGAATACGGAGAGCTTTCATGCAGGTATCTCCGAATTTGTCGATAGCGTGGGAGTGGCGTGGGCTTTAGCACAGAAGGCGAAAGCCTAGGCGGCTTTGCAGTAGTTTTCCGTGTGTCTAAATTGTTGACAGCGACGACATTAGGGGTCATTGGGGAGGCGTGTTTTTTCTAGACTTTGATATCTAGTCCGGCTAGGAGTTTAAGGTCGAAGATGGAGCGAGCAGTTGGCGATTTGGCGTCAAGATGTACCGTAACAAGTGGCCAAATTTTTATGCCTTTGTGCATGCGATAGTCTAATTTAACAAGGAGCTTTTTTCTTTTCGAGCTCGAATTTGATGCTATCCCGAAAAGGGTTTCGATGAAATTGCAGATAACAACTACAAAATTTGTCTTGGTGGGTTTGGTTGGTGGTATAGTGAAAGTTTTCTGCATCTAATTTATGGATTATAAGACGAAAGTCGTCGATAGAGAAGAGGTAGATACGGGCACAGTCCGTGGTTGCGATGGCGCAGTGATAAGGGATGTGTTCGCCAGCAAGGTACTGCTGAAGAGCGAACCATAGCTCTTTCTGCTTGATGCAGATGGGAGGAAGGCGACCGTGGTGGTCTTTATCTAGTTAATCTTCGGACGCCGAGGACTCGGATGAAGATCGGTCTGATAGTATGCGGGAAGGTCTGAGACGCTTAGTACCTGATTTTGTGATAGCAAGAGGGGATGGGTGTAGCCTTTGAAAGG